GTCAGAGGTTGTGTTCTATGGACAGGGGGTCAATTTAAGGGTCACACTTTTGTCATTGTGAGCTGAAGCATAAATCCTGGCTGCTAAACCCCCTCAGATACCTGCCAGAATGTTTTTTTGTCGTTATACTCACCACAATCAGCGATGTGAGAAGATTAGTTGTGTTAGGGAAAAGTGAAAGCTGACTGCTATGTCTGCCTCCACATGACACACAAAGACACAGTCTGACACTCTTGTTTGGAGCAGGAAATAAAAAAGTGGGTCAATTGATTTAAGAGTCTCCTGTGACTCCCTTTCGAGTCAACGTGGAATGGTAAGAATCCCACAGTGGACAGGCTTTTTTATGGAAACAGACCACAGTTATAATGGGCAAGGTTCGAGTCCTGACCTGTGCTGCATGCTCTTCCCCTTTCAGTTCACCCAAGACTTTGGATAAAGACGTGAAATAACAGCAGCACGACTTTTAAATAACTCTCTGTTTTCATTAGTGTATGATCAAGATTATCATTAGCTGCGGCCTTAATCCAAATAACTCTGACCTCTGCTGCCCACCTGCAATTAGGGCTCCAACTCCAAAGCAACGGCAGGCTGACATAATTGTTTTAGGGGATTTCATTAAGGAAAATAATGAAAAGCAATTTGCTTTAAGTGGTACATCACTCCTAGTAGAGAGAATTTTCTATCAGCTTAGCTTCTTTTTTTTTTATTTCTAATATTTAAAAAAAAAAAAAAGTAGTTCTGCATCGCCAAAATTTCCAACAATTTCAAGGCAACTGGAAGTAAATAACAGACTACAAAACCAATGAATGAAGTTCATCTGATGTCAATATGCTTGTAAGACATTTTCTGCTAAACGCACCCGACTTGCCACAAATGACACATCATTTTGTAAAACACTTTTTGTGTTTAGCCTTTCACTGTTAATGCACTGCAGTGGATGGGTGACCAGGCCACAAAACTGTGAGCATCATCATGTCAGTGCAGTCCGTGCAGGTATTTTTTTATCCTTCGCCATGATGAATGACTGTAGAGGAAGAACAACAACGCAGATTTGTCCCGCACGCCAAACGGTCAAGGTTGACCCTGGCTGAATGCAGCACACCCTCCTCTCTGTCCGGCCGACCAAACAGCCCTTTCGGGTCAACCGGCATTTTATCCTTTAAACTGCTCATACCAACCACCACAAATACCACACTGGACGAGGAATCGGGCAGCTCAATGTAAATTAAATGCTCCATCCTTTGAGTGCACTGGCTTATGTAAGCTGCTGCTGCTGCTCGTCTTCCTGCTGCCCGGCTCCGCGTCCCTGCTTTTCTTTCCCCGCAACAGCCGATGCAACCCCCCCGAAGCCCCATCTTAAATTAGAGAGTGTGGAGGGTGGCGAGTGAGGGAAGGGGGAGCCTGACTCCTGCATCCCTCATTTTCTCTGCCACCTTGAAAACAACACCCCTGCTCAGGTTATGCTTCTCTCCATCATTGTCTGGGCAAATCACACAATCCCCCTTTATCCCCACAAATCCCAGCACGCTGCAGACCGCCGGCTTTTTTCCCCCTCCAGTCTTTTCAAACGTGCACGCGAAATAAACGCTGATCTTTTCTTCTTCTTCTTTTTTTTTTTTTGTCCCTGCATCTTCTTTCTTTCTGAGCCTCTTTCATTCTCTGACTGTCCCTCCATCTATCCCCTCCCCTCCCCTCCTCCCTCCACCTTGCCCTCTTCCCTGAGTCCTGCAGCCGCCAGCATGCTACAGCAAGATTTGCAGTGCCTTCTTGACAATGTCATGACACTGTGTTTAAGACAAGCCGCCTAATTGGAGAGTGCACAATGGAGGGAACAGGAAAGATGATTGTGTGTGTGCTGGTGGGGGCTGGGGGGGTTTAGTGTCGGGAGAAGAGGAGGGCAGGCCTTGGATGAAATGCGACAAAGATTGTGAGCTGTTCTCAGATCTACGGTGTCGAGTGTGGTGTGTATCTCATTAAATAAAACACACAGATGAGGGCTGACAACCACACAATGGGAGCAAGGGAAAGGGAGGACAAGCTGCATGATTTGATGATGCCAAGCCGTTATTTCATATCCTCTATGGCCCCCATACATTGTCTCCGGCTGGATTGGGTGACTACATGAGCATATGCATGCCTTTACAGCGGAACGTGGCAAACATGCTGTAAAGAGCCACTCATCTAAATTCATTACCATCCCAAAAAGGACGCCGGCAGGCCAATATGTAAATTTTCAGCCCAGATAGAAAAGGCTTACCTCCACATTTCAGTTCTGCTCGACCCTGCCTTGTTTCATCCTGTTCCTCTCTGCCGACTCCCTCCCCTTGTCTCCCCATGACAGCATTTTTCTGCTATCTATCTCCACGGTGAGGCTCTTTCTCCTCCTGCTGCAGTTCCTCCTGGCCGACTGTGTCCTCTTCCTCTCTTTTATAAAAATAAAACACAGCACAGCACACTTCCCGATGTCTGCGCCAACCAGCTCCTCTGTTCTGTTGTTGAAGTCAAGAGGCAGGTTGATTTGTGCCGTCCTCCTCCCTCTTTCTCTCCCTCTTGCGCTGATTCTATTCCATTCACATCACAGTAAAGCCAACCCCCTCTTTCTCCTCCTCCCTCTAACACCGCTTCACCCAGCCTCTCTCTCCACCCCCCCTCCTCCTCTCCTTGACAGAGAGAGGTTGAAGGCAGTGACGGACAGACAGCAGCGACTGAGAGGAGAGCTTACGCTGAAATTCAATGGACTTCACTCACCCTAAGAGAGAATTTAAGCCTTTGCTATCCCAAATGATCAACATCCCCTCACCGACATAACACACAGTCGGCAATAGGGCGTGTAGTAAACAGCTTTTCTTTTCTTATTTTATATCAAAACAGCTGTCTGTAACATTACCATCACTTTTATTTTAGTGATAAAATCAATGTAAACATTTTCTGGGAAGATGAAACACATTCATTTAAAGTCTTTTTCTTGCTCGGAACAAACATCTCTGCAGAAGAGAGATAAAGGCACAAAACCTTGGGTGTAAAGGTGGAAATGGTTGTCTGTGTGTCTCTGTGTGTGTGTGTATGTGTGTGTGACAGCGTGTTTGTTTGTAGAGACCCAGATGTACGGTCAGTGTGGTCAGCGATTGCAACATTCTATCAACCTGTATCAGAGCAATGAGAATAGAATCACAGACCATATTTTTTCTTCCCGCCCGCCCCTCCTCAGAGACAGAGACACGTACCTGTGAATTTCTGCATTTTGTTCAATGTCGCTGGAGAGTGGACAAGATGAATGGTGCTGCTCATCCCGCTCCGCAGCAGAGCCCAGTGTCCGGCACCATCCCCCTAATTACTGCATGGAGTTTTGTCCTGGCGTGCCATATGGCTGCGCGTGTGTGAGGAGGTCAGCGGCGCTGGTCGGGGGGTTGGGGGCAGGGAGGAGGAGAGGCCTGCGTTGCTGGTGGCGTGTGTCTTGCAGAGATAACAAAAACAAAAACACAGGCATGAGGTGATAGCACTCAAAACTGTTTCCCTACAGGCAGACATGGCTCTCTGCGCGTCAGTTGCTGGTCAGGTGGCGTTTTGGTGGCGGATTTTTCCAATAGAAGAGTCCCAGTTTTAATTTGACCATCACTTCCTCAAAAGTGCTGCTCTGGATTTTTTCAAAACAACTTCTCAACAGTGACTTTTTTTTTTTAATGGACGTATTTACATGCTTAATCTTTAGATTTCAGACAAAATTGGTCCCCTCACATCTGGATGCCCATATCTAATTAAAATAATACTTTCAGAGCTGGAGTTTGTTGAAGATGGTTTGAGTCATCTTTTTGTTGTCTCAGCTGGTAACTAGGCCAACACAACTTAATGCTGCAGTGACACCGTGTGGATACTTTTTATTACCATGGGCTCCCGAACGACTTGCACTTGTTCCCCTTCTCCTAACCATCTCATATATAGAGACTGAATTTGGTTGAAATTCAGCTCCAGTAAGCAGCTTAACTGGGGGGCATTGTAATGCTTTGGCATCAGCATACTTCTGGCAGTTCTGGTCCACAAATGGTTGTCATGACTGGTTAGCGTCTGGGTGTCTGGTTTGGGCTGATATTTGACACATTGAGATACATTTGGACCGAAGGATTGTGTGCCGTTGACTGGGTTTGAAAAAGATAAAGTTATGGTTCAATATCAACAACCAGACAATAGAGGGATTTCACAGGACGGCCCTGCATTTGGTCAATTATTTTATTCTGGCCAGCATTGAGGCCAGACCATTTCAGATGCCAGTGCAGAGTAGATCCAGACTGTTAGCTAGATTTTATTCACTCTGCATTTAACTGGAACCTGCTGGTAACAAAACGGAAAAAAACATGAAACCTACATCCAATCAGAAAACGGGATAAAGCAACCTGAATGGCACAAAGTGCACAGGACTGAGTACTCTGGGGAGGATGTTAGATTGGTGTGAAATGGTTCTGTCTTCGTGGGGACTGGGGCAGGTCTGCCAGGTGCAGAGAGAAAATGGGTGTGATGTGGCACCACAAGAGGCTTCACTGGAGCTGTGTGTAGCAGGGTGTCAGAGAAGAGAGGCCTCTAACTCAAAGCTTCCTGGCAGAAATTAAAACAACAGAACTTCATATAAATGTCTCGATGCACCTCTAGAGGAAACATGTAGAGCCATCAGCATGTGATGCCTTTTGCAATAAGAAGCAGACATAAATTATTATTAAGGTGACTTTGACAATTGTTGGTGTATTTCAGGCAAGACCAATGTGTTCCTTACACATACAGAAAGACTGTACCTATTTATTTATTTACCTGATTTTTTTTTCCTGTTAAGCATTGGATTGCTTACCAAATGTTATCCAATGAAGTTGTACATTTCCATTTTCTAAACATTTTTCAATGTTGACGTATGTTTTAACTTTGGTAAAGTATTAAGCAGTACACAGGGCAGTGTCCAATATGCCCCCTGGTGGCTGACCGCTTACAAACTGGACATGCATGTCCTTCTGCAGACCTCACAGATGTCGGAATTTATTACAGGAACCTCAACAATAAGTGACTTGAACCTCTTTTTCCCAACACGGAATCCCAAACATAAACTTTGAAGACATCCATGAGGTTTTCAACTTGTTTTTTATGAACTCAACAAGCTTTTCATATCAAACGGTCAAATGACACTTGTGTGCTTCACATAAAGATATGCTCAATTATTTTAACATGGCAGATTCACCTTTTCTTTTTTTTCTTTTTTTACATGTAAACATAAAACACAAAGAAAAAGGGAAAATATCACTTTCAGGTATTTTTGTAGATATTGTGCAGTCTGTTAAAACAACAGCAAGTAAAAATACAAAACAACTGTACACTAAATTTACATTCCTCTAACAGTTCAGCATGGCTTCTGTCTTCAGCATGTACAGTCACAGAGAACACAAGTTTAACTTAGGAAAAATGAATTCATCTGACTGATTAAGAGGTGAATAGAAATAAAAATAAATAGTTTAGAATGATCACAAATGAACAATGACGCTTCTAGACATAAAATAATATATATGGTGATAAAAAGCTGAGCTAGATCACTATTTTTTAATAAATCCAAATGATCTATGTTGGTTCTTACACATGCAGGTTCTGATGTTTGGTATTTTTTCTAAATTGAGATTGTAAGTGACCCATATTTCATTGATTAGTTGATGGTAAAAGCACCCTGAAGTGTATCATAAAATACTGTCAGACCATATCCAAGTTCTGTCCATTGAGATACATTTAAATTCAGGCACTTACCAGAGTCACCTATGAAAATTTACTGAATACATACGAATTCAAACATACCCCTATACACCTTCCATACAAAAATCTGAATCTGAAGCCTACATTTTTCAAAAGTACACAGAGACACTACATCCCCTTTAGGTTACAGGTACTGAGTGTAAAAAAGCAGCCTTCTTCCGCTACCCACATCGATTCCAAACTTGTTTGACAATTCTTATAGCTCGAAATACATTTGTACAGAAAGAAAGATTCAAACAAAAATGTGTAATGATGGAGCGCTGCACATAAAGAGAGGCTTATTTAATGTGCCGTTTAAACATAGGGGGACGTTTTGTTGGGCCGTCAAATAATTTGGTAATTATAAAACAATATGTGAAGACAACATTCTCATGTGGAAGATGCAGAATATGTATATTCTGCATATGTCAAAAGAGTTAGACAATAATCTGGCTTTGTAGGGTTTAGAAACTTTTTTTTTTGCCAAAAAAAAAAACCCGTTACTGTACAACTACAAACTATATAGTCACTTTCGTGTGACTTTTGTGTTTGTACTTTTATGCTTTTAATTTACACTCTAAAACAGACACATGTCACTTTAATGCACTGTTTTGGTCAACATCTTTCACACAGTAGAGGGTGTATTGTATGTTTGGCGTAGTTACTATTATCTAGTCCAAGTCTGACAACATTAGAAATTCACAATATGCTAAGCGTCCTTAATAAAAGCTCATGTGGCTCAGAGCTCAGTGTCTCTCATCTGAAGAAGAGCCCTGGAATCAAAAAAGTTCTCAAAGTGAATACTTGACCAAAAATGTTCTGATTCACCATCAGCTTCAAGCCTGCTGTCCCTGATGAGGGACAGGAACTGGTAAACCCAGCCAAGACTACCACTTCCCCCTTTTGCTCCAGTCCTTTGGAGTGAAGTGAAGGCATTTAGGATCTATGCGCAGGTGCCTCTTCTGCATCGCTTTCTCGTGACCATCCACAATTTCCTCTGAGAGTGTAAGGATGTACTGACCCTAGAAACAATAAAGAAGTCAAAGTCATTTAAAGTTCTTTCAATTGGACTATACATGTGTTAAATTAGAAATGGCTGCTTTGATTGTTGGCCAAAATACAAAGAATGAAATCATGTGTTTAATTGGGAAGAAAGAAATGCAAACTGTTCTGTTACAATCATTTTGTCATCATGTGGCAAACTGAAGCATTTACTGCCTCTGTCCTGCTGCTCTTTGAAAGGTGACCGAGTCTGAGAGCAGGTCCTGCTGCTTTGCTCATTCAAATGTGTCACTTTCATGTCATTATATTCAGAATCCATGTGGAAATGGATTCATTTTGTGCTGAAACCTTGTCCAAATGGGTCACAAGAAAAATGTTTGATGGATCTGGCAAAGCAGAACACAAAAGCCTGGGGCAGATGAGGTGAAACTGTCAACCAATAGAGCAGATCTGTGGCAGAGAGATATCTCTAATCAGACATTTAGATCAAATGACCACCATGGTTGGCGCACTTTTCTTTGACTCAGAATGAGAACATGCTCTTATTTCTTCAATGTTAGATTTTGACTGGGAGATGGTTACCCCAGCTGAAACATTTAATTCACTGCCTGTTTTGAATTTCTGTTGTCAGTTTCTTTTCATTTGAATTACTTGAAAAAAAACTCCCTTTTAATGTATGAAATGTTAACTGATGTTTCACTCACCTTGTAATAGTTTATCAAGTTCAGGTACTGAAGTGTTGAAATTACATCTTCTTTCTTGACGCTTGTGATCTCACTGATCTCACTACACAAAAAGATAAAAGACATGTTTTTAGTTTAATTGATTCTTTGAAGAGGGGAAGAGATAATTGTTTTGTTTTTTAAGCCTCATACTTGATTGTGATTTGTGGCCTTTCTCCATTGTCAGGTTTGAGGTCCATCAGAATTTCAAGAATTGTTTGGGACCAGTAGGAACGATAAGATAAGAGGCCGAGATCAGACAGCGGCTTCTCTGGAGTGCCGGTCTTCCCCTCCACTTTGGACAGCTCATAGCCTGACAGATGCCAAACACATTAGGTCATATAAAAACGAACATGAAAACCACAAACAAGCAAGCAAGAAAACGTACTTACTAAACTCAATGAGCAGCTTTCCATAGCCTCTGCGCTGGTAAGGAGGCAGAGTCAGGATACAGGCGACGTTATAATCTTCTGTTGATTCTTTTTCCTGCAAACAGTGAATCAAATTAGACTTTGGCAGCCCATGATTAAACTCAGGACTGCTCCCAGGGCGTAACAAGGGAACTGCAAAACAGGGTCACAGTTCTTTGGATGCGCGTACCTTTGAGAAGTAGCCCACTATGTGGAATCCTTTAGAGTCGTACTCCGTCATTACATAGAAGAGGAAAGGGTCCGTGTCGTAATACAATGTTTTGTGGTCCAGGAAACACTTGGCGAGTAAACACAGGTTCTGGGAGTAATTCTGGAAAAAACAGACATGTTTGCTTGAAGTATAAGAAAGAACAGAAAGAGTGAGATGGGACAAAAAAGATCCAGTCACTTACTTTGTTTTTCCTGCCGTCAATCTCGAAAAATGAGATGGTGCCTTTGCGGTAGATCTCGTTGCCTGGAGGATGTCTTAAATTACATTTGGTCTAAAAATGATCAAGAGAGACAATGAGTGCAATGAGGGACTTTCCAATGGTCTGACAGCATCTGAACACGTCCCTGATTTGTCTGAAAGAGCTGCCTGCATATCTGAAGCATTCAGTATTACTAACAGACTGTTGAAATAGTATTTCTAGGCACATGATCAGATTCACACAGAACAAATTTGATAAATCCTCAAACAAAAGCTTTTTAATGCCAGTGTTTGCTTTCTTTTCTTCACGGCATTTGGGCCAAACAAAAACACATTAGCACCTGCTCCAGGTGATAACATCTACACTAATGACTGTGGTGCGATTACAGGCTCACCGCTAAGAGGCTGCCACAGCTCTCTGCTGCACCTACTGATCCCTGTGTTTAGACGAGAACTGAACCTATCCACCACTGGTGTGTTTTACACAAAACAGCTCGACTCCACATAAAGGTTATCAATGGTCATGACCATTTGATGTTGGAAAATTGTTTCCCCCAACGAGATACAATGGCTCTCTCCAGTTTAGTCACTTTAAAAGAAAAAGCTGAAGCGGTCTGAAAAAGGGAAGCTCCACTTATGAATACGAGCTGAATGTGTCAAACAGATTCTTACCAAATGCCTCTGGAGACACTTCAGGCTTTTGAGGTACTTGAGACAGAATTCACAGAGGTAGAGGATGGGCAATGCGGTGAGTTCCTGCGGGTACGGCGAGAAGTACCAGGGCTTTAGTCTGTGCCGTCCCAGCTCTATGCACTCGATATTTTTCATCCGAGTGATGATGTCGTCGTGGCTGCGATCTGACACCAGGCTGCCTGTCATGCGAGGTGCTGTTGGGATGCCATCTGAACTGTCCTGGGAATCCTGGTGATAAATAACAAACGTTACACATGTCAGACGGCTACACTGCTGGGTCTGAGGTAAGGAACACCTCTCTTTATTGGACCCGTTATGGCACAGAAGAATTTGGACAGCAAAACACAGTCAATGGGCAATAATAGAAAATTAAACAGACCTCTGGTGGTGGTAGAAAGACACTGGCACTTTGAGGCTTGTTATACTGCAAAACCTTTATCATCTAGCAGAAAAAGACACAAAAACACGGGCTTTTGGGAACTTAAGAGGGGGAATGATTTTTTTTTCACACTCAAAACTTGGATTTAAATGGGCCATGGACCAGACCAGCATGGGCTTGTCATTAGCCCACTACAGAGGAGTCAGACAGTGAACAACAAGTGAGGAAAAGTTCAAGCACACATTCATTTTATGTGGGACCAACAGAATTGTCAATGTGTATGAAGTACTGATTAAACATGTCCCAAAAGATCATGGGTGGACAACTGTAGCCATTTAATAATCTGGCAAGCAGGTCACGAGAGAAGAGGCCTGACTGATTACACAGAAATAATTTATTCAGACGCAATTAACCTTCTTTTAACTTAGGTGGAGAGCTCTTTCACGTAAAATTGTATGAAATCAAAATCTGATAAAGTCACAATATGATCTTCTTGTAACCTCTCAACAGGAAATGAACACAGTGGATGCTGAAAAATTAAAATATCATGTGTTCTCCAACAGAGACCAGCATGTTAGAGAGTACTACAACTGTCTCTTATTTTAACCACTAATATCTGAAAACCAAACAACCTTCAAACTTCAGCAAACTTTAACAGGTTAATAGGTTTTAGGACAGGACAGAACTAGAAGAGCTGTAAAACACAAATTGCAACAATAAACACTATCACATACATAACCTTCAAACTCATTAACTAATCAAAACTAAAATACATTTCAGTCAACGTAATATGATGGGACAGAAACAACTTTTCCATTTCAGAAGAAGAAAACAATGTAATGGAAACAGTATTGTTCAATTTTTTATATTTCTACATTTTTTTCTTTGTGTAATTACTTAATAGAACGTAGAGATATTTAGTTATAAACTAGAGATTTGTGAAAATATCCCAGCTTTCCCCTTTTTTTTTGTTTTTACGATATAGACTATGCTGACTGTCGATTTCCAAAGTTTACTAGAATATAAAGTGGCTACAATTAATGTGCAGAATCCTACACATAAATACTGAGACATTCGATTTAACTATGAAATTTATGCAACCGTAAAACAATTTAAAATATTTAGTCTACATTTGGAGACATAACTGAAATGGAAGGTTACTTTTGCCTAAAGTACATAAAAGCAAGCAACTACAAACCCAAAAGTGGTTGGGAGTAAAAAATAATAAAATGTTTATAACTTATTTAAAAAAAGACAGGAGATTAGGGTGAAAATATTTGTCACATACCTCATCAGTACCCCCACAGTTGGCTTTCCTCTTCCTCCCGGGCTGAGCGGGAATGAGGCGTCTGGCAGTGCCGTTCTACCATTAAAAACATATTGGTTACTTTTATGACCAAATGATATCAACAATAATATTGATAACAAAAAATTCTACATAAATTACCGTTGTGAGTGAGGTGAGCTGGTCATGGTCCTCTCGGGCCTTGAAGGTGTTGGTCTCCCGTATAGCAGGAAAAACCGCTGCCTGGGAAGCCTCTGCTGAACTTGGTATTGAGGGGACGGGGGGTGCTGGAGGCACCTGGGGTACCAGGGGAACCGTCTCCACTTTCCTCTTCTGCAGAAAATATACATCATTAGATATCTGGCTCAAACAAAATCAGTGTGAAACAATCACAAGCTTGAGTGATTCAGATTGGTTTCCAAACGTTTTCTTATATCCCAGCCTGACCAGAGGATTAAGCTCCAATTCTCACAACAAAGACTGCTAACATGATTTTAAAAGTGGGCCCAGTTTTATGTTGTGAAGAGTGCCAGTTTTCAATTAGGTTGTCTCTAATTAAAGCCACAGCATATCGAATCAAATTTAAACCTGGTATTAAGATGTGATGCTGTTGCATTACAATTACTAATATGCGAGTTCATAAGTTCAACAAACATCTTCTTTCTAAAGTACAGTAAGATAACAACTCTGTTGAGAGGCTGCAATATTCTATATGCTATTCAACACTTGCACATCAAAATCATCCTGCAATACCACAAAACAGTCACTTCCAACTAAGGCCAATCCAGCAATTTAAAACTACAGATACAAACTATGAACTGTATTGTCTGAACTGAAGGTTAATTTCCTGTGTTGTCTTATGAATAGATTTCCCTGTACTTAAAACATTAAATCATAGCTGTATGATTAAAGAGGACACACATTAACACCAGGTTTAGGAAAGTCTCAGACATCTTTAGAGTGGGTAAATTCAACTTGTACCGGTGTGGGGAGGGTTTTGCCTCTGGAAGGAGCTGTGGCAGATTGTGGGTTGAGATCTAGACTCTTCCTCTGAATTGAACATAAAGGAAGAGAAGGAAGGGGGGTTAACTGACATTCATGTTAATCCTCAAATTTCTACTACGATTTTCTGAACAATGAAGTACCAAATAATCACAGAATCAAAGCTTACACTTTCAAATAGAAATGGTGACGAATATTGTTCAAAAGAGATAAAAAAACAATCCATTTGTATGTGAGTAACATCAGAAGCACAGGTAAAGTAAATATAGGTTTCTTCAATGTTGGACTTCTGTTTAAGACATTTTTTCCCAAATAAGACGGTTGCTTATATGAATATATTTTGATAACGTATTGGATTACCTGTTTCTTCGGCAAAGTTGGATCTGGGATCTGGGTTTCAGTCCTCTCACTCACCTCATAAGAAAAAGGAAACATTATGTTAAGGGCTGAAAATGTTCTACAAGCAAAAAGAGTACAAATATAAATCACAATAATAGAAAACATTCACACAAAGTGACATACACTTAAAAACTTTTGCTTCAAGCATCAATAATGCGCTGGATCTGCTTTGAAAAGCACTGCTGACTATCAATAGTAACCCTAGCAGTCTATAATCACCCATCAGTATTGTTTCTGATGGACAAAACAATAACCGAGATCAATGTGGCAGGCAGAAAAAAATGCATCAGCATATTTACTCCATTTAAATGTCTGAGATAAACATTTGCTGTTAATGTATTCACTTACAACTTCTCTCTCTGGTGAACTTGGACGGGAGCCAGAAAGTCCATTCTTTGTTGGCGTTTTAGCTTCTTTTTTAGGAAACTGGAGCTTTTTCATGTCCAGCCGGTCTCCTGTGACCCACTCATCCAGACGCTTGTTAACTTTTGAGACAAACAAAAAAACAGAACATAATTTTAAGTGTTTATTTTACAACTTGCACACAAACTACCTCCCATCTTTTTTTTCCCTTTGAAATTTATGCTACATTTTCTTTCATTTTACACTCAATATAGATCTCCCACTACGTACATAGGACACAAACTGAAGGAAAATCTGAGACTGCATAGACACGTGAGTTGAAACTAAGTAATATCTAAGTGCCAGTAAAATTAAAAAAACAAATGTGTTAGAAGTGACAGGCTGATGTAATGTGTGTTTGTGTATAAAAGCATAAAAATATCAATATGGCAACCTAAAGATTACACATCTGACATAAAAAGTGCAACAAACTGACAAGCTTCTGTTTGCATAACTGACTGACCAAGCAAAGGCATCGCAACAGGTTTGCATCTGAATCCAAACCCCCACACATTGATAAGCAGTACAGTATAAAAATTACTCACAGTCGATGTAGTGAACATAGTACAGCTTTCTCCCAGAAACTTCTTTCACACTTAGAATCTCCGCCAATGCTGAAAAAGGAAAGTCACAGCAGAACTCAGCTGGGGTTAGTAATCATAATGGATGTAATGCATTTCTATCAGATATCTGCCAAAACAAAGAGGATTGTTGGTAAAATAGCCTCACTTTCATGTCTTAAAAATACTGTTTGTTTAGTCAATCCACAGATGCATTTAACGAAACACAATATTAATTTAAATTTCTCAAATGTAAAAAAAACTATCATTACACATGATTGCTTGATACATGAATGGACAACTTCAAAACATGTCACACCTCTTTTAATAATTTCTAACCTAAACATCAAATATCCCATATCTAATATAAAGTTTGATCCTTAAGGTCAAACTCAGTAATGGCAATACACGAGTTAAAGTCAGATGACAAGAAGCATTCTCATTCCTTTAACTCTTTGAGATGAGTAAAAGTGATGTTAATTAATGAGCAAACATTCGAATGTTTAAACTTAAGGTTAATTATCTCAGAGGTAAATGGAGGAGGTGTGGGGAGGCCATTTAGGAGCAACAATCCTGTTGGTAAACATCAGTCTCAGTTACCGCCCTCTTTTTCCTAAAACTGTTGTATTTCTAATACATGTCACTTAATACAGACATTGCTGTTTGAATAAATGGCAGTAGCTTTAACAAACATGTTACAGATTACAAGCTAAACTTTCCAACACCTCGCTACAACACATAAACCTAAATGTGTCACTCTGCGCTTAAACGGGAGACCACGGTTCCTATTAACAACAGCAAGCGGAGGCTCGCAGCCTAGCATTAGCTTAGCATTGGAAAACAAACGGACAATGCTTACGCCATTCGTCCTCGTGTTCTTGGTTTTTACGAAGAACTGGCAAGCGGCAGCCCTCCACAATCTCGACCTGTACAAAATAACATGTCATTTTACCGGCCTGTACACATACACGGCTTCAAAATAACATATTATCTTTCGAGTACATACCGAAGATGAGTTGTCCGCCATTTTCGTCATCTGTTTGAGCAGGAGCAGGGAGTTGTGGGAAAATGCCGGTCCATGTCAAAGATAAAATGCTCAACAAGATAAACCAGGTCTCACTAAGCGGAAGTCGAAAAGCCAACCCGGATAAAGCCTTACTTAACCTTTACTAACCAAAGAGTAATGTACGGTTCATTTGCGTCGTGTCGGATATCGTAGTTCACATACAAATAATAATATCCCCATTAAAAACACCTCTATCATTTAATGAACTTACCAAAAAACATTCTGTAACCATAGCAGTTTAGATATCTATTGTCTTAGTCTTCCTGTCTAAGACATAAATACACAGATTAAAACTACTTATTTATGTGTAGTACTTGCAATAATGATTTGCATGACCTGAAACTGAATGTCTCCAATTATAGTCAATTTTTGTTCATCCCTGATCAGGCTCCAGTTTTGCTTTCTGATGCATCAGTTTCCTCCAGTAGTAGTCCAATTAAAGGATGTCAAGCTCAACCAGCATTTTCCATGGGCTGCCACCAGGGACATAAATCAGAATTAACCTCCATATGCCGTATAAAATTAAAGTCTTTCACACACTATACTGAAAATCTTGCACAAACACAAGTGAAAACCTTTCTCAAAACCTAGTTAAAACATTTACCTCCATCACCTACTAAAAAGCTCTTATAGTGAGAAATGTTCATATAAACTGGTGAAAAGCTCTATCTTTCATACAGACTAGTGAAAACCTCTTATACACATTACTGAAAACCTCACTAATGTGAGAGGTTTTTGCGATGTCCTAATGGAGCTGTATAGAGTGTACAGCGTCTTCCTTAAGCTGATTTTCTTTTGTCATCTGCGCTCAGCTTTTGTGGTGACTAAACTGCCTCTCCACTCTGAAATTTTCCCATTATGTAAATTTGGGGAAGTACTTCAATCCCTCTCATTGTGCTCCATTCTGTGCCTGCAATTATTGTCATCACAATCACAAAGACAATGGAGCCTTTGAGCTGTATAATGTGACATCAAGTATGCAGATCATTTTTGTGGTTCTTTGCAATATATACATTCAGCTGTCCAGTATAAACCATTTTAACACTTCATTCATTTCTAAACATTTGGAAAATGTGTCGGAAGTTAGAACCTCTGAAGAGGTTCTTAAACAAAAATAACAATCCACCTAGAGTTAGTTTTTTTTTTCAACCTCTCATTTTTTCATTCATGTGACTGAAAGTATATTGAGGAAAAAGCTCATTTGGCTTGCAACTATACATGGTATTAAATTACATGAGGGCCCAATTTTGAAATATGTGGTTGCAACGAGTGAGGGCAAAGGTTATAAATTATCTTTATTATAATCATTGGAACAAAGTTCAATATACAGAAGTTGCATTTTTAGTTGACAAACTATGATTAAAAAAAATTAAATAAAAGAAAACAAAAAAGAAAAATGCGAGTAAAATAACTCCTTGATTCCATCAATATTTTTCAAAGCTCTCTGTTGGATTAGCCTGCATAATTTTCAACATGCATAATAGAGTGCGCTCAAGTCTGGTGGATTATTTGCAAAAACAATTATGGCAACATTTTTAAAGAAACTTAAAAAAGGAAATATTTTGCGCTCTCAGCTGAATCACCTCCAAAGCCCCAAACACAATGCTTACACAGGATGGTTTTCAGTTAAAGCAGAATCTCCACTGGGGCCAAACCATATCTGTCATACACTTTCACTGGTCAGAAAATGAATGAAAACATGGGGCTACAGTGTTAATGAGAATCAGACAGGTGAAGTGACAAGTTTAGAAAGAATAAGTGATGGTTCTCTTGATTCCATAAGCCTTTCACAGACTTTCCCAGAGTTACATCTTCTAATTAAAGCTCCTGTATTTATGTGTTGGAGCTCTTTCTTTTCTACAGCCATTTTTTCACCAACCTATGACATATTATCATGGAAAGCATGCAGTTCAGAATTTTCCTGTTGACTGGACATCTAGGACAGAATATTTTAGAATTTTTGCAGGAACCTGTAAACCAATAATTTTGTCATGTTCGGAAATGACAGTGGTCTCATCTGCCCAGGAACTCCAACACACCGTGCATCCATCCATCGAGTTTACTTTACTATTATTATTATTACACTTTTGTCCCTCAAATGAAATAAGTTAAAATGGTTGTTACTGAACGGAAGCCACAAAAACACAAGAAAAAAAGTTTGGACGGAAAAGTCACAGTTCCCTTTTTTTAAAGTTAGATTTCCTTTGGACGGTTATTGCACATAATAAAACCCATAGAAAGAGAAGACTTATAAAGTGACTCAAGCAACAGCAGGGGGAGATATTGCACTAAAAACATCACAATGTTGACTATTGCTGTTATGACAGAAACAAACGTGCTGTAACAGTACTCTTTCTTTGTACTGCACTGATCTCCTATTTGATCCAGCTGCTCTCCAAAGAGACTGCCAAATAGCTACATATTGATACATTTGGTTAACCATTTCATATGCTATCTTCTCATGCCATTAATGTTTATCTGTTACGCTCCCAATCCTGGATTCTCTCTCTCTTGTTAAATCCATTCAGTGACACACCTTTGATTCCAGACCTTCAAAAATGCCAAGTGAGCAACAAAGGATTTGAATATCTTCAACCATGTCGGGTACATACATTTGAAAGAGGAATTTAAATCGCTATCGTTGCTCGCTGAACTTTTTTGGTAACATTTAGGTCATTTCCTTCCTACAGTAACGGCACAATGCTCAGTTACCATTTTGCCATCATACTTTCAAGCAGCGCTCGTTTTAGTTATATAAAAATAAAATCAAATACAAATAAATAAAAAACAATAACCATACACTGAAAAGTGCAAATGTACATTTGTTACATCATGACATATTCACTGTACAATCATCGATTATATGCTCACATTATGTTATGCGTTATAATAAGGATTACTAAGTAGCATAGTTTGAGTAAGAAATATTTCATAGCAAGTCTATTGGAAAATATTTGCATTGCCCCGTGACTAGGAGAGGGTCTTCTAAACATTGCCAAGGTGAAAGTGTGTTTTGGATTGTGTGTGTATCACATGTCTCTGAGTGCGTGTATGTGTGTGCAAAAACCAGCACACTGTCTGTCTGTTGACATAAGGTGTATGTGCAAACAATGAAGCAGAGGAAACTCAAGTCATTCTAGTTCAGAGGCACGAAAACCGCCCAGCCAGCATTTCAAGTATCTAGCATGTTTTGGACAACACACATCTGTCAGACATCAGCAAAGCAGAGAATAAGGAGGACGGCAGAAGAGGGATATGTGGTTTTGTAGCTAAGGGAGGAGGCAGCTAAAGAGTCATACAAGTGGAAACAAGCATTTCAAACAGTAGTAGTGTCAAAAGAATTACACTGATTAGACAAACATAATTCTTTGTCCATAGTTTTACCTATTGCACTTGTCTAAAACACCATTCTCTCTGTAATTATGATACCCCCCCAGATCGGACTGGAGGCAGGTTGCTTGTTTTCACATTTCATTCCCAGTTCACTGGATGCTTCCTTGGTTATGGCTGAAACAAACATGTTACAATATGTTACAAGTAAAGACTGATGCTCAAAGTTTTTCCAAGCACTTCATCCAGGTTTCAGTGTCCTGCTGCCATCAGTGGTAGGGCAGAAGGCTGGGAAAGTGAGAGAAGTCATCCACTGGCAGTTGGTTTGTTTTTAGGTCATATTCTCTCAAGACATGTCTGCTTGTTCTGCACCATGGTACGGAAATCTGATAAGATCATCCAATTAAAGAGACTTAAGACTTAAGTCTTCAGATGACAGTGGGAGGAAATTCATCTTTGCTCCTTATACATCTTCTTGGGAGTTGATGACGTTGACTGGGTTACCTTTTTAGGCACCCAATTGAGACAAGTCACTGGGTCCTCCTACACTAAGAGGATTATTATGGGTTCTCATCCATAGGCTATGCAACATTTTTCTCGATACCCCCGAAAAGAACACATCCAAATTTTTCAGGTTTAATCAAACATGCTTTAGATCTTTTTAAGACATTCTGTTCATTTTTGGCCCAGTTATTCAACATTCTATCTTAACACATCTGTTTGTTTGTTTTTTGTTTTTTTAGGGACCATAATACTGAGCTATTGCCTAGTAAAAAAAAACTCTGGATAAAACGATACCTCATAGTCTAAACTTTTCTTTAAATACCAAACCTCTTCAGTCTGTGTCATACTGTACAGTTTGAATATGGTGCAGCAAAACTTTGAGAAAGTTTATGCGCTGGATTAGTGCCTGTCGTTTCATGTGTATGTGGGGTGAGGACAGAAAAGGGATAAACTTAATATGTTTTCTCACACTGCTAGGGTATGCATGAGCATCCAAATCCATCAGTAGTTCCGTCTGCATGTTTTAACGCTCTGACTTTACTTTGTAGCGAAGAACCAGGTAGGTGGCCAGTCTGAGGACGAGGAAGAAAACCCCCAACACCATAAAGTCCACATAAAGCTTTGCATCCTCCACATCCAGTAGCTGCAGGACCTCTTCTGGCTTTTGAAATTTACACGAAGTGTCTGGACACTCCAGCTCAGACCGGTTCATCCCGTAGATGGACAGTATTACTCCCTCAAAACCATACCTGAAAGCAGAGAGATACAAAACCCCCACACATTTAAATATAACCATCATAACTTTATCGAACCTATAATCAAAATAAGTCCAAGAAGAACCTGATAATCTTGAAAAAATTTGAACTCTAAACAAAGTTGACTGTACCTGACATAGGACACATAAGAGCTCCACTGCAGGTATTTTGGAATGGTGTCAAAATTGACAAAGAAGCCAGAGAAGAGTAGGACGGGTATGGCTGTGACTGGACCCACAAAAGTTGCTACCTGAAGAACAAAACAGAAGTATTTATACATAGAGAGTAAATGATAAATAATCAAAACATATCTTTTTTTAAATCCCCCATTGAAAAGGATTAGTTTATCAAATTAAACCAGATGATGATACCACAATGTAGCTTTAAAAAATAGTTTTTGGTATTTGGTACCGTATTTGGTCACTCAAATCTACAAATAGAACAGCTATCTATCTGCCTCAGCTGTTCATAATTTTTTTGTGTTTCATAAGTCAATTATATGAAACATGATTTATAGAATATGATAGAATTATATAGATAATCACAATTAATTATTAATCAATTATTCTAATAAATAATTAGGACAAAGTAAAGTATGTAACGAAAATCAGGGTACGGTACTTAAAAATGAGTGAAAAAGTTCTGGAGTTCATAAACTGTTTTTCATCTGTGTTTACGTTGTTTATTTGACATGTCTTCAATCATAATGAGAAATGTTCAATGCCATTTTAGTATATGTATCATTCAACATACTAAACTTGATAACCTTGATGGTAAAGTTTAGCTGACAAATTACCATCTGTGCAGAAATTGAGGTGGCAGTACTGTGGGCCCACAGTTTCCGCAACAGAAAGAAGATAGCATCCGTCCCTACCTGCAGAGATGTGGATGCTGCCCCTATGAGCAGGCCCAGTGACTGCGCTACCAGGGCTGTAGATGTTGACAAGGCCATGAAGAGCAGGTAGCGACCAGCCTCAGGAGGCTGCTCCGTCATCCAGTAAACTATACTACAGTACATGATTGGACAAATCACCTGTGAAAGAGATGTATTTCTTCAGTGCCATTCATTCATATTGTATTGGGATTCCTACACGTTTTCCCCCCAAGACATTACCTGGAATGGTATGTCAGCCATAGTCTTGGCCAAGTAATAGGCCTTCAGGCTGTACCAGTAGTTCAGATGTTCCCTTAAAAACACAGACATCTCCAGGGGAACTGTGGTGCAACAGATCCGTTAAGAGACTTTCCATATTAGCCACAAGAGCAACACACCAAACCAATGTTCCCAGGCTCTCATGAGAATCCCTAACTTACAGGTTAGTACTGTAGGCATCAGTGCAGCAAACATGAGGAACAGCATGGAGAAGAAGAGGAAACCGGTGTTGTTGAAGACCTTGCTGGCATCATTTCCGATTTTGAGATAAAGCAGGCCAATAAGGACTCCAATACAAATATGGGACATCACCCTCAGATGAGTAAGCACCTTTAACAAAAACAACAATTCTAACACTTGTAAGTTTTACTAAATGAATAACTGTGGCTCCAGTATAATCAAGTTTTTTTTTAAATTTGAACCATGAAACGTGATCACATTACCGTGTCCCTGCATATGGTTGTAAAAGTCCTTTTGAAGAGGATGCAGAACTGTGTAAATGTACTGGTGGCAAAGCTATGCTTCTCAAGTGTTCCTGTATCCTGTATAGAAAAACATAAAAGATTCAGTTAAACGACATTGGTTTTCAAGCTCTTAGCATCTGCACCATTATTTCGATTATACAACAGGTGTTTGAAAGGGGATGGTGGCACAGAATAAAGTCAAACAATGTAAAGAATTTAAGTAATCAAGTGATGATTTACACTGCAAAATATTCCATTTAGATCTGAGCAATTTCCTGTACTGCTTTTTCAGCCTCCAAAGAAACTAGAAGTATGAAAAGAAAAAACTGAAGGCCATGAACATTGCCACCAGTGTTCAAATGGTTTCTAAAGATTTTAAGATGTAAAATAACTTTGCTTCTCTGACTGGGATGTCAATAAACAAACATCAGATGCTTTATTAGATCTGATAAAGGGCAGGTTTCACTTACACTGAGACACTGAGAGGGACACGAAGAGTCACTTTTGTCTCTGGAGTTCTTCTTGCCCTCCTCTGAGCACAGTCCACCCTGGACTGCCTCAAAAAGAACTGGGTTCAGGTCTCCGTACTCTCCTGATGCCACCTCAATGACTAGTAAAGAGATGACAAGCTAGTAAGAGCAGATAGACCATAAAAAGGTAAACAGGCATTCCAAATTTCACTTAAGGCAGGGGTATCTAACTCCAGTCCTCTAGGGCCGCTGTCCTGCAGGTTGTAGAAGTCTCCCTGCTTGAACACATCTGATTCTGATGAAAAAGATCAGTTCAAAAGTTCTGCACAAGCCTGATAACGACACGCCGATGTGAATCAGTTGTGTTGAAGCAGAGAAACCTCTAAAGGCCGCAGGCTGGTGGCCCTCGAGGACCGACTAAGGACTTGAAGAACTTACTGAAATCAGCAGGATTGTGATATGTTGGGCAGTGAAGCCCCAGGTTCTTCAGATATGGGATGAGGTACGGCACCGTGCCCTTGTATATGCACTGACCCTGACTGAGGATGTACAACTGGTGGATGAGCAACACAGGTACAGAGTTATCAGCATAGTTTCCAACGCAATACCTCTCTCAAAATTGCAGACAAAACAACAGGAATGGATATTGACTACTGCATTGCTTCAGCTGTATGAAATAAATCATGCCAACTTCTGGCGTACTGATCAGGGCAGCGGCTAATGGAAGGTTAGAGACATCCGGCAGCAAAAGCACTCAACTTACCTTATCAAACATCTCAAAGAGCTTGGCACTGGGCTGATGAATGGTGCAGATGATTGTCCGTCCTCCCTGAGCCAGAGACTTCATGAGGGAAACTACCTGGAAGCACGATGCGCTGTCCAGACCACTAAAATGGAAAAATTAACAGATGGAAAAACAAAGCAATGGATGCGCCACTGACTCTGGATTTGAAAGGAAATGATACAGATTTGAAACATATACTGATTGTGGGATTTTACCTCGTCGGCTCATCAAAGAACATAACTGGTGGATTGTTAACCAGCTCCAGAGCAATGGCCAGTCTTTTACACTGACCCCCAGACAGAGCGTTGGTCCGTGTCTGAGCACATTCCTGCAGTCCCAGAGCTGTCAGGATCTCATCCACCTCAGATACGAGTAAGAGAAAACATGTTACGCAAAGACATCCAATCAATCAGACGGATCCCAATACATGACTGTTGAATGAATAGATCTCATAAGCTCATTGTGGAAGACCTGGATGCAGAAAAGAGGGTGACTGTATACCCTGGCTGCCGTCTTTGTGCAGTGTTTGGCTTTGCTTACATGTTGTGCCTGTGCTATGATCCCAACAACCGTTCCTGAATTAATCTACTGTAGCATTTAAAGCAAAAATAACAACAGTTCCATTCCAGCCTTTGAGAATCTATTTTACACTAATAACAGTGGTTTTGTTAGTTGCTTTGTTCTTTTTATTTCTACTCTGTTGTTCTCTTCAGTGTACAGGGTTTTTTAGCACCTCAGGACTTCGATTGAACAAAAGTTTTGCAAGAAAAACTGGAAAACACTTTGATCATATCATATGAACATTGTAGATTATTTCATTTTGCATGCACCTGCTTTCTATTCTCAAAGGAAGACTAATTTGGCCAAAGCAAAAACATTTTGGGCTCATCATGTCTATTATTTTCATGCCGCGCCAACAGCAAAAATGTACAATAGGATCACCACATTCAGACTCACAAGTTCCTTTTTGACCTGCATGCTCTCATTCAGTTTCAGATGGACAGAAACCTGAAAGATAGACAGAAGTGAAGATTTATGACTCAGTTTTGGGAATCGGGGATGTACTGCGTTATTCCATGAACTCACCATCATGGCCTCCCTCACTGTGAGATGTGGCAGCAGCATGTCGTCCTGCATGATGTAGCAGGACATCTTCCTAAAGGTCCGAAGGTCCCTAGGCCGGCCATTCACCAGGATGGTGCCCTTCATGCCGGTTTCCCTGATTCGATACACAAGGAATTCATATAACATAGTCTTCCTAGTGCAAATATACCTATGATGCAGGAAAGAACATACTAGCCACCGTACAGGTCAAGGCCTCACCTGTACCCTGCCAGAATATTCATCAAAGTGGACTTCCCAGCTCCAGAGGGGCCCATTATGCCAATCAGCTCTCTGTTGCAGAATCGTCCTGACAGACACTTGAGGAGAGCCTTGTAACCTAACAGGAAGACCAAAAAAACCCTCATTTATGTATCTGTAATTTATGCACATCAACTCATGACCTGTCCTTTAAAAAATTACCTGCATAATTTTAAGTAAATAAACCTTGATAAATCTTAAGCTCCCTTTATAAACCTCTCTGTTTTGTGAATTTGTGGACAGTGTGGCACACTATTGAAATTAAAGCATTCAAATGCTCCATAACTGTTCATTGAAGCCTGGAGAGAAAATAAAAAGTCATGAGTGTAGTAGCAGAAGCAAAATCTCAGTGTCAAGCCTGCATTCATGGAAAAACAAAAAATGCAAGGCAAACTTCACAATGAGACGAAAAAAGAAAAAGATAAGATTAGCTTGCGTTTGGGAGAACAGAGCATCGCTCACACCCCTAAGAATACTGCAATAAAAAAAGATTTAAAAAACATCACCGCAAAAAATGTATGATGTTGATGCCCTGCTGGCACTAGCAGTAGAACCATAGCTTTTACTTCCCTGCAGCAGTATTAAAAATGGTCTGTGTGGTATGGACTGCAAATAAAGATGGATGAAGTTATTGTGAACCATACGGACACATTTTATAGAGTGTTCTGAAGAGCAGTGTGAACATCAGGCCAACCAGATTTGGAGCTGATGTGACTGAAAGCCTCCAGAAGCTAAAAAGATTTAGAGAATTTCCTCATCATTTTAAACTTCGAGCCAGTGTTCACGCAGGCCATTTGCCAGCCTTAAATTGTGCTATTAGCATCTCAACAGCGCTACCATCTTTGAGTGAAAAATAACACTGCCTCCTCATCTCTGACAAAGTTAGTACAACAGACAGCTTCCACTCAGCCAGGGGAGCTGCCCGCTATCAGCGAGCCAGCCATGCCCGCTGTGTGGTGCATACTGATCATCTAACCAGTGCTGTAGGTTGCACATAACAATGGTCTTATCTGTGTGAGTCTACAAGCCCATCTTTAGGTCTCATCAGACCACACCAGCAAGTAGGGAGCTCATCTCAAAGTCCATCCAAGAATGTTCTGACTTTTGATAGTATTATTGTTATTCTAGCATGTGATACCAAAACCAGTAAATGCTGGATTGAATAGGTTGGTTAAATTGAATTCTTAATCTGGCTTCTCAGCATAAAATGTCAATGTGGTCACTGTTTTTAATAAAATGACACACACTGTATTTTAAAAAAGTGGTGCCGCCAGATTAGATTGAGGAAGCATGCCCTGAAAATAAACAAAGAAACATTTGCGTCAACTCATGTTAATCATTACAAAGGTGTTGATTTCCACAGATATGCCATTTGAAAGAATGGATTTCCTTCTTCACAAACTTATTATGTGCAGCTTTCACTTTCACTTTGAGAAACCATTTCCTAAATGTTACTGGCTAAAGCTGAATAAGTTTCCTCAGTCTCACTTCCCTTGAATAACAAACTTAATAGAGTACACTCAGTACAGAACACGGGAGGAGGATCCTCATGAGATGTAGGGGAAGCCTAAAGAACATAAAGCTGACAAAATGGCGTGGTGGGTGATTTGAAGCTAGGGCAGGTTTATCTGCAATGTGTCAACTGTCATTAGGGCTAAGCCAACCAGCAGCGGCACAAAACTCTCGAGCCTCTGTGTATCAGCTCAGAAAAATGTCCCAGCATCTTTTTTTATGCTTCTTAGTCTGAACAAAAACCACAATGTTCTCCCAACATAATGTGTATAGGTTTATAATGACTGCTCTGTGTTTGTATTAATGATCCGTCTGTTTTTCACTTTCATTTAATTTTATTGTTGCACTGTTGCTGACCACAAAATTACGAAGCTATTCTAACTGCAACAGATGAAGTTATCGCGTAGGTTTTAATGCTTTTTAAAGGGAAACTGACCTTTTTTAATCTCTTAATAAGTTTTCTTCCTAAAAAAATATATCATCATTGCAGGTGCCCAGAGATGACTCACTAAACCACCCAGAGGCATGTAAACATTTCCTGGTCTCCTTTCCTCCTCCCATGTGTCTTTCCCCATTCGAAACTTGACTAGAGATTCTCTCATAATATCCCTCGGGAGGAAAACACCATCAACATGAAAGCAGGTCCAAAGGTTTCGCCTTAGCAGCAAAAAATGACTGGTCTCACCAGGAAAAGCTTACTTTTCAAATGCAAATCCATTCTTCCGGAGCCCTTTTACAATAGAATGAATTATTCTAAATTTACCATGTTTATAATATCCTTCTCCTGGTAATCTTTTCCTGCTCGACACAGACATTTAAAGACATGACTCATCCGGTCAGAAGCTCAGAGACTAAACCATATTAAAACACAAATGACTTCATGGGCTCAGAGCTCCATGGTTGATGTTGCATGCCATCATTTTAATTCCCTTTTCTCTCTACTAAGTGTATAATTGCATTTAATTTAGAACAAGTGAAGGTAAATTATGTGTTTTTTCAGGCTAAACTGATCACCAACAATCAAAGCACAAAGCAGGACAGCACAGTTAATCTCTGTGTGATTAGACATTATTTACAGCTTTTATCAGACACTCAGAACATGGCTTGAATTATTCTAAATTAGCTCACATCTTGCAAATGGCTTGCACCTCACCCTTTCACCCAATTCCTCTTGTAGCAGTGAGGTTGTAGGGGCACAGCCTACTATGTCTGAGTCACTGATGCTTTATCGGTCTGAGGGCTGTTCCAGTAAGAATCTAAGGCCCCGACCATGGCTCTAAAACGTCACTGCTTGACTGTGCTGTTTAACAATAAATCTATGATACTCACTGTTGTGCTGACGGAGAAGATTGATTACATCTGTTTTGGCTTACACAAATGTCTTTTTTCTTCTGGTCCTTCCCCTCTGCAGCTTTGCCTTGCATCAATATTTTCAGGATCAATAGATCTATTTGCTATGTATTCTACCACAGTTGTTATTCTATAAATATTTCTATTCAAATTTCTGTGAATTTGTTCGTTTTTTAAAACTTATTATATACTGACCTAACATAAATTAACCTAAATTTCCCATACTGTGCTTAGGTGCACAATCACGTTACTTAAGTTAAAATTTCAGGGTAGTTTCTCTGGCTGTCTGCACACACACAGGGGTACACCCACTAAGCCATCCCGAAAAAACTGAAAATAAATAGCCAACTATCTACTAGCTGCATCTGGACTTTGGGAGATAATTTCTGTTCAGAAACCAAGGCTGACGGGCCAAGGAAGATAAGCCTGGGAAACAACGCGAAAAAATGGAGATCCCAAGTTGATTCGAACGAGACTAATGAAGGCAACACACAAGCAAAGGCTGATTCATTGATATGCGCTAGAAAAACCTTAACTGTTGTTCTCTCTGGTTCTAATTCGCCTCATTAGTGAACACTATACTTTCATGCTTGACAAAACCACGGTAGACAATCCTCCATCAGCCTTTCACAATGCACATCAATATTACACAAGACTAAAAATAACACAACCTGCAATGCATCATGTGGTGGATTTCCAAGGATACCATGTGGAGAATACAAATAAAGAATTCCTCTGAAGTATCACCCTCCAAAATGTACATCACAAGGGCCGCTAATTGTAAACAGACAAAAGCAAAGACTGGAGGTAAATTATTAGCAGGTGTGTCAAGTTTATGCAACGGTCATATGTCATGAGCAGATCAATCATGGGCCTGACTCATGGCCACCGCCTATAGCCACAAAACACAGAGCAAGGAGATGCAAGCGGTGTGCCACCCTGCAAGTGTAAATTATTTACTGTGTCTAAACTCTGCTGAGTGCAGCAAAGCTTGCAGGCTCACTGGCTGCTCCAACATGGAGGAATTCTGTAAGTGTGTGTGTAACAACTGGGCTGGGCTCTGCGTTTCACAATGGAGAGAAAACACAGGAATGGCACAGAGGAGGAAAAGACGCATTTTGAAATAAATGTCAGGAAGGCTTTTGAACGCCTCCCTTGAAATTTCTGAAGTCCAGATATTGATCATTATGGGTTTGTTTGCTTGCTCATCAATCACGGTTGTTGTGCAAACTGAGCCTGCAGTACCTCTCCTCCTCCACCAGGGACCCTCCCGGATGGTGTAAGAAAGCTCATTGAACTCCAGATCCACAGCAGAGCGGCGTGGGAGGTGGGAGAAGCGCTGAGCCTCTGTAATGTGGTTCTCCACTTTCTTCAAGTGGGTGAGCAGAGGGGCCTCCTGGGGTGCTCCTCCTGGGAGTTTTGTCTCCTCCATGGGGATGCTAACCGAGCCCTGATCCAGTGTCCTCTCAGCCATCTTGAAAATCTGCAAAGCAGCACAGACATATCAGTCCAAGCACTGAAAGAAGAGAGTGACATACTGCCTCTTAGCTCTACATATTCACACATGGACTACCTTGGATGCTAATTGATATTCACCAGAGAAAAACTTGAAAGTTTGTCAAAGATATTCTTTAACCAGTATTTTTTATCCTTTGTACTATCTTTTAAGTACTATCCTTTATTTGTAGGAAATAAAGGATAGTACTTATTCACTCCTTGGTTTAAATCGGAATATGGTTCAAACCTTACTGAAATAAACCAGATCAACAGAAATATTTAGCATAAAACAAAAAAAGGAATGACTACCATTGACCACATTATAACTAGTGTATTGTTTGATGGCCATCGATAGGAAATCGCTCTCCCATCAGTTATCACATCACAAAGGTGTGTTCCAAGAGTGATTTCCCTCTGACTGAAGTCATCATCTCAAAACAAGGTGCTGTACATGATCTGATTACTGTTTATTATATGGACTGGCTGCTTGAGGCCAATGAGATTGCGTGGAGCAGGAGATCTGGTTTCAGCCCTGCAGCACACTTACACTCCAGTACTGCTGATACTCATATATTTCCTCCCAGACAAGGCGGCCTGTCTGAAGTGTAAGCCATTCAGTGCTCGATGATAAGTCTTCCAGTAATTTCAAACTAGCTTTTCTGATATCAGTAATCAGTGCATCTTCAGAACTGTATTTCCTATTTAAAATAGACAAAGTTATAATTTACTTTGAGCAAGATGAAAGATGATTGTTAACAGACAAAAGTTCTCCAGAACAAAACAAACTGCACGCATCATTTTATGATTTTTCAAAAGCAGCAAAAATTGCCTTTTGGTGGTTTTGCAACATAAAAAGGTTCGTACAATGAACACTTTTGGGTTTATACGTAAATTAATGGTTGGTATTCTCCTCTTTGGGAATGGATTAAAACAGATTAAAGGTTTAAGTGATAGGTTTAAAGAATAATGGCCCCTTACAAGCCGAAAACGTTTGGATAGGGATCCAAGTAATTAAAAGCAGGAAGAAATTATTTTGAATTTTGATACACCAATGAATAATTAATAATAACATTTATAAAACATATTCAAGTTTGAAAGTGAGACATTATCATTATATTAAACAATTTGATGGCAGCTTAGAAAGTATGAAGTTCTAAAGCAAGAGAAAGACATTTCTGTTAAGGAGGTTAATTGCCAACCCGTAACATGCCTGAAAATAATGAAAAGCTTAGAGACACAGTGGTTCAACAAAATGCCGAAGCCTGCACATGGAAAAGTAGGTGAAGCAAAAGATGGAAAAAAATTAGAGACATCTCTGTGCACAAAGGACATGACTGAAAGTCTGCATTGGATGCCTTTCCTCTTCAGGTCTCTGGGCCCTCCGACTACTGCCTGGGCTCAGGAACACTTCCTACAAATGTGCCCACTACAAATGCAGGTTAAACTATCATTTACGAGATAACACATTCATTAGAAACAGTGCAGTCTCATCTGGGTCAACACTCAGTAAAAATGGAACTGGAAATGTGCACAAATGGAAAGGTGCCATCAAAGGTGAAATATACAGAGGTTTCAGAGCAACAAATACTCCCATTCAGAGATCATCTTTTCTAGGGAGGATCTTGCATATTTCAGCAAGACATTGCATGGCTTCACAAGGGGAATATAGTAGCATAGATGGTCCATACCTATCATTAAATTAAATGAGTAATGATTCTGACTAGGGATTTTCCTCTAGATGACTAATGATAACTGTAATTTTGTAACTTTGTAAGTCACTTTGGATAAAAGCGTCTGCTAAAAGCATAAACATAAACAGCAATGCATCATCAAATACAAAATAGAAACAAGACTCCCGAGAGGCAAGAATCTCATATTAGACAAGAACAGGAGAACATTTCTCTTCCAAAAGTCCAACAACTGGTTTCCAGGCTGTTGTAAAAAAAAAATGAATGCAGCACTGTGGTAAACATAACCCCCCCACACATATATGGTAAATATGAGGTTGATTTTCTTTTCAATCACACAAACCAATGTACAGTAACAACAGCACAAAACAAAACTATTTACCCCTCCTCAAACTTTAAGAATCATATAGAATTTGACACGCAGAACAGGTTGAAATTTTGCAATATTATGCATGGAAACACATCCTGCATCACTGCAGTCTGGTAGTATTCTCCAGCCACTGTGTACTCTCTGTGACACACCGTAGTCTGTGTGTAATAAAATATCCTCATGTGAAGACGAGCAGTGATGAATTTGACCATGGCTTTTATTGATCATCCTGCCATTAGTGAATTTCCATTAGCAGCCCGCTTATAATCCGTGCAAGACACTGACAGACTTTAATGGCCTCTCTCCGTCAGAGGAAGGCCTCCATGTTTGGTCATGTGCAGCTCCCAAAGCAGGACACGTGAGCACCACACAGCCATAGTAAAAGTCGCCTCTAAGAGGATGAAATATGGTTATTAAATGCATCTGAATTTTTTTCCTTGGGTGGGAAGCATTACAGGGATGGGGGCTGCGCTTTGCTGTGACTTGCCAGTCATGAGTGATGCTCTTCTAAAGCACCTGTTAACAGCAAAGTAACCCCACTGAAAACCCATTTAGGCCCATATAACACACTGATAAACACACCGTTTAAACCCAGGAAATAACTTAGCCATCAGGAAAAGTTACTTGATGTATTCTTTTCTGATAAGGTGTCTGAGAAAATATAGGGCATGGCCTTACCAGTCAATCTAACAGTGAGATACGTCGCGCGCACAATAAAGGAGACATAAAACATACTTGTTGTTGTGTGATGAAGTGTCCAGCTGAGCGGCCCAGCTCAGGTCCTCTCTTTTGAGTGAGAGCAACAGCTCTCAGTTGACCTCCTCAGCCAAAGCAGCCCAGTCGTTCAGCATCAGTCCTCCCATGTATGGGCTACAGCACTGGTCAGTGTGGGCAAAACAAAAGAACGCTAAATGTCCAAGAGGCTCTCGGTGCGCCACGGTCCTGCAGAAAATTCGGATCGGTTGTGCGACATTGAAGGACCGAGCTGAATTCTCCTCATCGGTATCTGACGGGGTGCGGCGCTCATCATCATCATCCCGCATCCACTACAGCAACCCCTGAGATAACGATCACGTCCGGCCGGGATCAAACTATGACTGCATCCCCGAGAATCGCCAGGGGAAGAGAGTGCCCGTCATGTTTCTCCTCGGAAAGACTCTTCCTCACGTCAGATCTGTCCGTCCCGTGGTCAGGCGGGCTCCTCACAAACATCCTCGGCAGAGATGCAGATGGCGGTTTTCATCCCCCCTTGACATCCGGGATGATCTGAAATCGGGCGAAGAGCGCTGCGGATGCCTGAGCAGCATCAGCTGCAGCCCGGTGTGTGTCAGCGACCGTTTTCCCCCTCCACCGGCTGGTGCGTCTGCGTGGAGCCACGCTGGTCTGGGATGCAGGGCGTTGTTGCTAAGATGCTACGGCAGGAAACACCGTTTTGCTTTTAACGCCTCCAATCCACACCCAGACATCGTATTAAGAGATTTAAAAATAAAGGGATACATAAACACTCACACTAATTCATCAAAATCCATGTGTGTGTGTGTGTGTGTCTGTGTGTGTGTGCGGAGGATCTGGAAGCTGTGCGGAGCCAAAGCTTGGACCCTGACCAAAAAGTTGGAATAACTTCACAGCTTTAGTGAAACAGATTGTGGTTATATTAACCACTATATCTCTGATGAAAACATCAACATTTTAAGTCATCCATTTTCCCTCCCTTGGGTCATTTGATCTGTTTTGATAACAGGGAGTGTAACAAGCTAAAAGATTTAGAGAAAGTAGCAAGCGAATAACGTCAGATAAGTCTCTCAGCTGGCCTCGGATGCTGATGAGTCAACTTTGATGCCAACTAGCCGAGGGAGTGGAAACAGGAGGGTTTTGGTGAGACTGGAGCCCCGCTGTCTCTTTAAAGGCCGCACCTGCGCAGCTGCCTGGTGCTGATGCTGCAGTGCCCGGGTTATTTTCGGTAAAACAGACGGGGTTACTCGCGTTCAAGCGGGTCCTACATCTCTTACATCACCCCCTGAGAGGAGATCAAAACCATTTTTAGCTAATCACACCTGCTTCTTAATCAGACTCATTTAAAACTTCTCTCAAGTCGCCTCATGCACAATCTCTGCACACCAAACCCATTTTCTTTTAGTAATTTAGCCTCTTATGGCTGCTAATGTTATCTACCAGGACCAATCTTTTTGACAATTGACGGCCACTATTTAATTTAGGCTGACTTCAGCCTTATGATCTACCCTGCAAATCATAAATATGTTGAGAGGTCATGTAGGGTTTACTGGATAAGATTACATTTTTGTGTTACACTTAATAAAAGGTTGCATATTGGTCTTTTAATCTTGAAATGGAGTTCAATTTCCCTGTTTGGGATTGTAGCATTATATAAAAAGCCATTGTTATCTTCAATCTTTTCATTTAGGGAAATAATAAAAATTCAAGCTTGATCATTTATCAATAGGGAATCATTAACAGCTTTTCCTTTTAACCTGTGTTTGTAGCACACAGGTTAATAGTTTCCCTTTGTGGGATAAGAGAGCCAGTGTTGTTTTTTTGCAGTGTAATCTTAACAAATCGAGCTTTGCAAACACTGCAAATGGCCTTTGGGATTTGATTGTGGGTACAAGTGTAGGTGAGGCCTCCTATAAGTAGAGGTGATGTGTTGTTTGACAGACACACGAGTTAGAAGCTCTCACGATGGCGCTCAGTCCAGTCACTCTGCTCTCCCTCGGCTTTCTTCTGTCTCTGGCACAAGGAGCTCCCTCAAACAAAGGTACATTTGGGAAAATATGTTCCCGCTGTATGCATCACGCGGCGCGTTAATATGACTTTGTGTGCAGGTCCAGTGTCTTTACCCTTCAGGGTGTCTGTGGAGAATGACCTGTCCAACTTGACTCCCGTGTCCTATGCCAGCTCGGTGGTGGAGGGGGGGGTTCTGATTGGAGCTCTGAGGAGACTGCAGGAAACACAAAATGACTTCAAGTGAGACAACCCCTGAGATCCTCTTTAAGATTTTGGCTTGTCATCCTCTATTTTTGGAGGACAGAAAAGCTGCGTTTCCAAGCTGATAATGACCCATTTCTGCCTTGCTTTGATTTTCTCCGATGCCAGGTTCACAGTGCAGGAGCACCCAGACTTTGGGCCATTTCTGGAAAGTGTGAACGGCGTGGCTGGAGATGAGGCTCAGAATACATACTGGGAGATCCTCTCTGAAAACTCCGGAGAGTACAGCAGACTGGATGTGGGTGAGTATCCTCCCCAGAGTTTTGGCACAAAATATCTAAGGAAGACTTAATGAGCTGTAATGTGGCTGGAGAATTGGTAGCTCTTTCACTTACTGCTTTACAGTGTTGTCTTTGGTGATTTAATTTAAACTTGTGTGTCATGGCAGCGACGTTGTACGTCTTTTTTTTATAAATATAGGCTCAGGAGTGCTTCAGAACAATTGAAAACCACCACCTCGTGTCCTTTTTCACAGGAATCGGCTGCTACACACCGGCAACGAATGAGCACATCGTCTTGAGGTTCAGCACCTGGACCCCCAACAGTGATGAGTGATCATCAGAAACTCTTCTGGTTCAAAAGGGAGGAGACGCAAGATTTATTCTTCATGATTTTTCTAATACTGCTCTTTGTGTACACATTGCCATGGAGGGAAGGAACACAATGGCAACATCTAGTGGTTATTAGGAGCAATAGTAATAACAAATCAACTGAATCTGTCTGGTCCAATGACAAATCTGTATACATTCTCTGTATCTTATCATAAAATTGCAAATGGTCTCGAGGTATGATGCATGCAACATTTGATTTTAAGGCAGTACTAGTAGATAAGAAGTGATCTCTTAAATCCTGAACCTTGTGATTAAAGTGTCTGCAGCTCACACCTGCAGCTTTATGGAATCACCCTTTGTATTTCAGATTGATTCATTTGTTTGAATACACCAACATCAATTTAGAGCTACAGACTCAGTCTACAATATATAAAAAAGATAAAGATTTCAGTTTACAAAAATATCAACTATCTTTCCAAAATCAGTGATTAAGAGCTACAGATACTACAACATCTATAAATATAATTTGTTGATAAGGAGTACCACAAACTGATCCACCCTTTGAAACAAGATTAACATGTCAGCTCCTTCTTAGACAGATGGACTTAGACAAAAAGTAAAGCAGAGATCCAAATATCTGTTTTCATTTTCCTAATACCGTCTCTTTTTCACCTCATCTCATCATGCACACCAGCAATACATCAAATTCAGCAGAGCGGTGTTAGCGGAATATTGTCATCATAGATCACATGTGTTGACTGAATTTAGCAGATTTCAGTGACCTAGATTTGAACCTCAGACAATGACCTCTTCTTGCCATATATTTATATGTGGAAGCAAAACATTTTCTGGAGTGTTTCAGAGTTTGTGGGTTTGTGTCTTGAAGCATCCAGATCTCAGTCCACTGTTTTGTCCAGGCATCATCTTCCTTTGAAGTCCTGCTGCGTTGATGACATCGTTTCTTGTGTTTTTAGCCTGCATATGCTAAAAATAAAAAGCCAAACGAGTTTGTCAAAAAAAAGGCAGGCGAAGATATCTTCAAAGCAGCAACAAAGCACATTCAGATCTATTTCTGTTAATAAAACACTGTGGCATGCTCCCCTTGAATCTGTTCACCGAACACAATTTGTGACTGTGGAAGGAAACGTACTCACCACACGACAGAGCGCAGTCACAGATGCAGGGGACGCACTGTGAAAAGAACCGCTTCCAGCCTGTCTCCTTCTTCCTACAGTTATCTATCAGAGAGCAGCCCAGTTTGGGTGCACCAAAGTAGCTCTTATGTGCACAGGTGGCGTCGCAGGTCCCATTCAGCTCCCTCTCACTGATTTCAACACGTCCCCGCTGACACATCCCTAAACGGAAGAGAGAGAGACTCAGACCTTTCCTCTGGAAGCCTTTGCCACTGAGTCTACTCTTTACTCACGGAGGCAGGTTGGTTTTGGGGTCCAGAGGCCGTTGGCCTGGCAGGAACTGGTGGAGTTACCCACCAGCATGAAGCCAGAGCGACAGGTGTAGCGCACCACGGAGCCCACCCACCAGTCATTACCGTACACCACTCCATTATAGTCCACGTCTGGCCGGCCGCAGTTCACTGACACATGAGGAATTCATGATGCAAAGCAAGGAATTTGGCTATGTTACCAGATACAAAGAGACAGAGTCATTTCGCTGTAGGAGTGGAAACCATTTAGACTCACCTCTGCAAAGGGACTTGTAGCCGAACCAGCAGCAGGTCGAGTTTCCACAGCGATCTCTTCTCAGCTCCCGATGGCGAGCCTTACATCCACCCACACAAATGGGGGCTGACCCAGACCAGTATGTATCATCTACAAACTCCGGCTGGGGCATCCATTCGGTCTCACCTGCACAAAAGCATTTTTTTTTTCCTCTCTCAATACACAAAAGCTTTTAACCAACTCATTCAGAAACTGTCCTCTGCATGCATTCGGCAAATTCAATGACATAAGAGCAGAAGACGACGAAAAACACTACTAGAGTATGATTGGAAAAAAAGTAAGAGATCATACCACTGAGTTCCAGCTCTGCATTCCACTCAGGCAACTGAGAAATTCCTCTGTGGAAGGACCCAAACAGCAGCGGCAACACCACATTTAACAACATGGCGCCCATCATATGCAGCCATTCCTCTCAGCAACAAATTCTCAAACTCATCTGAGGGCTGACCACTAGCATTAGCCCATACAAACTGAAGTCAAAAGAATAGAGGTGCCATGTGGACCCGTCCCCGTAGAGCTGCATTGATTAAGTGAGGAGGCAGTGAGTTTAAGTCACATTCAAACTAAGCTGTGTGCTGCCTAATCTTCTACAACGCTAATGCTGCGCACTGTATCATGCTGTGACCAGACCTGAGGCTTTGGCAAAGCTTGGTCATGATTTAAGTCATTTGAAAAGGCTTTAAAAGGGATCACTGCATATAAAGGGGGATGAAAGGATTGTCAGCTATGGAGACATAGGAAAGTTGAGGTTATGATGGTTTCTGCAACTCATGTAGATACTTAAAAAAAAATCTTAGCATCTTATAAATTTAACTGAATGTTTTTACCTTTTATGGAATCAAATCTTTTGGTTTAAAAAGTAGCTGTCACGTCTCTCATCCCTCACAAGTTACAAATTTTCTATCATTGAGAATCAATCACAAATCACAGTTTTTGGGGGCTTTGGAACATTAGACAATAATAAAAATAATGTCTGCGTGGATTTTCTGTGGTTACTTTGGCTTCCTCCCCTATGCATGTTAGGTCAATTGGTCACTCCAAATTGCCCCTAGGAGTGATTGAGTGTGTGTGATTGATTGTCTCTGTGATGGCCTGGCGACCTGTCCAGGGTGTGGCCCGCCTCTCGCCTGTTGTCAGCTGGGATAGGCTCCAGCGCCGCTGCCGCCCCATGGTAAATAAGCGGGATAGGAAATGGTTGGATATTCAGTTGGTTGGCAGCTCCATCTGGTGTTACTATTTTAATCAGCCTGTAAGGGTTCAACAGATCCCTCCCCAGTGATCTGCGTGCAGCTGAAGATTAGTGACCAAATAACATATACAGCCGCATCACACATCTCTGAACTGGGAAATATAATATTTAATAACCAAGAATCCAAAAGCTGTGCATCCCTCTTGTGCAGGCTGAATGAGCCACTAACATCAAAGATCAAGGCTGATCTTTACTTAAAGGTACACGGTGTAGGAATTTCTCCCATCTAAAGGTGAAATTGTATTTTGCATGACAGCATGACTTCCCCATCATCGAGTTTTCTCTCGGGTGATGAGGTTTGTAATTACAAACAAATTGCATTGAAGCATTAGTGTGAGCATGTAATTACTCTTCGAATAAGAGTCACGTGACTCTGGCTCTGAACGAAAACCGTTGTGGATTAGCTAGACGGGGAGTGCTTTATGTCCCACTCTGTGGTTATAGTTTTTAAAAATGGCGGAACAACATGGAAACCTCCATGGACTTGCCCGTCCTATGTATATACAGATAGGAAATTCTTCACTTATGAGAAGTCAGATCATTGCAAGGGTAATTTTATACCAAATGAGGCCACATTTATAAATGAAGAAAATTATTTTAAATAATCAAATACTTCAAATACTACACAGTGTCCCTTTAAGATCTTTCATTTAAGAAAAAAGCTCCTTGTGATGATAAAAATGCTTCATTGTGCAACAAGAAAAAAAGTTTCAAATATTTATTCAAGTTTCAAATATGATCAAGAGAACCCTCTTGACTGGACTTCATACATTTCGGTTGATTATCAGAATTCAGACACAACGAGCTTTGAGTTCGAGTCCTTAAACATCTAATGTTTTTGTCCGAATTTAGCCCAAAGTATGGCATCTCACTCATCTCATGAGAATACACAATGACACATAAATAAACTGAAAATTATTTTTAAATACTGGCAAACATGGTTAACATTAGAAAATGAAAATACATTAAACTAATGACCTAATATAGGCTTACCGACAGCTGAAATATTTCACGTCTCTCCATATGTTTAACCAGTATGTCAAAACTGCACAGTTTCAGCGAGGACAGGATCTGTGTCCGCTCATTCCACCGGCACTGCTTGATCCTGGACCCCATCCTGGAGTTGCAGTATAACAGAGTCCTCCCCGGCCTGAGAGAAACCTCCTGCGAGGACATAAAGCATGCTCTCCTCCTGGCCACCCTGCTCTGTGCTGATGGCCAGCTCCTCAGTCCTCTGCTCCTCCAGCAGCACCCCTCTCAGTTCTACCTGGGCTTCTGAAGCCGCTGACGCACATTCTCCCTCCAGCTCCTGTTCTTCTGTCTGACCTCCGCTGTCGTCATCCTCCTCCACTTGCCTCTTTTGTCTCTCCCTCATCAACTGCTCTGTCAGCTCCACGCTCTCGTAACGAATGAGCTGCAGTCGCATGAAGCCGTCCTCGTGTTCTTTGTACCTGACAGGACGATAATACTCAAAATCAGCACATACAAATCGAGTGTTATGTGGTTTATTTAAGATTAAAAAAGAGATAGAAGATTTACCTGAACCTGGGGTGTCCAGAGGGCCACTTGAATTGGTGCTTTTTGTGCAGATGGACGGTTAAGCTGTTTCCCCGGGTGAAACACTGGCCGCACACATGGCATTTGTAACGAGCTGTAAAACTCCCCTGATTATAGACAAAAAACATTACCGACTCATTAAAAAAATTACTTTCAATCAGCTCACATGAGAGCCAGCATGCGACTGTGTTACGGCTCACCTCGTGCTCTCTTTTGTGGTGGCTCTTCATGGTGCCGGGCGTGCGAGAGGTGAAGCCGCAACCTGGGACGTCGCAGTGGAACGCCGGGTCACTGCTGTGGGTGTCCAGGTGCTTCCGCAGGTCGATCAGATTCTTGCAGCTGCAAATGAGGACCGTAGGGAAAAACTCGGTGTGATGAACGGCACGATCTTTCGCTTGAACTGTCCATGAAGGGAGCGGCACCTGTATTCGCAGTAGTCGCAGCTGTACGGCTTCTCGTTACTGTGCCGAAACTTGATGTGACTGCGCAGCGAGGAGGGTGAAGGGCAGGTCATGTCGCACAGTGGGCATTTGTAGTGGCTCACTGTTCCGTCGCATGAAAGACAAATCAGAGCATAAAAAAATGTACATCTCTGTGAACAGTGCAGAGTTGTTTGTTTTCAAAAGTCATTCAGTAAAACCACTCTGTTGATGCTTAACAAGAGCTGCAGACTCAAATGGGTGTGGCATTGGTGAAACTCGGTCTCGTGTAGATTGTGGACAATGGTGACGAAATGTTTACAGTCTGAGCCCGAGCTCCTTCACAGGATTGTGAACGTCAGGGTTAAAAAAAAAAAGCGTGACCAAGATGAAACTGACCGTGGGTCCTCATGTGATCCCTCAGCAGCCTTTCCGTGGCAAAACGTTTGGAACAGTGAGAACACTGGAACCTCTGACCTACGGCACACAAACAAACGCAAAAAAGCCAGAATTACTCAACGGCATTAATGGGTGCAGATGGAAGCCATATTTACATGAGCAATTGTGCTTGTTCACAAGTTCATCACGAGTTCTGTGTAAGTGGAGGTTGTGTGTTTTAAAGGATACTCTTACCCTTTGTATTCTGCCCTGAGGAGGTGCTATAAACAAGGCAGTGTCCATAGACTCAAAGTAGCATGTAACGATGGAATGAGGAAGCTGCTTATGATGCCCAGAGATGGCAGACTACTTAGCGGCTGGTGTTGTTGTTTCCACTTGTGGTGCTGTATTATGTAATCATATGTGCAGATATTAATGTGGATCAGTCGATTCTACAAACGACATAGTCTTATCCCTGACAGACAATGTTCCGTCAAGTTTTATTCTAGTATGTGGAATCATGTTTTTGTTTACACTGACCTACTCGTATCTTTAATTAAAGCGAAATGAATTTTTAGGTTACCTTCCATGGCGCTCTGTCGTATGATGTGGTCAAAGAACTTGGTGTTGTTGGCATACATCCCCCCACAGCCTGGACACGCCACTACTTTCTCCTGTGTATGGCTGCGCAGATGCTCCCGCAGCTTTGGGCGCCCTTTGGCAGTAGCTTCACAATCTGTAGAGAAAATGAAGTTCGGAACTTCAGTACAGCATTGAAAAAAAAAAAAACGTATGTTAGCCTCAACTTTTGTTTGACTTTGACTTACCCTTCCACCCACAGCGTATTGGGAATTCACAGTCCCCTGTTGGTACATCTATAGCCAAGCTATGCATCTCCACATGCCGATAGAACCACTCTGGATTTTCATAAGGTGGTTGCTTCAGTAAATATGGATGGAGAGCAAAACAAGAAGTATTCAAAGTTAAATAGTTTAAAGGCTCCAATCAAAATACTTGTGTAACAGTCAAGAGGGAGCAGCCTCCATTGCAGCCAGTCCTACCTCACATTCCTCCCAAAGGCAGATGAAATTGTCTGGGATTTCAGGGATGATGTTGCGGTTTTGGAAGGAGATGGAGCAGCTGCCGATCTCTGTCTGGGCCTCCAGGACCTGCTGACCCAGCTGCTTCAGCTTGGTGTGGTAACAGTGAAAGAACAGATGCCGTCGCAGCTCCTCTGAGCCCTCCACGGAGCAGAAACCACACTCTCTCCAGAGGCAGTTTTTCTCGCCTTTACGAAAGCACAAACAGTCCCTTAGCAGGCAAGCATAATTTCTTTGGCACACAAAGTGTTCCATGTTTCAGCTGCGCACATGTATGTACAGTTGTGACATATGACTCATTTGCAATAATTAATACTTTATATACACAACAGCAAAGGCACATATCAGTACTCTCACCATCTGCCCCTCCGTCTTCCTCCACGTTCAGAGCACTCAGATGACCCTCCGTATGCCTGCAAAAGTTTTCCATCTGACTGAACGACTCTTGACACGAACCCCATTCGCAGTCCAGTTTAAGCGTTTTCTTCTGCATTCGTTTATTAGGCGGCATCTCTCTAAATTGGAGTTAACAGTTAGCATTTACTGAGTATTTTTGCTTTCTCGCTACATCTATAAACAATACTGTTACAAGAGTGGACCTAATGTGGGTCAACAAAGTGTCTTTCTTTTGGTAATGTTTGAAATACTGCTTTTGTTATGGAGTTGTCTGTCACCAGTCAGAGGAACGCGAGTTGTGTGTAACGCAATGTTCGGTCTCGAGTGAAACAAAATGAAAATAAAGAGTTCCGCGGGGTTTTTTCCAGCACCATGTCGGAGGGACGGACAAGCTAATATTTTTGGAGAGAAGACTGTAATTTTGAACTCGTACAAAATAATAATTATTTGAACAAAATAATACAATCTAAGAATACAGTCTTTTCAATTTTATAAAGAATGAAATACGAGTTTTGAAAGAAGCAATCTTATTTTTCATCGTTGCTCTTGGAAATCTTCTCGATATAGTAACCAAAAAATAAAGAACACAAAACCCCGTCTTTTCGTCCAGATGTGTCACTATAAATAAACTATGTCACTATAAATAAACTTCCTTATTGTGTCTGATACGGACATGAAAAATCTTCCTGGAAAGATCATTAATTTTTGTGGAGATTTTTGGTGAATCACGATTTTGCAAAATGACAGCACCAGTATCATAACTCCTAACAATAAATATTGATTGAGCTTACTCAAACTACTTTATCGAGCTTTACATTAATAATGGTTTCTGTTCTACAGAAACTTTAGAAATGCCCTGATCATTAGCAGTTTTAGTCATGCCCTCATCATGCGCAACAAATTATTTTGGGATCTGTAATTGCCCCGAGATAAGAAAATACACGTTCTGGACAGAGAAGACAGATGCTTTAAGAAATGCTATAATTTTTTTTCAATTTTATTTAATCTTTCTTGCAGTTACATTCTATAAGAAAAGAGTCAAGCGCCAGTTGGTTGTCACAATTTCTGCTGAGCTCATTCTCCTATTAGGAAACCCTTCACCACAATTCATACTTCTCACCATGTCATCTCCCTCTAAAACACCTTTACTCATCTGTAATGTCCCTCAGGTAGACTATGACCTTCTTATCTGTCAGTGCCTCTATTCATAATGATAATCCTGTGTGGTTGTTTAGAGGTAAAAGAGAAATAACAAAGCGAAACCAAAAAAAGAGAAAACGACCAAATGATCTTCACTTTTACATTCATACTACTCAGCTTAGTATCCATGCAAGAGTGACTGAATAAATGCTCTCATGGCCATTTTTGCATCTACAGCAGATTCACACAGTGCACCAAAAAATAATATTTCTACCTTGTTTTTTTCGCTCAAGAGGACTTAAGTCCATATGTTACCAATTGGTCAGGGTTTTAGAAGCAGTTTGGCGAGGAAAAATTGACCCCTCTAACTGTACTCTCACTTTAAAAAGAAGTACAAAAATATACTTTCAAGATAGACACGTGAGATGTCCAAAGCTCAGCTGCATGTCCTGCCTGTCCCACTGACACCCACTCCTGCTGCTGCTGTCAGACAGTTCTCCGTTCATGCTTGAAATGATCGCATCGTTTTTAACATCGCACCGGGCCTTCGCTGCAGATTCAGTCAGAGGAAGCAAAGTCACAGTGAGGTAATGGAACCTATCAAAAGGCAGATGAACAGCAAGCCCAAAGGCTTCAAACCATGAGATTTTCCCCAGTCAATTTTCCCTCCTGTCTTTGAGAGTTGCCTAGACGTCATAGAAGAGGCGCACCAGATGATAGCGGATCCCAAAAGCCATTGCACTCCCCATAACCTGCGTGAGACACAGAAATGAGCAGCAAGCCGGGTGTGATTGCCTCACTAACACTGCAGCATTTTTATTACCTGAATCATGAGCATGATGACTGTGAGATTTCTCTCATGGATGGGTCCCAGGACTTTTAGAACTAGATTGATTAAAGTCATGTTGTTGCATTCGATAAAATCCTCATCTCCCTCCTGACCTCGCCGCACCTCGAGCAGCCTCAGTAACTCTGCCACCTGTTGAGCATTACAGACGTTATTGATATTGACCAATCAACACAGTTAGAATTATTTCCAGTGTCCTGCCTCACGCAGTGTAGTTTAAAAGTTTAACAATATAACATTCAAGCCCTGCACAGCGGACAGTCATCAAAATCACAGAACACTGCAGCTGTTTGTGAAGTCCAACAGAAGTCAGCTTAGTCACACCAAACAATTAGCAAGCAATATTCCCCATCACAGCATTCATGCCATTACATTACTTCTCTTAGAAAAGCTAAGAAATACAAAACCCACATGTCTATCACAACATTTTTACAACACCTTACAAAGAAAGAATTCACAAGGAGATGCTTTACCTTCAGAATAAGGTTTCCCAGTTTTGAGAGGTCTTTCATCTTAAATTTAGAGTAGCTCATCCCCAGTTTTCCAGTGTCTGGATTCAGTCTTTTATTTGTCGTGATAAAGAAACAAATCAGAAATGCACACATTTTGGGGAATAAAATTAAGAGGGGGGAAATTAATTGCGAGTAAAACGGTTTAAAAAATGAGTTTGTTACCTGGGGAGTCGGTGCCTTGGACAGGGGACCACGTGAAAAAGCTGGGGCAAGGAATAGACAAAGTTTACCACTTGAGGAATGAAGAAGAGCAGCATGGTTTTGCTAAAGTGTCCCAGGATGCCAACTACGGCGAAGGTCATTCCAGCAAAGTAGCAGAACGTGTCTCCCACAAACACAGATGAGGGGTACCTGTCCAAAAACAGGTTGCAAGATGAGCCTTCGAATGCCTCAGCATGTTGGAATAGAGAAAAACTTTTCCATATAAAACGTCCCTGTGGTTATTTCAGCTTACCAGTTGTGGTAAAACAGTGCTAATGTGGTAAAGAAGAATGGTATCATGAAGTAGAGGGAAAAAACATGGTCATCACGGTAATCCCCTGAAAGATGAGCAGAGAAAAACAAAAGCCAGCTTTATTATCAGCGTTATCTGAAGTAAGATTAACCTGCAAATTCAAATTATGGAATTTATGAAAGGTGAGTGAGAGTTTTTCTCAGTTTTGACGTGGTTGTGAACACATTCACACACTTTTAGTTGATGTTTATGCATCTGCACAGGACACTCTCACAACGAGCCATGTGGGAGAGAAGCCCGGACGCTGATGGGGATAGAGGAAACCACCACTCACCGCTGAGCTCCAGCAGGTTGAAGATGATGATGGAGCCGGAGATAAACAGCGCTTGACCCGACTCGATGCCGTTGATGCCTGCTAAGATGTTGATGGCGTTTGTGCAGAACACGGCAAGCATTCCCATGTAAACATAGTAGAGGATACCTGCAAAAGATTAGAATTCACTAAAAGACTGCAACGCAAGACAGCTGCCATCTCCAACACAATCTGTTGTGTTTGAGCAAACAGTCCCACTGGAGTCTGTTTTCTTAAAAATGCCTTTGTGCGAGTAGCAACACCATCAGGAGGTTCTTCCTCTCTAAAACGGACACGTATTTCTGTGGTGGAAGTGTCTGTGCAGCAAACGACTCACCGAGATCCAAATGCAGTCCCAGCAGGGCCCTGAAGGGTTTGGGCACCACGATGACCGTATTGCCAAAGTTGGTGAAGTACACCATAAGCAGCGGCAGGGAGGCCATGGTGGGAAGGAGGAGCTTATGTCTCCATCGCAGGTTGAGCACGTCGTCAGCAAAGCCCAGGAAGATCATGCAGCAGATGGCCAGAAGTGCACCGATCAGCTGTACGAACTGCTCCGGGAAACAACAAGGGTTCAGTTTTGAGAGAAAAAACGCAGGTTCTCCACCACCTCAGCACACCCACCTCATCATGTGGGAAGCCCGAGCACTGGTCTCCCACAAAGCAGCTGAGGAAAGGCACCGGGATGAAGCAGAAGAGGATGATGAGGAAGACTGTTCCACTGATGACTCCTTGAGACTCTGGTCTGCAGAGGGGAGACGAGGAAGAGAAAGAGTCAAGTGGGGGGGGAGACAATCAAAACCAAACTAGACTCAAAAACTGAGAGAAGCTCACACTTCTTTCTTGACTGTTTTGTTGAGGTCCATCCCGTACAGTCGCGCTGAGATGAAATGATCTTTGAAAGCAGGGATGAGTTTGAGAGTTGCCATGCAGCCCAGAGCTGACATGAAAGAGTTGATGATCAGCGGAAGGACGGGTATCGGTGTCATGTTTCCAGGCATTCTGAGGAACCCGTCTCTGACAGACCAAATCACGGCCAAACAGTGACCAATCTAACGTCGTCCCCTCACGCGGTCGTCAAGGGACCCTTTTGGTCGTTCTAACTGATTTTGAGATGTCACAGTGTCATTTTAGCCCAGGATGCATCTCGGTAATTCCGTGGTGACAGCACAGGTCTGGAAGTCAGAATGGAAATCCTCATGTTTCATGGCGGGATGTTCCGTATATTGTCTGTACTCTCACTGCTTTGCTGTCATTTCTCCACGTCTGACTACATTTGACAGTTGAGTTTAAATGTTTTCAACAAGCTCGATTTCCGGTAATTCTTTCAAAAATAAAGGACAACTGTGATTATTATTTTTCTTTGAAGGTTGTCACCAAAGCGTGTGAATATATCCTCAGTAAATGCATATAAGCAGTTGTATTAGGTATTATTTACCATTATGTAACATATTTTTGTAGAGTATCTGTGCTTAAATCCATTTTTCCCGACAGCACAGTATCTAAGTAAAAATAGTTTTGTTTTACCTCCGGAAACAGCGACGTAATCAAGTCAACCTTAACGAGGAAGTGGTATTTTCTTCTTCGCTTAATACAACACAGGATCATTCTGTGGACTCTTTAGCGCCCTCTATAGTTTGAAGTAACAAAAGCTGTTGTTATAAATTCTCTTCAGACTTTAGGTGTCACCCAAACTGCAATGAATAGCATGCTACATGATATAAAAAAACTGATTATGAAGAAATATGGCAAAGAAAACTAAAAAATTCAGGATTCACATATACAGCAAGCAGAATATGTGCCAGGGCGTTGTGGAGAGGATGGACATTTTCATTGACATTAACAGATATGTTTAGGGATAATTTCACCCAAAATAATGTAATATAGGCATTCCTAACCAGTAACAGGGCTGCAGAGTTTTTATAACTTTTGATCTTTGGTGAAGCAGATATAATCCGTACAATGGTAAAAAAAAATGTGATTTTGACATTTCCAAGGAAGGTTAAGAGAATGATAGACATATATTTTTCTCAATAAATGTGTTCTGATACTTTGACATTGCGTCTGATTATTGCAAAACATTGCATTTTGTATAATTCTGAAGATTTGTTGTGTGATTTGTAGAGTCTGGGTTGGAAAGATACAGAAACAAAATGCAGTTTTAAGCATCACATCACATACATTCAAAATTGACCTTTTCTTGAATTCGGAGACATTATATCTGCAGTTTATTGTAGGTGTTTTTTGTTTTGTAACTTAATGGTCTAAATCCCCCTAAAACTCTCTCCATTTCAGGTTTGAAATCTCTCATTTAACTTTGAAGGTAGTCGTTTCCACTTCCGTTTCCCCGCCGTGCTCTTCCTGTGCAGCGCCCCCTGCCGGCCGGTGCTTTGACGTGTCCACTCATCGTTTCAGACGGGCTGCAGCGGCTGGAGGGCACAGCGACCAGCGGAGACTCGGAACCCACCGGAGCGCGTAACGGTCAGACAGAGGCTTGTTTTCCGATCGATAGATGACAGCAGGCAGACCTCAGCAGGATCACGGCTGTCCACGGGGAAGCGGGACTCTCATCTGTGGCTGGAAACACTCCACAACGCCATGAATCCGGTTCCATTCGCTTTCGTTTACATGCAGCACGCAGCTCGCAGCGTTTGAATTAAACTTCAGGTTGGTGTGCAGCTTCGTTTGATGATAGTGGGTTTTTTTCTCGTTGCACGGTGGGCTGCATTATGCATGATTTGTTTATGTGTGCCCTCGTAACGTCCACGCAGCCTCAGTGCATCCACGCCACTGCCTCACACGCACATTCGAGCGATGACCGATTGTGAACACATCGAAGTTAGAGCGGGGTTATGAGCAACATTTCCCCTTATTTTGAGATTATTCTCCTGCTAATAGAAATCCAGATGACTGTATGTGTGCTGTCCCTTCACAGGGTAAAAGGAGCCGATCTGCTCTGACTGGCAGTCCTGATATTTCCACCTGGACTTGGTGATATGAGAGGCTCCCGGAGGCGGTGATGGAGCTCCAGGGCTTGAGCTGGCTGTGTCTGGTGGGTCTGTTCTTCGCCTCGGTGCTCATTGTGCTCAGATGGCTGGTCCAGTACTGGGCGACTGTGGCGCGTCTGTGGAGATCCAGGAAGACGGCCAAGGGCGCGCAGAGAGACGCGGCCCGGCGGCTGCAGCCCCCTCAGAGCCGGGCTGGAGGCGTGTGGGGCTTCCTGCTCAGCCTCCGCTCTGCCAGGGATGGAGGAGACGCGTCCGAAGCTGGAGTTAAGGGCTTGTTGAGCTCCCTGCTGTCGTTCAAGTCCTTCAGGGAGCACTGGCAGAGGACCTGGGTGAAGGCGCTGAACGAGCAAGCCTGCAGACACGGGGTGAGTCGGCATCTTTTGGGCTCCCGGTGACAATCGTGCAAACTAATTCACCGAGTGACCCTGATGGCAGCTTGCAGAAATACGCCGCCTCGGGTTAGTCCACTAAGCGGAGGCATGCATTTTACGCAGGCGCTGGGTTGTGCATGTATGTGTGTGTGTGTGCTTGGAGCGTGTAGGCAGTGAGGTGGAGGTGTGGGAGTCGGAGTGTTTCTAATCGGTAAGAGGATGGGGGGCAGAGCCTTGCGTAACCGCTCCGAATCAATGCACAAAGGAGCAGAGAGGGAAGACTTGTCAGCACAGCCACGGGAACACCCACGCCTCATAAAAATAGTCTGAAAGGGATGCGCGTTTGATTCAGGTTGTGTCACCTTTTTCCCCCGAGGCCCCCGACTATCACCGCCCACACTAGAGGACCTCCCACTCGGACTTACTCATGAATGTTTGATTCAGGGTGGTCAGCGGTCCAGACAGCAGGCCGGTTGGCACGTGTTCCAGGGTTGTGATTAGCGTTTAAAAGGTCTCCAACCTTGACCGGGTCCTTTGATCCGCGCGAGTCAAAGTCTGCCACACAGTCAGATGTTTCCTGTGAGTGCTGGCAGAGGGCAAGGTTCGCTTCCCCCGTTTTTAGAGAGCCATATACACGTGTGGGAGTTTAAAGGGGTCGGATCAATCCACTGGGAGAACGCGTTCCACAAACAACTTTCCACTCACAAGGCTCTCCTCACCTTTGTTGATTTAAGGCCTCACCTCAGGTGTTCAATCCCGCAGCAGGAGGATCTGATTGGAAAAAAACCCGTCTGTGCAAAGCCTTTTTAAGCATCCAGATTTACAGCAAAAACAAACAACGAACATTAGTATAAATCATTATTATCGAAGAGATAAAAACTTGAAAATCCGACCCAAACTGCCCGATGACGAGGAGAAAAATCGAGGACACAAAGCGAGATCACTTTCAGATCCTCCCTGATGATCATGTGTGATGGATGAAAGTCTAAAGTCGGTGTTGGTTTACAGACGCTGACCTCTGGTTACATCATGCCTTCTCATGCGGTGCCTTCCTCTGACTAAGCTGTGTACATTATCTCTGCATTCCACACATGTTTTTGCGGTCGTATTTGAGTCCAGTGGGACTCTACAACATCTGCTTTCACCCAGCCTAATTTCTCCATGTAACAGGAGCGTGTCAGGGATTTTGGGGGACTGACTCTGTGCGGCACAGTGGAGAAAATGGAAGTGTGCCAGCTTGGTTATCTTACAGTGGCCTAATTAGTTGATCTGCTGTGGCCTTTGTTGCTGGCATTTACACACTGGCCTAAACCTCGGGTGAACTTTGGACTCCTTTACAACTTTATGATGATGAATGAGGTTTATTGTTTCTCCAAAATGGCTGCAGTCATCTCCTATTTGGTATTTTAAAAGACATCACACCCACATTTACTGAAGGGACTACTTCACATATCTGTAGATTTGACACTTTTGCTCATCAGGAGACGAAGCCTTTTAAATTCAGAGAGGCTTTCGGGCCGGCAGAGCTGGAGTATCTGTTGGTGTGAGCAGACGGCGACAGGCCGCGGGTCTGTTTGTCCAGGAGGCGTCGGCTGTGTGAACGCAGCGTGAGCCGGAGCTCGCCCAGCTCATTCATCACAATGAGATATCTGCTGTTCACTGTGACCGCGCACAGGGCAATCTGTTTATCTCAAGGTGTCTGGAGCACCTGCAAATGGGCCGCGCTTCACTGTGAATGAGTCCTTTAACCATGAATCACACAGACCGGCTGATGCGTTCGTTGGCCCGGTGTATTCTGAAGACCCAGACGCCATCCTCGTTTGGAAGTGTGATGGTCACGTGATCGGACGCCGTAGTGCTCTTTAAACGTTACCCTCACATTTGATGGTGTTTGTTCAGTTTCCCCTCAGGAGTTTACTGTCAAGTGTCAGTTTGTTTGTTCTGGATTTTTCGCCTCCTTCAAAACCAGACCGGAAAAACCTGCTGCCAGAGTCTGTGCACATAAGGCACGTCGTAAGAAGCAGCTGCCTCTCGGGGACAGTAGGCGTCACCTGCCAGACAGGGTTTCTGCCGCCATTTTGAAAGCAGACACGGGAGCGAGCATGGGGAAGACACAGCCTCAGTTTCATTGTCCGGGGCTCAGTGCCAAAGTCCTTCATAGCATCACCAAAAGTCCCTCTGCAGCATTTAAGATCGATGATTACTGAAGCCTTCAAATGATGACGCTGAAACAGATCCAAATAAAGAGGCGCTCGCGCCCGGAGGCCTGTCTGGTGTGGCAGACTCCAACCTCTGTGGCGGTTTTGCTGCCATATGTACGGACTCCATGCTGTCTCCCAGCATGGAGCCGACCACTGACAGAACTTCTCCACATCAGCCGCCTTTTCCGTCCATCTGCGTTACACGCCATGCAGCGGCTGCCCTTCCATGATGGGTGCTCTTCTTCATGCTTCATCGGAGCTCAGCTGCCCCAGGGCATTCGCTCAGCAGCCCACCACTGGCGGCCATTTTGCCGATGCATTCCTGGGCCGTTGTCATTCCCTGCTGGTCAGTGGCTGTGAAACTCAGGGGCCTGTGGGCCTGTATGTGTTTGTTTAGAAACAGACCTAACATGTGGGAGATATGCCGTGTCCACAACAGAAGACAGATACACAACAAGACGATGCCATGAAAAAAGCATGCATCAGTCTGTCTGACGCATTTTTAGTGGCTTCCAAATGCTGTGTCCATGTAGAAAAACAGTCCAGAGGGTCGACCCTTCCCTGACCCGCAAGAATCCACGAAGACAAGATTAGACTAGAATATGACTCAGAGGACTGAGTTCTTTACAGACTTGAGTTTCCTTCCTTGTCTGACTGTTGGTTTTATGTTTTGAGTGCCTGTGTCAATAGACACCCACTGCCGCTTGCTAACATCTGACTCCTGAGGACAGTAAAGTGTTCCACCTCCATTCTGTTTGGTGTCAAACATCTCTGTCCCAAACTCTCGGTATAGTCTGGGGGGTCGCCGGTCCATCACAGGGCCTCACAGAGACACAGTTTAGCCTCAGCAACATGCACTCTGAGGCCTCGACTTCACCCATTTTCTGGCCACAACTTTATTCCTTTGAAACTGAAAATTGACCTGAATCATACAGATTTTATTTATTGGTTTTCTTCTTGACTGAAAGCTACTTTCCAACCGTGGTTGCAAAAAGAATCCCAAATTCTCAGCCTTACCTGAGTTCTGGGTAGATTAGAAAATAAGTGCCCCATTCAAAGTCCTCCTTAAGAATAATTGAGGTAGAAAAATGTTGAATTTCAGTCTCGTCCTATATAATTTTCTAAAAAGTTGTTTAAGGAAGGTCATTTCAGAGTCAGAGTGGAGGGCAAAAAATGCTGATGTGGCCGTTTGGGATCCTTCTTTATAGCTTGAAAGAAGTGTTGAGTCGCAGTTTATTTTGATGAGAATTTTTACTTCTTACAGTTACCTTCAAGGTCTGAAGCAACTTGCAGTTTAATCGAAACAGTGCTGATAGTGGTGACCGATAAACAGAGCTGTCTTAGCCCCTCAACACCTTGTTTGGCACTTGAAAGCAGTAATTGTCACTCTGTTCTGACCGTGCCAGCAGCAGCTGGATCTCATCGTGGACATTACCCGGGGATGTTTTACTTGAACACCATCCACAGCCTGTTTTTGTGGGACCTCCCCTGCAATTCATTTTGTGACTCATTTATTTATCCTGCAAAATGCCTGCATGCTGAGGTGTCGCCACACAAACCTGCGGATCTAATCTCAACTTTGAAGACATCAGTTGATATGGACTTGGGCTGGAATAGTTTGCAGAGGTCCCCCCTCCCCACCCCGACGCTCTGATCATGATACGGCAGCAGGCTGTGCATCTGCAGCTGACACTCCATGTCAAGGTTTTCGTTACTGGCTGGCTAAGGTGCAAAACGAGGAGCATCTGCTGGACAGGAAGCTCCCTGACCATTCTCAATCTGCAATTCTAAACAGCCTTGTGATTAGCTTTAAGACGGAGTTCATTCCTTCCCACTCTGACTGCCAGTCGCTGGCAGATGATTAATGCCCTGTGATTATTCTCAAGTAGATTCCTTTCTAATGACGAGGGACATTAAGCACTCAGCACTCATTTGATAGGGTACTGCAGGAAGCTATCCTTTTTTTTCTTCTTCCCGTCAGACACAGCTGTGGGTGAGATTCAACAGCCCAAATGTACTTGATAGTTAATTTTTTGGCTTTCGCAGAAAATAATCAGACAGCTACTTTGACTTTAAAATGATTAAATCACGTTGAGCAGTTCTGTCACTGGAGTGTTTGTCCATCCCGTGACAGTTTAGAATGATTGGGAAGACCTTAAAAATGGAACAACATTAATCAAATCTGGTAATAAACGTTTAATGTCTGGTGGTTTAACATATATCATCATGCCTTACAGCCTCTTCAGTTTGTCCGCTGTCAAGGTTGAGACAATTTGTCTCAGTGGGGAAACTTTTCATCCAGCACGGTCACATGGCATTTCATCAATGCTTATCTCCATATTGCACGACTTGTGATACACGAGGTTGACCAACTGAGTCCGCCTCTTGTTATTATTATGATAAGGAGTATGTATTTAGATCATTTATGTCTGCCGGTATTAAATGTTCATTCAGATCAAACAGAAACTCAAAGGCCACTAACATTGCCATCTGCCTTATTCACCTCTCGGTCTTAGAAAATGTCAGATATCAATTTTACCCCAACTAGCTCATGAGTAGTATTTCCAAACCAGCAGATGACGCAGAAGTCCTAAACACTTTGGAGGAAGGGAAAGTAGAACATATTAAGCATTTTTCTGCAAACCTTGCAAATGGATGTTTTTAAAATGTCTAATTTAATCTCACGGTAATATATCTCCTTTTATAAGTGTGAGTAGAAATAGTTTGCTTGGGGTAGAGGACATTCTTGGACTCCGTCATCGACAGAGGAATTTCTTACATGCATGGGGCTTGGAGTCAAGATGGCATTGAAGACTGTACGCTGATAATAAACAGCAGCGTGCTGGCAGAGTCTTCACACCCAGCATGCAGGAGTCTCACTGAGGCAGGATTCACATGTACGCAGCGCTTTCCTGTTTAATGGTTTGTGGGACTTAGGACTGGTGCTTAGAGCTGTAATGACATCAAGTCACAAGATCTGACATCTGATTGTTAAGATGAGTGAAAATGTAACTAGCTGTTCCACTGAAGGCTAAACAGGCCAAGCAAAGCTACAGACTCAGAATATAGTAGTAGAGGATGCCGAATTCTTCATTCTTTGTCAAAGTAACTAAATTCAACTCATAAATATTTCAATTAAAGACATCTGAAAACTTTTTATTTGAATCTACTGCTGATATTTCCGATTTATGCACATAAATAGAATAACAAGAGCACAACATCAGCATGAATGTTTTAGTACACTCATGTGTTGTTTTTCATCAAGCTAACATTTTCTTTCATTCTAATCTTTTTAGCTTCAGTTCTTCTGTGCTTGCCAGACCGATAAATAAGTCATGTTGCGTCTAGCTGTCAGAATCCATGAATGTAAACACTACATTTTGTCTCAATCAGGACAAAAATGAATATATAAATAAGCTGTAAATATGTTGCAGATGATTGTTTCCTCAGCCACAGATCTAAACGCTTCACAGACTCCACAGGAAAGTAAAATGAGGGTCATTAAAAGCCAGAGGGGGAGTGTATTTCTGTTTGACCCACATGCTTTACAAAGCCAGCTGGACCCAACGGGGCTGACTCTGACAAACCTGCAATGACACTATGACTGTCCTCAGGAGCTGTGTCTGTGCACACTTGCCCTTCACACCGACACTCTTTTGAACAGTGGTGCTTCACGGAGATAAATCGGTGGGCCAGGCTTCCAGCACTGCTCTCTCCCTGATAAAAACGAACTCCGCAGCTTCTGCCAGGACCATGTACGACACAGCTGAGCCCAGATGGCTACCTATAAAGATAATGGATCAGGGATGTCCATGGAAACTTTATTAAATCAGTACATATTAAAACAAAAGCCCACCTCAGTAAACGCAAAGTAAGGAGTGAAAAATGATTGCCTCTTGAATCTCTAATAGCTGCTGAGAAAATAAATGACCGCAGGCGAGTAGAAAGCTTCAGGAAGATAGGAAAGTGTTTTCCGGAGGGGAAACAGTGAAAGTGATTACTGCCCGATTCTTTTAGGAAGACAAATTAAGGCTGTATTTTCTGTCCTTTTACTAGAAGATTCCCAATCTTTGAATAAGGTTTGAATGAACACTTAGTCAGGATGCATTGTGGAAGCGTGTCCTGTGTACGGATGAAGAGAAGATATGACTTTTGGAGCTACAGTGAGTTGGTATCTATAGGATTTCCTTAAGAGGAGAAAAAAAGCCATCCTCTCCAACTGTTGAACACAGAGATGTGGTGAGCCATACGTTGCATATTAGTTGCCACTAGAGCTTCTAGGCACAGTTGCTTGAGGAAATGATGGATTCACATGCCTTTTGAAGATGAGAATTACAAGTACATTCTTACCCAAACATCACTGAGAAATGGACTGACCACATCAAAGCTGTTCATGCAAAGTTGTTGACACGGCCTCTTTGTCTTAGTATGGAGTTTGTTTGCTTTCCCTGTATTTTCAGGGTCTCCTGTGGGTGACTTGGAACAAAGACAATCGAGTTAGGTTAATTAATGGTGCTGAAAATGAGCTTTGTGCTCTAATGTGCATGGGCGTCTCCTGAATGGACTGCTGACTCGTCCAGGGTGTTCCCATCCTCCTGAGCAGCTGGGGTGGTCAGTGAGTGGACAGACAGATGGATATTAAAGTGCCATCGCGGTACCCCTTAAACAGAACTGGTGAAGCTGCTCTGACACCAGCTTAGAGACTAAACTTAAATTTAGATCAGCGTCTGGTAGCTGAAACAATGGAAGATAAAAATCTGGGGCCTCAGTTTTCTCTCAGGCAAGATTGTAATTCGATGCATGTTGGCAGCGTTGGCGCCCTGCTCTCTGATACAAAAAATGACAGAAACAGAAATGTGTCCATTTATTTTTGTCCTGGATTCTAGTGTTGTGGGTTTGACATTCACACACACAGACACACCCAAACAGCAGCTGCTGATGCAGATGTTTTTTGGGATGCACAATATCACTTTTTAACTCTATTTAGGTGAATGAACGTTTGTTTTCTTTCTTTTTGTGCATATCTCCACTCATAGAAAAAAAAACATACACAGTTTTGCTACCTTCATAATATTTTTTCCCGGGATGACCAAAGAGCCTCATATAAATAGACAGCAGGACAAACATTTTTTAGATCAACCCCCAAATTGATGATGGATGGGTTTTCTGAGCTGAAATGCACGATGGCATGTTTGTTCTGCCCGCCGAATGTTACAAACAGTTGGGCGGCTGAGCAGTTTTTGAGCCAGCTAGCTGAAGTAAACACAGCCGGGTGTGTGGCGTTGTCATATGACTGCAGTGTCCCGGGAGGCCACGGAAGCTTGCAGCATTACGATTGGCTCCGTGCCCCTCTGGCTGGAGCGAGCACGCACACAGACGCACGGCGCAGAGTTCGTTATGTCATCCTCTCACCTCTGCCACGCCTGCGCCGTGGTGTTTGACACAGATTGGACTCGGACCTGGTGGAGCATATGCCCTGACCGTGGGGGATTTGTTTCCTCTCGCTTGCATCTCTTGAGCCACTGATAGTAGGCTCCTCCATGCTTCCAGTGCATCTTAGTTTCCCCTCTCGCGGGGTATCATCCAGCCCTGACACTCAAACAGGAAAGGCTAATGTGCTGTAAGCATGACTTAGCACTGACTGATGCAGTTTTGTGGTGTTGGGTCAGCAGCCTTGACCATTTGCAGTTTCATAAGGGGAGAAAATACGTCCCTATCGCAAAGACTCATATTGATTTCCCTCTTTGAATCTTTTGGTGAAACATATGTTACGCTTTTTTGCCAATATCTTCAGGCGCTTTTCAACCGAGTCCACTAATCCACAAAGCTGCCGGGGCTTCCATAATTTGATCTGTGTTATTGTAAACTCGGAAGCTATGAGCTTTGCTTGGAGAGACATGTTTACATTGGAATATTTTTTTTTAAACAGTCCAGATTAATATTGAAAGGCTTTGCATTGACTTAACCCCATTTGCTATGTTAAAGGGAACATTTGTTAGGGGGAGAGGTTATTTGACAGAGGTTCTTTGACACAACAACACTGGACATCACAATGCTTCTTGCCTAATTCATTAGAGACCCTTGAGGACTGTGTGCGACAGCTAACCAGCTGCATAAAAAGCTATGCACTGCCGTCTCTTTTATATCATCCCCAAGTGTGATCCTCTTCCTCTTATGTAATATTTAGGGCATTTTTTTTCTCTTCTGTCTCTACTAGAGCTCCCTCCAGATAACTTTTGACAGCGGTCTCCAGCTAACCGCTTCCTCTGCAATAGATAGTGTGAGCTGCACTGACCCATCAACAAGCCAAATGGTGAGTCGTTTTTCTTCCTCCACGCACTAAACCGTGGGCCAAAATTTGCAAAAGTCATTGAATAAATCAAGGGATTGAATTACGAGTAGAATTACTTCGATTATTTACGAAAGAAATGTTTTGAATGTGGCTGTTTCTATCTCAAGAAGCTGATGTCTATATGTAACTGTATTATTACAAATTTCCCCAGTTCTGTGACCTTGGTGCCTCTGCGAATGCACATTGCAATAATGCTGACAAGTGTGATTTCTGTGAGGTTTCTGCAGAGAACAAGCAAGCGTGTCTTGTGTCGTCTCTCACTTTTTTGCCGCTGATGTAACAAATGCAGAGAGCTGCTGGTGCGAAACGGCTGTCATCCTCCTCTTGTTTTCCAGGTTTTACACTGCAAATGTCGAGTAGACACCCTGACATTTCCCGTGACGGTCACCCAGCAGTCACCGGCTGCCGTCTCCATGGACACCTATCAGATCACTACAGCACCAATGGTGGCAAAGGTACAAGCACAGCAACACCTGGATTTGAGTTTTTGAACACAGGAGGTCAGAGCCCTGAAACCTGTGAGAAATTCCGGGAATAATTTGCATTGTTATTCAAATATATGATCTTATACCAAAAAAAAAACCTCAGACAGATCACCGGAGTTTCAGAGCGTACTGAAAAATTGTCAACACAGAAGGAATGATTAAAATATGTTGAGCTGTGTTCATCCATTAAAGATGAGACGCTACAGCTGGATTCCTCATTTGCATTCCTGTCTGTCTCCGTCAGGTGGTGGTGCGCCTAGAGGAGGTGCAGGATGAGGGTCTGCTTATATCCTGGACTCTCTCTAAGCAGCCGTCATTTTCTCTGTCTGTGTCCCCGTGCAAACTGCAGAGACAGGTGAGAAAATCTGACACCTAACCGGATACACGCACAGCCCTTGAAGGCCTCTGTCTTCTGAAGCTGCTCAGATAAAAAAACAAAAAAAGAACTCCAAAAAGCTAGCTTGCTTTTAAAAGTCAAACACACACCAGAGATTTCCTTTCCTCTGCTCCACTTTTCCTAAGTACCTCTCAGCACAAGGTTTTGCATGTGAGTCTCCCGCTGAAGTCACTGTGAGTCGCACAGGGAAAGCTGCTGATGGATGTTGTTACAGAAAGCTTCATCTCTCACCTGTACAAAGGCACCAATAGAGAGAGAGAGGGAAACAAACACTCACTTTGGTTTTTAGCCATACTGAAGATGGCTAAGGATTCTGAGGTTTTCGTAGTTATGCCAAAAGGTCTGAAAAAAAGAATGAGGAGCAAAAAAAGGAAATATTAACATTGGTTTAGTTATCAAACATGCATTGATTTCCCCTTTATATTTACATCCTTTTGATGTAAAGTTACCTTTTTTAGCCAGCGGCATTATTAGTTAAAGCAGCGGTTTTTGGTTAATTATTTTCTGCCCAAGCAGAATTGGTCCATCCCTAAAGTAGGAGCACGTGCTGTTTTGACTTCTCAGGGCTCTGATGGCGGGGCAGACCTGGACACGATCAGAGGAATGATAGAGGACACACTTTTCAGCACTCAGCCAGCCATGGTCCTCAACCTCAAGACATGTGCATCCAGCCCTTCGGTGAGGCGTTTGTGTTTGTTTTGTTGAGTATTTAGAAAAACTGCCCTTGAGCTAAAATAATGTGGAAAAGGTTCCGACATAAAAGACTAATCTGGTTGTGACCAGCACACATGCCAGGAAAAACAGCCCTCACCGATTCTAGCCTATTTCGCACATTGATTTCTCCTCATGTGCACAAAAGAGCTCTTTAACCCATTGGTGTTTATTCTGAAAATCATAGTGCTTCTCACATCCAGGCTGTGATGGCAGCGCTGTCGGTTAGAGGGGCGTGTGAAATGTGTCAGGGTACACACGAGACAAATTGATTTAGCTCTGTTACTACCTCGCTCGCAGGCACAGAGGTGTAACAGAGGTGGGTCGACTTCAAATGAAAATCCTCTAAATTCACAGGAGGCACTGATAACCTAAAAGTGGTTCCACAAGTGATTGGATTGTGGGGTGTATATATTGGTTTAGAAATGGCACAATTAATTATTTTTTGTTCCTCTGAGATTTGTTACTCACCCTATTTTAAGACATGGTGAGAACCAAATGATTTGGATTACATAATAAAGCACAAAGCCGTTGAACTGAAAAGGACTTTACTTTGTTTTCTTAGACAAATGAATGCCACAAACTGTCTGCCTCTGTCAAAGTGAGCTCTTCTGTCTCTGCACACAGTCCCCGACGGACCATCTCTCAGTGGGATTTAACTCGGCAGCCCAGATTGTGTTGGTGAGACGGCTCTTCCTCAGGCAGCTCAGGGTGACTTTAAATAAAGGTCGGATATTATCTCTCCGCATCCGATCGCTTCCTACCAAGGCTCCCGCCGAGATGGGAGGTCTCACCGCATTCCTGTGTGTTTGCAGGCCCGTGGTCCGGATCGGGGGAGTTGTGCTGCGTCCTGAGCCTGGACCAACCCTCTACAGAGAGGAAAACCCACTTCCTGTCCGTGCCCACTGACCCCGACGCCGCCCTCCAGTGGAGTGAAGAAATCGCTCTGTGAGGTTTTGCACAGCACCGGACGGACGTGAAAATGTTTCTTCTGTATCCTCTTAAGACTTAACCTGCTAAAGTTTTGGTTTTCTTCTCCGGATTTTTCTTTGGTGTTCCAAAACACCAATGAAGAATCAACAGTATCAAAGTCATAAAATCAGACCCGATAGTCAAATCTGCCCAGACTGTACCATCACAGTCACATCAGATCAGATTATTAATGATGATGTAACAGTGTTTTCCATTTTTGATGTGCATAAGCGCTCCATAAGGACAGTGTTACAGATCAGTTATTTAGATCTTAGCAAATGTTTTTTTTAAGGGATTAAAGGAATAATAATAATGAATAAACTTGATAGGTGAAGAGACAGAAAAGTGCTGCATGTGGTGCCTCTTTAATGACACGGTGTTTTCCTGTGTGTTGTAGAGAGCTGGGCCCAGAGACCAAAGAGCTCAGAATAAGACTTCTGGAGCGCAGCGGGGCGAGAGAGAGTAAGCTTTAGTTCAATACATATTAGCCACTGGCTGCTGTCCACAGACTCAGTCAGCAACAACGTTTAGACCGCTTAAGCAAAATCAGCCATGCCTAAAAAGCATTTCTGATAAACCTGCTGGGATGGTGGTGGTCAGGAAATGAACTTAATAAGGGCCTAGAACACTGACGAAGGAGAAATCACGGTGCCGTACAAACAGACTTCTTTTTGTGTTCAAATCCTGGTAGAATTTGTTCCGGGTCACGCCTCCGTCGCCTTGAACGTCCAAAGCAAAATTCCAACTGGGCACAAAGTCCTGTCCATAGGCCCCGGCCTGGGCCTGGCTCCAAACGCTACCATCACGACAGAGGTGAGTTACAGTATGGGCTGCTGTTCTGAGAAAGGGTTTTTTAAAAGAAAAAAACTGTTTCAAGGCCATTTTCTATGCTTTGAATCATGAGGTTACATCACAGTTCATTATCTAACATCCAGTAAGCTGGAATTGAACAAAGATTCACAATAAAAGGTGAAGCACTGTTGTGTAACTGATGATTCGTGGTTCAGGGCTCTTCTTACTTATGCAGCCCTAAGCTGGTGATATTTTTACATGTATTTCGTTAAAAAGGAGAGCACGCGGCAGTTTTTTTCGGGTTACGCGGTGCTGGCACAGTTTTCCCGTCGTCACGAAGAGGTGCATGTTGAGTCGCTCTCACTCTTCCAGCTGCTGTACGTGGAAAGCCAGGAGCCTCGCAGTCCTTTCAACACCTTGCCGCTTCGCTCCTCGCTCACCCCAACCAAGAAAGTGGACGTCGACCGAACCGTCATGCCGGACGGAACCATCGTCACCACGGTCACGACCGTTCAGTCCCGACTCAAACTGGACCGCAGCCCGGGTAAACCTGCGAGCGTTTCCGTCTCCCACCGAGCAGCAAGAGAGGAGAGAGGGAAAGGCGTGCTTTCGTTTGACCTCGTGTCTTTGCGCTTCCTCTCAGGTGACTCCCCCCTGCGTTCCCCATCCAAAGTGGAGTTGACTGAGAAGAAAGCCACCGTCCAGTCTGACAGCCGAGGCAGCAGCAGCCCCAACCCCAGCAGTGAGTTCCAGGCATTGTTTTACATAACACATGCAAAACAGGAAAAGCAGCAGGCGGTCGTGTAACAAGAGCTGATGGGAATTATCAACAATGACTAAGACAAAAGACGAGCATCCAGTGCAGTGAATTTGCATGAGTTTCACAGCATTTATGTTGCAGTCTAGTCGCGTAGCACCGATTTACACGCGTGTGTCTCTGTTGCTCAGAGAGCAGCCGCCTCTCTAATGGCCTGGATCCTGTTGCAGAGACAGCCATCCGGCAGCTGACGGAGTCTGCATCCAAAGCCGCGCGGAAGACCCCAACTAAGAGGAGCACGCTTATCATCTCTGGTGTGTCAAAGGTTAGGAAAGGGACACTCCGTCCCGTACGTGCATTTGCTCATTTCACACCACAGAAATAAAGGGACCCTCCTCCAATTTTATTTTAAACTTGATTTTTCACAGCTTTCTGTTTGATTGAATGGACTTCCAGTGATCTTCTGATTATATGATAAAATGAGCCTTTAAAGGACACTTACAGGGTAAGAGAGCATAGAGCAAAGGGCCTTAGGTCTCGGCCTGCGGATCAAACTGATTTTATTCTCATTCTCTCATACTTTATAACTTGCCCCCTCTGCAGCTGGACAAAGAACATCTGGCCGGCTGCCAATCCCTCTCTTTAGACACAGTAGTGTAACAGGTCATGTGTTGAACTGACTAAGTTGTTAACACCCCAAACTGTTGAGCATAATGGCTGCTGGCTAGCTTATAACATCTTTGAGAACTTGTGTCTTTATTCCCAAGTCACATGGACCCTGAACTATCCAGTCCGTGCATTTGTCTGCTTTTTGTTTGCGTTCTCTGCAGCTGACGTAAAAAACTGATCTTTAAAGGGCCAATATGCCTCGGATAGTTGTTTTGGCGACGGCTGTTGCATTAAATGGACGGTAATTACATTTTTGGACTTCCGATTGGTTAAGAATCTGACAAATCAGATTTTCTTCTCAGGATAAATTACATTAAGCAAGTCAGAGTTGGAGCTTATTTCCTCAGTTCAGTAAACATTCAAAATAATCATGATATATATATTGAGATATTTTACAACTGATGAACCAAGTTGAGGATTATGAGTTCAGTAGTGACCTCAGACAAGGACAGAAGGAGTGAGGGTGGTTTTCCCATTGTGTCTCCTCAAACCAGTGCTATTCATTTAGAATTCACCGACACAAAACCGGGCAAAAGGGAGTTTGATCTAAATTTAGCTCAAAGTCACAGCCCCCCCCCCCCCTTCCCAATTGGACTACATTACAGCAGAAGTAGTCCTCTGACCTGATTTTTGCTTGAAAACGTGTGGAAATGCATTCAGTAAAAGTCAGCTTGCAGCTGAATTGAAAGTACAGACCGTAGTAAGGACACTGTACTCTGAAAAAGCACAGACACAGCCTGCATTTCTGTATGTATTTGAAACCGCATTCAGCGTGACAGCCAGACCAGCATTGATCCTAATCAGTGTTTTAAGCCTGGATTTTCTGTAAGAAACGGCATAAATCCCCGGGCCTGATTTCTTTTCTCATCAGGTTCCACTCACAGAGGATAACTGTGCGTTATCCAGCAGCTACGCGGCGGCCATGGACGCAGCCATGCACGGCAACCACTACAGGACGGGCCATCACCAGGACCCAGACGAAACCACACCCTCAGACGTGTCCGAGCGTCCATCTGTGGACGATGTGGAGTCAGATACGGGTTCCGCAGGTGCCTTGGAAACCCGCAGTCTCAAGGACCATAAGGGTAACTCAGTGATCGCAGTTTGCTGACCGGCATGTAAACCAAAATCATCATCACTCTTCTACTATTGTCACAACATTCAGCTACACAGAGCCTAGTACTGAAAATGTATATCAGGTTCTGTTTTTGCTGATAGGGGCATACATTGAAATTGATAACATCCTATATTATAAGATCACATGCACTTGTTATGCCTTCGAACTGCACTTTTCAAGTGTGAGATTGACCTCAGTTTAACACTGACAGGTTAACACATAAAGTTGTACTGACCGACTATGCTGATACTGCCCTCTGGAGGCAGGGCTGCAGCACACATGACCCCCACCCACATAAAAGAACCAAACCAAGTGAAGGATCACAAAACTCCTCGGGGAGGACTGCAAAAGATGTTGGTTGGCTAGAAGTTGGAGCCAGTATAAACAAAATGGGAAGGTTGTAAATGGGAAACGTACAGGTGTCCCATTTATGAAGCTGATCTAACACTGATACCAGACTGATAAAGTATATTGTTTTTCATTGGTAAAGCCCATAAACTAGTAAATTCAAATTGGTTCCAAAAGCCAGAGGAAGTGCAGCTAAGTAGTTTTGGGTTTTTTTCTGGACTGTGGGAGGAAGCAAGAGTACCCAGACAGAACCCATGTATACACAGAGAGAAAAGTAGTTTTTCTGTCCTTTCTTTGGTGGAAAGATAGTTTTCCAATTAACATAATTAGTAGTTAAAAATGGGTAAATTGCTCATGGGTGAGTGGTGGTCGCAGATGCCCTTATCTGCAGGGATTGCTTTGCATCTCAATGCACTGGTGCTTTATGACGTCAATGTGTGCCGTGTGCTTCTTCCAGTGGGCTTCCTACAGAGCGGCACAAAGCTGCTGTTCCGCAGGAGGCATCGAGAGAAGGAGTCCTGCCTCAGCCAGTCCCACGAGGACATCTCCAACATTGGCAACAACTTCACGGCTGCCGCTCCGAACATCAGCCGTAAAAAGTCTGGCAGCTTCTCCCGGCGTATCATCAAGCGCTTTTCTTTCCGCTCGTCAGGCAAATCAAAGGGCAAAGCCGCCTCTTCCAACGGAGGAGCGAGCTCTGTGGATAACTGATTGTCACCGCTCGGCACTTTGCTCCGAGGCCTCATCTATCACGGTTGAAGCCACCAATAAACTCGAGTTTGTTCTTAGACAAGCTCAACGTCTCAAGTTCACAGTAACCTGTACTTCCTGGTGGGAGGGCACCTCTGCGAGGGCTCCCCTTCCGGAAGCAACGTCGATGCACCTTCAGGACAAAAATCATGTGTGATGATGTAATTGACTCTGTGGTGAGATGAAGAAATTCCTCTTCTCTGAGGAGAAATCTGCTGCTCTGTGAGAAGAAGGGAAATTTTTTGAGTCGAAATTCAACCACAGCCTTCAAACAAGACTGCTGGTGGAGATCACTTTAATTAATTTGCGATATAAAATGAGTGTGACACTACTGATTGCACTTTGGGCAAATGATTTTTTTTAATGGCACATATACGATTTTGTTGGTTGTAAAAAGATAATTTATTTCTATGTAAGACTCCTGAAATGTGCTATTTATTTTTACTTTGCCAAAACAAGTCATCCTAGTTGCATTACACTTTAAAAACAGGGGCAATGCTGTGTGTTTTTCCATGCAAATGTAATTTAAGAAATAATTTAAGTAAGTTAACGAATCTCTGGCTCAGTCGAGCTGTACTGTGCATTCATTATTGTTTATAAATGGTTATTTTGAATGTTTTATCTTCTATAAAAATCAGAAAAGATTTTATATTTATTGTAATTTTGTGGAACATCATGAGTTGTGTTTGCTTTTGATAATGCAGTCAGCCATCAACAAGTAAAAAAAATCTCAGAGTATTGAGATTAGACATCATGTCAGTAAAAAAAAAACCTGATCGGGTACAGTTCTGGCATTTTGATGCCAATAGGGTCCTCGTTGTTGTGATTACTTCCATTGCTGTGCAGCAAATATAGAGTAAACAAAGCAAAACCTCTCCTATATTTATATTCAGGGGCATTATTATCCCAAAAATATTCTGAAATCAGTCGAAGTGCATCAAATAATCCCTTGGAAATGCTATGCTCAGGAAAAGCTGATGGGTGGAGGAGTGGTTGGAGGAACTCCTTTCAGGGCTGGAAACCTGCTGCATTCCTCAAAGGCTCACAGAATCAGTACATTTTATTGTGGATAGGCTTTTTTGCCATTTGTGTTTGTCTGAGAACAGGATTTTCCTTCTTTTTTTCATTGACTGCAATAATTAAAGTGACTCAGAACAAACTGATTAAATGGTTTAATCTTCAGGGCTAGGGTCAGGGTTTCATCAATAATAAGCAAGATGTTAAAAGAAATTGTAAAAGTAGGGCCGCTTGTGTTTTAGACACCAGTGTCACAAAGTTTCAACAAATTCAAAATGTGGAAGAAAATAACAAAATCCTCTTTTTCTAAAGGCACACTGAAAGAATAAGTATGTATACAAATACATGTGACCATAATCTGAAAAAGAATGGTTGCATAATTTAAGGTATGTATGACTTCTATTTTAAAAAACATAATTTATTGCAAATAAATAATTTTTCTAAGCGCAAGTTGGTCTGTATACTTGATTGGATTATTTCCTGTTTTCATTTATAAAGTAAAGTCATTTTTCAGCTGTGTTGTGACTTCACAAATGATCCAATGTGGAGCTACTTGGGTTTTATTAAATGTCTAGTTTCTCTGTACGTTTCCCTTGGTGTGAAATTTGTTTTCACATCCAGTTGAATCCAGATGTCTTAAAAATTGTGAAAACATAACTGATTTACAATTAATATACACATGGTGTGTCTTCAGCTATTTATATTTAATTGGTAAAAAATCATGGAAAGTAACCATCATAGTTAATTGAGACCATGGAGATCAACATGTAAAATATGGCCAGACTGTGAGCATCAGCTCCTCTTCTCTTTGTGGAGGGACAGATAAATTCCCTCCTCTTTCAAATCTTTATTGCGAAGTCAGTAAAACAAGAAGAAAGCAGAGGGCTGCTTGGTTGTAGTGGGTGATGGACCTCCCAAAATGCAGAAGACATTTAGCTCGTCAGAGAGTCTTTGTTCGGCTCAGCTGGGTTGAGTGGTGTCCTGATGTGTGAGATGTTTCGCAGGTATCTACGCACAAATGCAGCATTGTTGGTAGGGAAACCATGTACAAGCTTTTCAAAGCAGTCTTTGTGGTAGTAGTTTCACCCTGACGATTTGGTTTCTGTCAGCCTTTAAACTAAGTGCCATTTTAAAGGGACTAGCCTTCAAAAACTTGACTTTACACAAAGGAAATGCAGGCTGCATACATGTTTGACTATTTGTTTTGTTGCAGTAAATTAAACATGTTTTAACCGACTGACAATGACTGTAGGATGTAAAACAATTTTGTTAACAATTTTATAACACATATACAGTATATGTGCACCAACCAATCTGAAAAATTTATAAATCAAAGCGTTTTTTCCTGAGTCTGACTTTGGGGGAAAAAAGACTAATACTACTACTAGTAATAATGTATAGTTCCCAAGAATGCATCCCCAGTCAGCATGGCGAATACATACGGCATAAATATGATCATGAACCCTAACCTGGCCAGTACCTTTGCAGATGACTATAAACTACTACTAAATACTGTTAAATGAAATATTCACTTCACTTGTGCTGTTACATACATTTTGCATGTGGCTAGCGCCAAAAGTTTTGAAGGTGGAGGGAAGACAGTCGATTGGTCTTCCTTATCTGCCTCTGAGAACATGACCCACTCAAAATAACCAGGAAAACTGAGCACCAATAGCCTATCACTATTCCATAAACGTCACCGTGATTGGTTTAAAGCTAAAAGGCTTTAACCAATTAAAGCTGACTTTCCATTTCCTTTGACCTCTGAAAACCAATGTAGTCACACCCTTCAACACTATAAGCCAATCAAAGTTTAGGGCGGGACAAACATAGGGGTTTATATCCAGGTCGTCCACTCTCTTTTCATCCTTACAGTCTACGGATCTACGTTTTTACGAGCATTTACAGAACCTATACAACAGTTTACAATGTCTGGAAGAGGCAAGACTGGAGCAAAGGCCCGGGCCAAGGCGAAGACTCGCAGCTCCCGCGCCGGTCTGCAGTTTCCCGTGGGCCGTGTCCACCGTCTCCTCCGCAAGGGGAACTACGCCGAGAGGGTGGGCGCCGGAGCCCCGGTCTACCTGGCCGCCGTGCTGGAGTACCTCACCGCAGAGATCCTGGAGCTGGCCGGCAACGCCGCCAGGGACAACAAGAAGACCCGTATCATCCCCCGCCACCTCCAGCTGGCCGTCCGCAACGACGAGGAGCTGAACAAACTGCTCGGTGGCGTGACCATTGCCCAGGGCGGCGTCCTGCCCAACATCCAGGCCGTCCTGCTGCCAAAGAAGACCGGCCAGGCTGCGCCGAGCTCCGGCAAGGCGGGAAAGAAGGCCTCCTCTCAGTCTCAAGAGTATTAGCTTACCGGCTAATGAGTTCACCCAAAGGCCCTTTTAAGGGCCACCCACACCTCGAGAGAGCTACGTTCCTGTCTGTCCTGTTCCATGTTTTTCTTCCTTATTTAATAAAGTCAGGTCTTGTTAATGCTGTCTATTGGTTGGCGTCAGGCTGGGTTATACTGTGCTAGCATCTATGAAAGTTCAAACATGGCAGTCTTCTGTACATCTGGGGTTTTTACCTTTTGAGTAAGTGGGATGTGACTAGTCATCCCCATCCAGCAGGCCATTACATTCATCAGTCAGTTTCTGCAGTGTTAAACCTTTTAAGGGACATCACAATCTATATTTGGCCAATATAAAAGGAGTCAGTTTCTGTTCAGGCTTCAGTTTCTTGTTTCCTTTCAAAAGGGCCTCAGTTAGGTATGGGATGAAAAGTTGAACCCACTATGTGTCCTATCAGGTACTTTTGTGGAAATATTCAAGTTGTTTAGAACATTGAGGGGTTATTGTTGAAATGGTCCATGTGCTCACAGATGTGACCTGGATGTTTTCAGCTTGTGGTTAGAAATGCACCAAAACATTTTAACGGTTCCTGCATGTAGCTCCAGGTGTTTCCTTCTTACTTGTGAAACAAACGTGGGTTTATCAGCACAACACAATAACAGGCATCTATAAACAGCCTCTAAGCAGCAAGGTAATGAGCCACTTTAGGTTTGTTTAGTCATTTATCTAAATTAGCTGATTATATAGCAGTAGCAGCTCCCTTCCTTCTTAACTTGGAGTATGTTTTTGTTATTCTAAGTTTAGACACGAACTTCAAATCTAACAAAAATATATTTAGTAAAGTACAGCAAATAAATCCTGGTTTTGTGGTGGTTAGTTATTGATATTTGATGTATGGAAATGCAGCAAAGAAAAGTATTTACGCAAACATGGACAATCTTCCTTCATGATCTATCAGCTCCACATGACCAATTTTCCTCATGTGTGACTACAAATTAAAAAGATATATTTTTTTTGTGCTAATATACAGCACAACTTTCTGGTTTAACAATTTGCAGTTGTCCACAGCTCACCACTTGAGAAGTGAGAGAAATAATGGTGGTTGGGGGGTGCTGTTTCTTATATAACCAGCAGAGGCTGACTGTGTCATGTGTGGATATACTCAGTGTGGAAGAATCCCCATGTTGGCCCATAGCTATATATGCCAAATGCATCTCAGACAACCTTAATGTAAAACTATGTGTCAAGACAATGATTACATGTGGCTATGATGAATCACATAAAAATCTGAGTAACAACTTGAGGATCAGTCGGTAGAAAAGCTGTGTAGGAGGTCATTTCATCTCAGTGGTGGTCAGTCACATGCTTGCAGATTACATCTGTAATATAAAGCCGATGTGTAGTTTCTGTAGGAAGAGAGCATTTAGATATTTCTGTCAGCTTTGACTATTTTATTAGTGGCAAAAGCAGCGTGACGCAACAAGTCTGAAATGAGCCCAGGACAGGCTGAACCAATTACCCAGGCCTGACAACGTGTCCAAAGTCAACATCCAGGCTCAAAATTCCAGCCCAAAGGGAAAAACCAAGTGTCCACTGGCTGCGACAGCTATAATTTTCTGGCTGAACACTATAAAAAGCTCTAAATTTACCATGCTGCTCTTTTCAGCTGTTTGTGGTTTAAGGATATATATGGGTTAGCAGCAATTTCAGTCATTTCAGGGCATTTCTGTAACTTCATGTATTAAGTTGAGATGTGAGAACTATGACGCACTTTTTTTTTGTCAGTTAATGCACACAAAAAAGCAACCTTTTCCAAACTGAGCTGTCAAAATGAGAAAGTCCCACAGGACAAAGTTAGAATAACCATATAAGCATACCGTTTGGTCTGTGCACCGGAAAATGATCTAAAAAAACTGGAGATCTGTTTAATGAGAAGGAGCGATGCCGGAACACAGAATTCCTTTTCCCAGAGTTGCATGGGAAAAGGGAAGCTGAGAGGAGAAAGCTGGAAAGGGGGGATGAACCTGGCAGAAGGATGTCTGTTGAACAGAAGCACCGAGACATTCCCTTTGAAAGCAACTCAAAGGCGGTGGAGGAGAAAAAAAACTACATCTTTCCATCCTCAAGACCTGCGGCTGACACTTATCTCATGGAGATTTGGGAAGATGCCTTGTCTTGTGTTTTTAATCTTTAGGCTGGATCCTTTCACAGAGAAGAAAATGTTCATCACCAGCTCGGGTAATTAGAAACAAAAATTTTGCTTGATGATGTGTGTGTGTGTGTTTGTATATGTGTGTGTGTGATATTGAGATATATAATGGGGCTTATTGTGGCAGCTCACCCTCATGGTTTTGACCCAGTTATTTTTCACCCACACGGCAACGTGTGTGACAGAGTTAACATTCTTTAGTTAATAGTGTTTTAATCTTCTCACATTGTCCTCAAAAGCGACCATTTCTCAGTTAAATACCACAGAACTGTGGGGGCAGGTTCAGACAGATTAGGAGTCAAACCCAGCTTGCTGGGTGAATGGACATTTTTATTCATGAGTGAGATCAGGCTGCCTCTGGGGCTCAGGCGTCTCGTAATGTGCTTTGGTGGAATTACAGGGTGATGAGGCATTACTCCATCGCTGAGCGTGAGGTGCACATGTGTCCGAGTGAGTATGATTTCAATTCGAAAAATTCTCTAGAAAAACTTAAACCACAGTGCATTTTGTATAACGAAGCATCCAGATGTGATGGATTGTTAAGTTGTGAGAGATAAGTGGGCTGCTGTCGCAGAGGAATGGGTGCATCTGTTCAGTCAAAACAATAGTTTATGGACTATTAAGCAGAATTCTGTTGACTATTTGCACCTCTCACATCGTATGGCCTCCGGCTTATTGTTTCATGTACTCTGACCATGTATCTGTCTGTTTTCTGTCCTCCTTTTTGACGGCCTTTCTTGCCCTCCGTTCAACCCCTCATGCCACATTCTTTCTGTATGGCCACAAACAGCTTTTGTGACTGTTAACTTTAGGTCAGCTTGAGGGCAGAGGTCGTGTTTAAATTTGTCAGTGGTTGTGGAAGGAGCCGGATTTGTGAGTGGTCTGCCAGGAAGTGCAGACTGAAGTCTTTGATTTATAGCTTGGAAGTTCATTTTTTCCTTTTTAGAGGAGAAAGACAGTCTGGATCAGAAAGGACCTTAAGGCAAGTTTGTCTCTGGAATTTTTCTTAATTTATTCTTTCACCTGTCATATTGAAACATCCTGCAGAGACCCGCAGATGTCTTCACAAGCAAAGGTCTCTTCAAAAGCCTCTCCCCAAGCCAGTCTGTGCTCCAAGGCTCTCACAGAGCAGCTGGTAAACACTCCAGTAAAACTGCTCCCTCTGTTAGACCCACTAGTTATTTGAGGCTTCAAATGGCCAGATAGGTAGAAGTGTATATAAATTAGTTATATGTGTTTGCTGAAACTTTTTACAAATGTATTTCTGGATACAATTTTGCTTTTGCATGACCTCAGAACTTGTCTTTAGATATCTACATGTATTGAACCAATTTGGAATTGAACTAATTTGACCTGATTGGAACGTGTTTGTCTTTCAATGAATTTGATGCTGTTTGGTTTGGATTCTATCTTTGAAGTGCCAAGAAATGAGATTTTATTGTGATATGGTGCAATGTACATACCCCAGTTAGCATATAGCATCACCCCCATCATACACACACAAAGAATTAGGAAAAAATAATACAATCACCAATTTTGGAGAAAGTAAGATAAATGATTTCAGAGGTGTGGCTCCTGCAGGAATATTAGAATATCCTGTTACTGATGGGACACAGTAAGAGCAGACCTAAAATAAACTTATGGTGACTTTTTTTGCACGATCTGTGTAGATGTTACCACTTCTCGTTGGTTATTTTTTACATAGTTTATAAGTATAACAATTTCCTTAGTCTGGATAGATGGAAATCTTGATAAACCCTTTTGAAGGCATTTTAGTAAGTGTCCATTTTCTAAGCTTTAACCTCCACATCATCACAAAGGACATATGATTCACAACTTCAACCCTTTCTGCAGACTTCACTGGTCTCCAGACCATCTGGTTACTTAGACGCCTCTGTTTGTTTGTTATTATTTTCCTCAGTGAGTCATCATCTGCTTCATTTCCTCCTTCTCCTCTCTGGCTCTAACCATGGGAAAAACCTTTTGAGATCAATAGTGGAATCTTTCTCCCACTCTCCTCTGCTCTCTGTGTTTATCTGAAAACCAAATATTTTTCCTGTGGGACGTCTTATGAGATGCTCACATGTGTTCGCACACTTCCTGTGGGCCACAGTATACGTCTATCCCATCAACACTGATGTACGAAGAAGAGTGGATGCATTATATTCCACTGTAGTGTACTTAGCAATTTTTTCATGAATTCTCAGAGTGAAAATACCCCTCTTTTCCAGTTTGTTACATCTTGAAAGCTCAGAGCAGGAAGTCAGAGGACAAAAGTCCTGTTTCATCTCCTACTCCCACACCACATGTTGTTTCCATCATAGAACAGATTGTTAACACCTGAGGAAATTGTCCAGCCTTCTCTGATCACGTGGTGAGCTCAAACTGGACTCTCAAACAATGGAAGTCTTGCTGGGGTCGGTGCACTGGAGGGATCCTCTGAGATGAGGCGGGATGTTATTTACTCGGAGGACTTGTCAGCCTAATAGAGACGTTGAATCAATAAGTGCAAAATCTGAGCTTGTTTTGGAAGGCATGCCGCTGCATGATCCCCCCCCTCTGCCGCGTGGAACTCTGATAGGATGTAATTCTGCACCAGAATGGGCAGGAGAAGGGGCTGGGACGAGGGAAATAGCAGAGGGACTCAGTGAGTGAATGAAAAGCAAGGAGCAAGACACACACAATAATGTGGACACAGCTCTGTGAATTAATAATCTTCAGAAGAGCCCATGGAGGTAGCTGCTGTCTGGACTCTGTCAGAGTAGAGAGATGGTAAGAACTGCATGACTGTCAGACAAGTAAGTAAACTAATACCCACATATGGAGGCGTTTGGATTATTTTTTTCTTTCCGACATCAAATTATCCTCTTTTTTATTTCCTTGCTCTTTTTAAATGTTAACGTTTCCTCTTTATGTGTCGATGTTTACTCCCAGCAGAAGTCTTTAAAAGTAGCAGTCCAGACTGTGTAGCTGGCAGTATCTATTTTCAGAACTTCATGGCAACTCTGAAGGGCATAACTGCCTCCATAATGACAGGTTACAGCGCAAGCCCCTGCATTTGAAGGCATTAAAAACTGCTCCCTAGCCTGGGTGTGTACGTTAAATCATTGGGGTTTGTGGGAGCAAGTCAAATGAGTGTGTGTGTGTGTATGAGAGACAGAGAGAGAGGGAGCGAGTCAGAGACAGACATTACCCTGCCCACTATCCTGTCCTGTGTCTGAGTGCGGGTCTCAAAGCAGGCCAGTGTTGACAGCCAGTGGGCTGACAGCGGAGGCGTCAGGGCTCCAGTGTCAGAGCCGAACAGAGGGTACGGTCTGTTCTCCGTGTCACTGGCTCTCTCACACTGCACATGATTGTCAGAAATGCGTGGCTTCTCCTGACAGCCTTGTCTGGAGTGACACCAATTGAACGCCCCGTTGTCCCGACCGCCCCAAGCTAAACTTAGCGCCCAGCAGAGGTGGATGGTTTTTTGGGCTATTTTTTTTTGTTGCAAGAATTGTGGCAGATCAGTGGTGGAAACATGGAGCATAATACAGCTGTTGCTGTCCGAGTTTGTCACGGCAGACAAAACAGTGAAAGGAATGTAGGTAGTTGTGTCTGTTCTAATTTTTGTTGTGATGCAGAGATTGCAGTGATAGTACGAGGCAAGCATACAGGCATTTGGGGGGAAAAATATGCATGTCATCCGGGCTGTTTGGGAGCCCGGTTGGGATTGTGCTCCTCGTGGGTTCCTGTTTTCCTCTTGTCTGATGCGAGTGCGATGAGTTGACGGCTGGATGTAATCTTCAGCATCTGTCTGAAAACACAGAGCCAGCGTTTGTATGAGTGCATGAGTCATGGTGACTCACTCTGGTCAGAGGAAGAAGTGATCGGAGCTCTGATGTGTAAGGGCACCTGCACGGTTCAAGCACACTCTGTGCCATATGTGAAACCACATTTCTGATATTAAGATTATGACATTTTTTTTATATTGAACGACTTGTTCATTCTCTAAAGCCTGAAATCCTTTCAGGCTGTGGAATAAATCAACGTGGTTTCGTCTGTTCTGGAGGAACAATTACCCTGTATAGTGGTTAGGTCACATGGGCTTTTAACTGGGGCAGAAGGGTTTCTAAGGAAAGCACTGTTCTCATTGTAGTAGAGCTCTAGTAGCTGTATTCCCAAAGCTCCCATTCAGCGCTATTTGTGTGTGTGTGTGTGTGTGTGCGTGTGTGTGATTCAGGATCTACATGTGTCAGATACTTCTGACCGTCCAGCCGACATGGATCGTATGAGCAAGAATAAAGTGGAGCATCAGCGACAGATGCACCAGGTTTTACAGGTGAGTCATTTCTTTCGGTGTCAGGGCCACTGACCATCTACAGTTACTATAAATGGGATGCCAAATCAGTTGCAAATGATGTCATTAGTAAGTTGTAAAATAGCTTCTTCCATCATATAACACTGAAGTGCTGATTTTGAAAACAACATTTTTGTGTTTTTCAAAATCAAATGGTATAATCTGGCAGGATGAACACATATGTATAGGTTATTACAAGTCAATGTTTGGTAGGGGTACCTTTAATTTTCAAGAGAGTCTGTAATCTCTAAAAAGTTCTTGTCATTTCTTTAAGTTTTCTTCAGGAATAGTCAGTCGTTCAGGCATCTTGAAGGAAATTACAAAGCTCTTATGTGGATGTTGGCTGGCTTTTGTTGCCTTCTCAGTCAAAAATGAACCCACATTGCCTCAAAAATGTTATGGTCCAGGTTATGGGGAAGATTCATCATTCCATAAACCTGCTGCCACTGTTTTCAGTCCAGCTTTTCTGTCAGTTGGCGTCCTTCAGCCTTTTTTTTCTGTTTCCCATCTTTGAAAATGGCTTTTTGACAGCTACACTTCCAGTGAGACCATTTCTGATGCAGCTTTAGTAAAGAGTAGATGGAATAACTCAGCGTCCAGATGCATTTGTCAGGTCCTCTGTCACTTCTTTATTTGTTTTTTTTTACTGTCAATTTATCACATAGCTTTCAGAAACTGCTCAGCCAACAGATGTTTTTCAGACCTGCCACATCAACCATTATCCTCTACTTGCTCCCCTTAAGACCTTGAAAAGGGCCAATAAGGCTTTTTCTTCTTGATCTTTGAAGATGTATCACCGGAATAGCTTTTTCAGCTCTCAAATAACTGGAGAGGAGTTTCAGGTTTAAAAGTAATGGATACTTTGGTCACATCTAAAAGTTTTTAATTCACACAGTAATGGGAAAAAGCTAATAAAACAGAGTCAAGTTTACTTTTAGAAAGCAAAGGTGAGCAGAAACCATCCTATCAAACATTCTAAAATGTCGCCCTAAATATTTAGCGGCAAGACTTTTTGGACTTTTGGAAGTTGTAACAAATTAAGTCACTGAATGGTTTAAGGATGATGTTAATCTTATAGCATTATACTGCTTTTTCTCTGTTTTCACAGAATACTCCTTTAGACCTGATTGAAACAGGGAAATCTTTGAAAGTCCAGGCAGAGCGCCCCCATCTGGTTAGCCTGGGAAGTGGACGCCTGAGCACAGCCATCACTTTGCTACCTCTTCTGGAAGGTGAGGACCAGTGTGTACAGTTCATATTGCTGTGGGTACGAAGTCAGATACTAAACATTTCTGGTTCAGCAAAACTATTACATACATTGCTCTAATAATTGTTGATGATTAATAATAAACCCACGATTATAAATATACATAATCAGGGATTACTTTAAATGCATCAATGCACTGGTTCCCTCTTTAATGGGCCGGAGGTTAACGGAGTTGATTGTTTGATATAAACAGTTTCTTGTGAAAGCATTGTGGCTTTTTATAGGCAGTAACTTTCAGCACCACTGGAGGGTGCTGGAATTTTTGCCCCCATGCAGCTGCATGAACTGACGCCACATGAGATCGTTTCAATAGGCAGGACACCCTCAAGTGGTACAGCTTGTCAGTAATGATGAACTGACAACAACTGATGACACATTATCCTTTAACCATCTTCCTGTTACTCATACTGAGCCACAGATGCAGCTGCACCCTTGTCTTTGAGCTGCTGGCACCGTTTGTCTTTCAGTGAGCATCAACATCTCATACTGGTGCCCCAGAGAAAAGCCTGCTGGGATTTTCTCTCTCTCTCTCTCTCTCTCTCTCTCTCTCTCTCTCTCTCTATATATATATATATATATATATATATACTATAGATAGATAGGTCTATGTGGATGTTCAGGAAATTAAGCGAAGAAAATGTTCCTCTTGTGACAGGGAGGACCACGCTGGGCAGTGGTGGGACAGACATCCCCCTGCAGGGCCCCGGGATCGCAGCTCAGCACTGCTACATTGAAAACCAGTCCGGGAGCATCATCCTATACCCATGTGGAAACCAATGTTCTGCAGACGGGCTTCCCATCACCAAACCCTATCGCCTTACACAAGGTAACGCCTTCACAGGCTTAGTAAGAGGCCGGGTACAGAATGTAATTGTCCGGTTTTGCTGTTCCTTGCCCTTCCAGTAATACATATACTTGTCATAAAATGCTCTAAACAGTCCCGCCCCCTCAGTCCCCTCTCCATGAGCTCCAGTCAGCAGCTACAGCCGTGTCATTTGAAGCTGGTGTGTGTAGAGGCAGCAGCTGCTGAAAAAGAAAACCTCGGGCTTTGCTTCAATCAAACGATAATCAGGATAACTTTGATTCAAACAACTGAGGAATGGAGGAGTCTACTCTATTCATAGCTAAAGGAATTTTGTTTTAGTACCTTCATGGAGATAGATGTTAATTCTTCTGTAAGACAGCTGGAAATAGAAACTTCTGCTAGTGACTGTCAGAAAATTGAGCTGGTATTCTTGAGAGACAACAGAAATGCATAGAGTTTCTTAGGACTTGATGTTACTTTCTGATTAATTACACGTAAGTTTAACTTGTTCATTTATTGATGTGTGAGGACAAATACCGTCCATAACTTGTATAACTTTATTCATAAGGTTGTAACCAAGTAATATAACAAATCAAGAATAATAGTAGATGTCTTTCTAATTCAGCATGTTTGGATTACATGTTTCTTGTCTTTATACAAGACCAACTCAGCTAAATTACAGATCATGTAATCCTAATAAGAATATACTAAGTATTGTAGTTTTCAGCCACTCTTTGAACATACTTTAAAGTGATCAATTTAAAAACGAATTAATCAAATAATAATGACAACTTCCTATTTACCTTCTCTCCTGTGGTAGGGTGTATGCTTTGTTTTGGCCAGTCCGCCTTTTTCCGCTTCAACCATCCAGAGGAAGCTCAGAGGATGAAGAGCATGCTGCCTGGAGGGAGCCTCAGACTGACCAGCTCACAACCAATTCCCTCTGGTAAGAAGGCACACCAAAGTGGTCTAACTTAAAATAATTTAGCATGATTAGGTTGCAGAAACCTCTTCAGCAGCTGTTCTGGGCAGCAAATGCTTTGGGTGCATAAAATTCTTTGGTCTGCACTGTAAAAATCGTCCCAGGAGTTTTATTTCAAATAAGTGATGGTTCTATGGATGGTTGGAAAAACCATGGCTGCCTTAAAAAAGAACAGTTAGATTTTTGTCTGCAACACATTTAACTTTGAAAAGAAGAAGAATTGTATTTGTGCTTGTCTCAAATATATTGAGCGTGCCTTTTTATGATGACATCATTGACTGACGTGAATATTTTTATCCCTGAAAATTTGCAAAAATAGCTTGTTCAGAACTAATTATCAGCAGCCTACATTATGATCTACTTGTTCACTCGGTGGTGACCTGATTGTGTTAAATCACCAGTGGAATCTGTAGCACAGGTTTTTTTTGTGTATTCTTTTTCAGTTAATATAATGTTATTTTGGCCCACTGCCCACCGCTGCCCCAGGCTGTCTGTGATATTTAGAACCCATTCTCCTTTGACCTTATTACTGTGGCTGTCAGAGCCTGAATAGTAAGAGCCACCACACCCTTTCCAAAGTGTATTGCCCACTCTTTCCTGACCAAGCCCTGATTTCATTTGCTTTGAATGAGGTACGTGGCTGTAGCTTTATATTTAGCCTCTCCAGATCCCTGTAGGATTACAGCAGAATTTAGGAGCATCTCAAACACCAGGTTTAGTTTATGCAGGAGACCATAAGCTCCATCTGAGATGCCCCTATTTAAAGTTGGTTGCTTTGACACGTTGTGTAAATGAGCGCATTCCAAACCAACAACAGGCATTTTTCCTTTAAAGGACTCTGCCCTTTGCCCCACAGCTGACCTGGGGAGTATTAGAGGTGAGCAGGGTGGTGATGGCACACGGCAGACCTCTTTTATTGTGTGTTTGTTTAAATGTGTTTTTGCAACTGCCCTCCTCTGTTTATTCTACGAGAATTCTCACAGGCAAATGTTCCTGTCTCCTGTCTCCCCATCTACAGACCCCCACAATGCCTCCAATGGAAACCACAAGTCATTTTCATGCAGCAGTGAGGTTAAACTCAACAACATGGCAAAGAATTTGCAGGACTCCCTAGTTCTGAAGACTTTATCGTCACAATCCAGTGTTGGTAAACAGTCTCTTCAATCATCTCATGTGGACGTCTTTAACGGGAAAAATGGCTCCACAGCAGAGAATTGTATTAATGAATACAGCAACAGCATCTCTTTGACTCAGAACACTGGCAACAAAAGGCTTCCGGTTTCTGCTCGGTCTGCTCATCCCAATCAAGCTCCAGTCCCACATCCACGGACCTCCCTCTCTGTGGCCTTTAGTGGTACCGGTGGGGGTCAGAGGTCCCAGGAGAGCCCAAAGCCTCTCAGAAATGTCAGAGCAGAGGCGACATCAAGCCCCAAACCACATGTCAGGGCATCGGGACAGGGAACAGAAAACTCAAGCCTGAGTCACAAACCATCGTCCGTCAAGTTTGCCCAAACAGCTCCATCAAGCCCCCGATTAAGAGGTCCCACCTTACAGAAGAGATCCAGCAGTCCCATGCGAGAGCAGGGTCAGCTTCTCCCTCATGCAGATACCCCTCAAAGGCCAACTGGATGCAGTAGCCTGAGGGAACTCCCTCCTCTCAGCCCATCCATGTCCCGTAGGGGGACCCTATTATCAAAGGCAGCCCTCGACAGCCCCCAGGGTCACAGAAACCCTCCAACTCCTCTAAAATCTGAGGCATCCTACACACTGAGTTCATCATCTCTGTCTGGACTTGAGAAAGAGACTGGAAGCGGGAAATTTAAGACAGGCCAGGGGAGCACATTCATGTCAAACTTGGGTTCAGTATCTGGTCTGTCCCCTCTCGCTAGCCCTCGAAACCAAAGAAAGACATCCTGCACTGGCGTTAAAGGATCTGCCAGTAAGGAAGGGAATGTTACGAAACCATACACCAGAGAACGCAAAAACAGCATCTCTGAGATCAGTGACAATGAGGACGAGTTGCTGGAATACCACCGTTGGCAAAGGGAAGAGAGGCTGCGGGAGCAGGAAATGGAGAAACTGGTAAGTGACAAGTCTGAGAGTAGATGACACTGAATTTCACCTCTGAATTCTGCTCCTTAGCCACATCTAAAATATGCTTAAATCTTGACTAGGATTTTAGCTAACGCTGTGAAAGTGATCTGTTTGTCTGCTTTAAAAGACAACCTAACAAAAACAACTCATCAGACACAAAACTATGACATGAAAAGATCACATGAAAAAAAGCTGCTCAGCACAGGAAGCCGGCTTTATGGTTTTCAAAGAGATAAACACACTTCAGTGGAGGAGGCAGTGATTCCTGGCACAGCAGACTGTACGTCGGCTTTCAGCTATCTCCTCCAAATCCTCTGGCTCAAAGCCAGTAGCTCGTCTCATACGGCCAAAGTGACGGGGGTTGAACATTCTTCCAGACGTCTTAGGGTCCGGCACAGAGGGTGCGGCTGGTTGTTGCTCAGCACTATATTTACCAGAGAGATGAGCGGCATCCACTTTCAAAGCTGCCTCCACTTTACTCAGGGTCCTTTCTCGTTCATTCCCACACTATATCACTGACTGCATACTTGTTATCTATCTTCAGTCGGTCAGTTCTTAGTACCCTTTAAACCTGCAATTCTGCCCCCACCCATTCCTGTTCACTGACAGCTGAGATGACCACAGAGGTGGGTGGTCCATCCAAGCCCTCCAGGCCCACAGGTCGCTTCAGGGAAAAGATATCAGTAAAAAGATAACATTTTTGAATTGGGGCTTTTTAATACGGCTCAAACAAAGGTGTTTTATCTTTGATTCATCTAAAACAACTCACCAAACTGAATGTAAAAATATGCAAATCGGGTCTGAATATTTCTCTCTCTTAACAGTCTCAGTTATGATCAGAGACAATAAGCATATAACAAGCAACCGGTATCTGAGAAACATTAATCACCCACATTAATGACTCGCATCTGATTTGTTAAAGATCTGACAGAAGCAAATGATAAAACTGAAACTCTATCAAGGAACTGCTCTGTTCAACATGAAATTGATTTTTGTGTTTTTTAAGGTAGTGAGGGCAGAAAGTTGACATCCTCCTCTGACTTTAAAGCTGACGTCAGCTGGCTAGGTTCAGTTCTTGGAAGCACTTCATTTATTGAAGTTCTGTCTTTGGTAACGCTGACATGTATATGAATTTACATTTGGTAGTTGCTCACAGATAGATGTGACAGTCTCAGTAATGTCAAACAATTACTAATTTTGGCCGTTTACTGTACTTTTCAGATGCTATCTCTCATGATATGGACATACAGTCTTGCATGAGAGAGTTACTCAAAGGCTGGAACAGAAACCCATAAGCACCTGACTAGGTGCATCAGGATACACTTTTAAACCAAATTAAGTGTTTACTGATTCTTTTACATTCCAAAGCTGACACAAAGAGTTTTTGGCTTTCATTAACTGTTTCGAAATTGGCATGCTCAAATAGAAAAATGTAAAATACATTTTCCATAAGAGTTTCCAGTTTTGCAGAGTTTGCTAACAGTGCCAAGTCAGCTTGAAAGTATTAAAAAAAAAAATCTGTTTTAGTGGGAACCACAGTACGAGTGATCCATCTCTTCTGTCTGAGACTTTTCATGGTGTTTGAAGACAGATATTCTTAAGTTGTTGATACTAGTAATTACCTATTATTACTGAATAATAATGTCTATAACCTGATGTTGAAATCAGTGTGTTTGTAATATCGTTCTAACTACCTGAATACTTTTGGTATCTGGGAAATGGTGACTACAGTGAGAGACATCAGACAGTAACTCCTTGTCATGCCAGCCTTCTAATTATTGTCAGATTGGAATGATGATTACACATTACACAGTATTTTGGAAGATTAAAGAAAGTATTAAATTGTTTGGTGCAACGAGAGACAAAAGAGTAACCACACGCCTGAACAATGCAGACAGTAGAACAAAGAGAGTTCTAGAGAATAAGAAAACATCTCAACTGTCCTGAAATAGAATGTAAGACTTGGGACAGCTGTTGCAAACTTTCAGAGCGTAAACAAAACCTACCAATGTCTTATTTATATTCGTACATTTCTATTGTGTCTGATTCGGCTCTTGCGCGCAACTCAACTCTGTCCGGTTTCATTATGAAGCCCCTCATGAGAGACGGGCTGCTATCAGGTTGCAGTCGTCCCGTGCCAGTGGCTAAGGGACAGCTGCCTAAATGGGACAAAGTCACCCAAGGACAATTGTGGCTAATCTGCAATATGATCTAGAACTCTGAACAGCATGTCTGTGTCTCACATCTCTTCTGTAGGAGCGACAGAGACTGGAGACCATAATGAATCTGTGTGCAGGATACAATCAGGAGGACAGTGCTGCAGAGCTGGTGAGGAGTGGGTTGCTTGGGGGTGGCAGAGGAATCTGCTCGGACACAGGAGGGGGGATGTCTCTTCAGGGAGCAGAGAGATCTCAGAGGGTGGGTGAGCGCGATGAGGAAATTCAGTGTGAAGAGTCTAGCAGCACAGAGAGCACACACCAAGAGGTAAAATACACACTCCTATGCTGTGTTGACACAAAAGTTTTAGTGCATTTAATTATTTTATAAACAATCTATTTATGATTCTCTACTCAGTGTGAAGAGTTGTTTGCTGGGCAGGAGCAAGTCCACCTGGAAGAGGAGAGGGGCAGGATCTTGGCCAGGGTGGATAACCTGAAGCACAGAGTTGGCGAACTGGAGCAGCAGCTACAAGAGACCAAACGGGAGGTCAGCGGACAGACGAATGCAGAAATCCACTTAGGATGATAAAATACGAGGCACAATCAGAGATAATCTTATCAGTCTAGAGTGAAGAGTGGAAGCTATTTTGTCTTCAACTGTTTACTTAGCTCGGCAGCAGTTGTTAGTTAGCAGGCTGTGACTCCATATTTGTCTCTAGGTGGAGATGGAGCAGGCCCTGCTGCAGGCGGAGAGGCGGGCTGAGCAGGAGCAGATGGAGGCTGAAAGTGAAATCATCTCTCAGCTGCAGCTCAGACTCAGCCAGCTGAACAAAGCCACACAGCAAGAGAAGGAAAAGGTGCAACATGTGGTGTCACTTTACCTACAGCTATCAGTCTGTTGCACGTGAATGACACGTTTGCAAACACAAAACTCACCTTTTTTGTCTGTGCATTCTTGATCAACAATATGCACTGATTTCACAGCTGAATTTTCACAGCTTCCTCAGTGGCAAACTGTTCCAAAGCACAACTGGTCAATTTAAAAATGTAGCTAAAACAACTGCTTACCGGGACTACCTGCCGAATATAACCAAACAACTAACACCTCCAAAACTAATAACTATTTATGTCTCTCCCATTCTAATGTTGTGCTCCCAAAATATTCTACAAACCTAATCTCTGTCTGTCTTTTTATACCTTGTTAACTGCCTTGGCTGTCTTTCAACTTTTTAACTCTACTGCATGGATTTTAGTTGTCCTTGATTTTTTTTTTCTTCTCCCTGGCGTGGTATGTGGTCTGAATGCGTGAACAATCGTGTGTGCGTGTGTGTTTTTGTGTGTTTTTAGGGGAGGGCTAATGTGTCGGCTGAGCGGAAGGTCCTGGAAAAGCAGAGGAATGAGTACAATGAGCTGAAGAGGCAGTTTGATAAGTGCCCCTTGTCTCTAAGGGAACAGTTACAGGAGCAGCTCAGCAGGGTCAGTGTTCTCACGCAGCCCACTGGCTGGCAACAGTGAGTTATAATATACTGAACACAACAGTACTGTATGATCTGCACAGACAGCGCGGCAGATGTAACGCTGACTGTCTCCAAGCACCGAGAGCTACTCATAAAAGCGCTGACTGCGTGTCTCCTCATCTGATTGCTGTCACGCTTCCTCACATAAACATGCAAATGTTGACTATTACGTAATAATTATTTAGCATTATGACCACGCAGATCGAGTCTGATATACAATTGAGCTGGTTTCCCCTCTAGATGCTTGCTTTTGTGAGTTGTAATTTGTAACAATTAATAAGATTATTAACAACTTTCCTCTAAAAAAAAGTATGCATGCATTTCCCAAAATTGATTGAAATCACCTTCACCCCCTTAACCTTTATTAGCTAGACCAGTGCCAGCTTTGAATGGTTCTAAGCTGGTACGATATTTTTAAATGATGAATCTGGTGTTTTTGCATTTCTTCCTTATTATCTTTATTTTGTTTTCTGAAAAAAATAAGAAGTCAAGCTGCATCTATTCTGTCTGGCTACTACAGACTTCGTCTGTTGATAATTAAGAACCGTCACAGATGTGGATCTTTACAGCCCTGTTTGGGAAGAGGATAGGGCACTGTGTAAAATGTAAAAATAAATAAGGATATATGCATAAGCATTACATGACATCCCACAGCTGTCTTTAATTTTCCTTGTGTTTTCCCCGGCACAATTTAAAAAGAGATTACCATTTTTTAAACATTTAATTTCTTCTTTGTTCTATTTTTTTTACTTAAATTATTTTATCTTTATGATAAGATCATACAAAGTAATTCCATTATTTTTCTTTATATTTTACACAGCGACCAAACCTATTTACTTACTCAAAGTAAAAAAAACAGTCCTGTTGTGGGTTATTACTTATGATTAGTATTTGGAATAAATCTAATGGTAGCACTCATCATCCTTTAACAAATCTGCTTACTGATAGAGTGAATGACTTTGTATATGAACAGAAAGCTGAAGCTCTGGAGTCAGGGACCAAACAGTTTGAGGAGATGGAGTTCTGCCAGCTGGAGGAGGAGAGCAGTCTAGACGAAAAGAAGGAAGCTCAGAGCTCCCACTTTCTTCAAGAACGGGCAGATTATCACTGTAGTGTTGCCAAGAGGAAGGTAGGATGCATGTGTGGCACTAACACACACCTGTGTACAATCCTAGTAGCAGCATGGGGTTACAGTATATGTCTGCAAAACATCAAGAAACATGTTGATTCACAGGAGAAGATGGCTGCTCTGGAAGCTCAGGTGAAGCAGATGGGGTTACAAGCATCTCAAGACTGTGAGCGGCTGGGTAAAGACAAAGCAGTGACTCTGCAGCTGTTACACAAGGTGAGCCGGTCGGGGTTCATAAACCGGCTCAAAAGTGCATCTCATTTACAATGCAGTGCAGGAGCCTCTAAAGACACACTAAACGAACCTCATGGAAAAGTATGGTTTTGTAACATTTGGAAGTCCAAAGGCTTTTGGCCATACAATTGTAAATTCACCAAGAAGCTTCTGGCAGAAATAAACTGAATCTACTACAGACACAGTTAGATTTTTATTATTTTTGCTAGTACAGTCCTGATGGAGCTCATGTTTGTGCAGTTGAAGCTGATGCTTTATGGTCGTGCTGGTGACTCTGGGATAGTCATCCTTTTCTTACCACCACCAAAGACTATTCTGACTGCTGGGAACTGTCCTGGATTTGAAAAATCCTTCATGTCCATTTATCTGGACTGGAAGAAAAACTCTGTCTTTTGCGTCTTTCTCTCAGGAGCAAGACAGGCTGTGTGCCCTGGAGAAGAGGTACCACGCCTTGACTGGAGGAAAAAACTTCCCAAAGTCCACCGGCGGCATGAAAGAGGTGAGTGGGTACGTGTGAGACACTGTGTCACAGCCACCTGTGGTCTTGAAGTTGGGGTAGAATTACTGCAAAAGTGGGTTCTTTTTACTCAGGTGAACTTTTTGAACAGGAATTTCTTCACATCAGCGAGCCTGACCTTGTTTATGTGGATGGTGCTCCTAGCCCCTGTCCCTCTTCTGCCTCCTTCTCCTCCTCTCACATCCCCTCCCCTGAACTCTGTCCTGTCAGGCTGCAAGAGGTAAATCTAAGCAAAATCCTGTTTGAAAAAGAGCCTGACAATTCCTGTGTGTTTGCAGTAAACAGCTGCAAGCTTGTGGTGTTTTTGCGGGCAAGAGAGTGTCTGTTTAAAAAAAGATTTGAAGTTTAACTACTAAAGTTACAGCTTTTAGTCTTGAGGCCTAGCGGGTTGTGAACCTTCGCAGCAGCTTGTCGTGAGCCCTTTTGTGTTGTGGCTGTCAATGCAGGAGTACCTCAGGCTGTCTGATGTCTATAGGATGTATGGAAATGCTTCTGTGCCGCCTCATTCTTCCTCTCCAGCTGCTCTACACTGCATCTCCCTCACTGTAGCTCCAGCTCTGCCATGCGAGGTAGACAGCTTCTCTGCTCTTGTCCTTCTCTGCTCATTAACTGTATTTTCAAATGTTCTCACGGATGCACTTTTATTAACCCTCTTTTGAACTTTGTGCTCTCTCCCTGTTTTGTAAATGTTTGCACGTTTTTTTATTCTCTATATGTACAAAGGAGTACGTCACAGTCAGTCAGTTAAGCCAGATCTTTGGGCTGCAGAGAGTTAACCAGTCCTCTTCCTCCTCCACTCCATCATTCCAACTTGCCTCGTCTGAATCCACCTTCTCATGCCGCTCAGCCGCATGTGGTCCTTCCTCCCTTTTTACTGCTCAGGTTTGTCCCGTAAAGCATTGTTAGCTAAACAGCCACTGGCACCATGCATTGTTCCCAGCATTGCAACAGTCTCTGCTTGATTGTCACAAGGACTGGCACCCACATTTATCTTTACCCACCTGTTATAAGCTGTTGCACCACTGTTTGCTCTCTTTTTTTTCTTTGGCTGCATTCTTTTGACCACCTCAGAGCCAAGCTGAGCTGAGCAGGAATGTTATGCCTCCCATTAATCTTGAACGCTGGTACCAGGACATCATGGCTGCTGGAGAGCCTCAGTCATGTCCTCCACCACTGCCTGCAAAGTCTTTATCCACTCGCAGACACGGGCAGGTAAATTCACTTATCCTCTTTTGGTAGTCAGATTGAATTGTATTGCTGAAGGACTCTAACAACAATACAGGTGACCTAAGACATGAGAAGGTTACCTCACTAACCACAAAGTTATCCATACTGTTAAGACCAGAAATCCCTCTGGTCATAACACCTCAAGATAAATAAAGATTCATCCACATGTTATACAAAAAGCATCTCAGATAACACAAAAACAGCATATGGCCATCATGTAAACTAAAGTGCAAATGATAAGATATCAATCTGTGTTTATGTCCCAGCTTTTGAAGTCTAAATCTGAAGGCGAGGTTGGACTGGGATCATCGAGCACTCACTTCAGCAGCACGATCGGCCTGTCACACTCCAGTGGTGTTATGCATGAGAAAAATGCAACCACTAAGGTCAGTGTCTTGCATTTAGAGCACAATCAGGTCTCGAGATCTAACCGCGTGATGACACCCTTTCTGTTTTCTCAGGGTTTACAGTTGATGCTGAGAGAAATGTCAAATCCATTAGACATGGACCCTAAGAGGCAGATGGCTCTGCAGTTCAAAGGTATTTTGAGTCTCAGTATTGTGCCTTCCCCAAACTGTAGGTTCTCATCAGAAATTCCCATATAACTTTAACGTTTATACCATTTTTTTATCTTTAATTTCAGTGAGTGATATTAATAGATCAGCCAGAACACTCACACTTCTGCCCAGCTTTATGATGAGGTTAATTTATGCTGCCAAAATAGCTTTGACCAGTCAAAGCCATGGGCACAGGACACTTGTGGGTGTCCTGTTGTGTCTGACAAAGGAATGCTGACAGCTTTGGGTCTTTTGCATTGTGTTTTGGGGCCTCAATGGATTGGACTTGTTCCCAACCATACTGTAAATGCAATGGCCCAGGATCCTGTGATTGGTACCACCTTTGATAAGTTCTGTTGCCATAGTGGTGGTTGTTTTACTGGCAGTGACTGCAGAAATGAGTGATCGGTGTATCACCCATATGAACATCATTCACTCAGGATGTCATTTTAATCGACCGGGAGCAATGGCCTGGTGTCATCAGTAGAGGGCGGTGTAAGCCTGTGACAACTGACCCTACACCTTCTCTACTCCCACAGAACCATCTCCCGCTCTTCATCACTCCATCCTGCATCATCAGACGCCATCAAGTGGAAACCAGGCATATGACACCCTCAGCCTGGAGAGCTCAGACAGCATGGAGACCAGCGTCTCCACCGGCAACTCCGCCTGTACCCCGGAAAGGTGAGAGACTGGGAAAAAAAGAGCAGTTGGCTCTGTTTCCATGGGAACACTCAAGTCTGCCCGCTTTCTTAAAAGAAAGGTCACCGTGCTTTGTTCCTGTGACAACATGTTTTGTTACATGCCTGCTCATTTGACTACACTGGCTGTTGCCATGCCAACCCATTCAAGTTTTGAAGTTAAGTTTACTGGTGTTAATGAAGAACCCGTGGCTTTTCTGCCCTCCCGCTGTCTTTAGTGTTTGGTTTTCCAGGCATGTTTGTTTACATTTATCATCCTAAGCCATGTCATAGCCGTGTAATCGATGATCCCTTTGCCTTTGTGTGCCGTAGTGCCTGTGGGTTAGAGGCCCAGAGGATAGAGGAGATGGAGAAGATGTTGAAAGACGCGCAGCAGGAGAAAACCAGACTGATTGAGAACAGGGTGAGTTCCCAACTCTGGGTTTTGATGTGAAAGGCTCTGTCCTCACACAACTGGACTTTGGTGCCCCATCACAGTGTTTCTTCATCGTACAGTTACACTTTTCAAGGAACATTAACAAAGATTGCTTTTTAAAAGCAAAAATCGTAAAGATATGCCTAGAAATATACACATGTTCAATACAGAAATAACCCTTTTTCTGCATTATATTTTACATGGAACTGAACATCTTATGGTTTTGGACTTTTACTTGGTGGACTCTTATCATAGAAAGTTACATTTTTGTACAAAGGAAACATCTAAAACACCTTTCTATTTGACTAAACAACAACCCAAAATATTATTTTGAATTTAAAAATTATTTTGACAAATGGCCACATATAAAATCCTTACATGATATATAGTGCAATGTGTTTTTGGTTAAAGTCAAAATTGAGTTAGATTTCAACAGGCTTTGTAAAACAATGACATCATGATAGTCTGATTCACTTGGAGATGATAAACTTCAGTTTTTGCAAAAATCTCGTGTTTTCTTCTTCAAAACAGGAAAAAGATCAAAGTAGAACACTGAGTTTAAGATGTGGTGAAATGAAGTTGTAAAATATTTTGTTAACGTTTGAATTATTTCTGAATGTTGAAACAAAGCAGACATTTGAGTAAGTGTCTCAAAGCTGCAAAGGAACATTTTACATCAGCAAAGCTTTGCTTCCTTACACAGACTAAAAGGATATATTTTATAAAACCCTGGATTGGGACTTGAATCCTCATGTGCTTCTTCTGACAGTCATTTACTTTGTATTGCAATATTTGCCTTTCATTAACATGTTTCCCTGTCTCCCCTTTCCATATTATTTGTTCTACCCTTCTCCCCATCTGTTCTTTTTTTTTTCTCCTGTCCCTCCGCTCCCAGGAGAGGGAGGTGCAGGCTCGGCGGCAGATGTTGGAGGAAGAGCGGAGGAGGCGAGAGGAGGCTGAGCAGAGGCTTCAGGATGAGACAGCCCACAGGCGGAGGCTGGTGGAGGAGGAGGTGAAGATGAGAGAGAAACACTTCTCTCAGGTCAGTGGAGCAGCAGGAGGAGACTTGTGGCGGGAAAGAAAAAACGGGGGAGAGAAGGCTTTGGGGGGGACTGTAAAGAGAAGCAGGGTTTAAAGGAAGATCAAAGACTGTCAAATAAGGGGGAGAAGAGAATGAATAAAGGAGGGAGGGATAATAGAGTGAGAAGAAAAACAAAAAGAAAAAAAGGGCAGGTTACAAATAGATAGATGTAACCATAATTTATGAGAATTTTTATCCCTGGTTGTTTCTAATTATCAGCATGTAACAGATCTATAACACATGCATCCAGCTCACAGGTTGTAAGTTTTGTACTTTTGACTTTCTTGTCAAGTGAGTTGCTGTCTAATATGTTGTGACAAACCCACAGATAATTAACACCTGCTTCTAGGCAGAGTGGGAAATCAGCTACTTTCCTCATACCGCTTATAAATAGTAATAAAGAACACTAATAGCACATTTTCCAGGTGGCAGCCGTGCAACAGAGAGGCAGACTTTATCAATATTTCCACACAACCTTCTGAAAAAAACTCTCCAAAAAGCCATTTTAATGGTAAAAGGAGAGTTTAACTGACCTCCAGGTATTAGTTGAGGCGTGTCACCTCAATGTCCTGCCCTTGCATGGAGTTTTGAAGGTGGGCTCGTCTATATCTTCTAAAAGCCACCGCCGTCGCCTTGGTTTTTGCAGGATTAGAATGGAGACAGCTCCCGTCTCATCTGTCCCTGAACGCCTCCACCAGATCCCTGGGTTCTTATCACTGTGCTCGCCTCATATATGCAAAGTATTTTTGAGGGTGGCTGGATCTTGAACTGTAGTTTGATGAAGTTGGCTCTATGATGTGAACCGGAATGGTGCTAAAATGGCACCTTCTGGCTCCCTTGCGCTATACTTTACCCTCCCAGAAATACAGTTCTCCAACTTTATTCACTGAAGTTTCTCTCTTAGAGAAACCGTCACTCGGGGAAGAATTCAGCCCCATCCTTCCAACCTGCCTCAGTATGAGGGACTGCAACTTATTAAAAATGCTTGAGAAATTAAAAAATAAAAACATTCTCACATAGCATCTAGAAATGCTTGTTCAAAAAACATATAAAGAGCGATATTTACCTCTGTGAAGTGCTCCTGGAAATTGACCTGAATTGGATTCAGTGCTCAAGTGACCTCTGGCCATATCTGGATAATATGGGAATATGGGTTTAATATTCATAAATTAAACTTATTTAGAAAAATAGATTTGGGAAATGTACATTTGTCTTTTCTAGTTAGGAAATTGCTGTTAACTGTAACAAAGAATATTTTCAAAATTATCACATGGACATCATGGAAGAAGAGATAATTGACATAATCCACAATTATAGAAATGGACTGGCATTGTTGAGACACAACTTGGTTGTTACATTGCTTATCTACAGTACGATTAAGCCGCCCCGTTAGGATTCAAAATCATCAAATGCAAATGAGAATGCTTCAGTAAAAGAGGAAAAAAATGTTGAGATACAAATTTTAATGGAAAAACTGCATCCTGTTTTAGGCTCGTCCAATGACTCGCTATTTGCCAAACCGGAAGGAGGAGTTTGACCTGCGTGCCCATGTGGAGTCATCCGGCCACTGCTTGGACACATGCCCTTTCGTCATCATCACAGAGAAAATGTGCAAAGGCCACCTAGTGAAGATGGGCGGTAAAATCAAATCATGGAAAAAGCGCTGGTTCGTTTTTGACCGTCTGAAGAGGAACTTCTGTTATTACGCGGGTGAGGAATGATGATCATACTGGGTTTTTTTTTTTAATATCATGCATGTCATTTTACAGCAAACTATACATGCAAGAGATTTAGGAAAAGTCAGCCACATGTAAGCCCACAAAGTCTAGATTCTCCACAAGAAAATGAATGTCCCTCACTTTACATTAATTGTAACGTGAAGAACCACAAAGATATATTACATTTCCTTCTAAAATGAACAACAAACCATAATTACAGAATACACAACTGGCATGGAATTGAAAAACCTCTGGTCTCAGACAATAGCGGCTTGCCTGAGGCAACTCCTTATAGTACTCATTTGTTTTAAGCATGACAAGCAGGTCCGCATTTAGTACATGCAAGACATAAAAATACATGGCAGTGGAGAAAGGTGAAACCTTGCTGCAAGTCAGAAGGAAGGAAGAACGACAGAGGATCCTGTATCCCTAACTCATATTATTCTATGACTGTAAGAAACGGGAAGACCATGCAGACACAGAAAAGAAACATTATAATAAGGAAAATGCTTACTGTTTTTTTTTTAGGAATGTCAGTCACACGACCTGTTTTAAATCATGATTGTCAGTTTGCTTTATCTACACATTTCTGTGAAGGATTTTCTGTTTTGTAGAGAGTAAGATGAAAAATGAGAATACATTGTGGGGTTAGGTGTTAGCTTTTTGTCCTCCCTGGCATCTCATTCTTTGTGCTCTCATTCGCTACACTGGGAGTGTCCTTTTCGAATTAACCTCGTGAATAGAAACCACATCAATGGATTCTGGCAGAGGTGACAGGGTGCACACACCAAAAATAGGGGAAATAGACATTGACCGATGCTTCAGATGTGCCTTACAGCTAAATGTCGGCATGGCCCCTAAAGTCACGTCCCAACTCTGGTAAAGTAAAGTTCTTTTTTGATGTAGCTTAATGCTCACCAACACAGTGTATTCTTCGTTTGATCAGGAGTTTTTAAGGTGGAGTACGTTTACAACTCCATCAGTAATCTAAATCTAAACGGTCAGACCACAAGAAGAGCGGAGAAAAATCTTTCTCAGTCTTAACTCCACAGATTGTGGGACCAACCAGCTGTCACGCAGCTGCTTTACATTATGATATTAGTCATGTCTCAGTCAGTTTTGTTCAGCTGGTTAACAGCTTCTCTCCACTGTCCATGGTGAGTGTAGTGACCTTCATTTAAGCCAACTGCTGGGTTTCCCAGGAAAACCTTGTTCTGTCATATTTGCTAAATGATTCTCATTTTCCATTGCTGGGTTTTACCTGGTTTGTCCCCTAGCGCCTTCTTTTGCATTCTGGTTGGTGCTCCTTTCACCAACTCCTCCTCTTCCTCAAAGGATCCTTCGAGCTAGAAATTTGACTGGAGACCGGAACGTCTCCCCGAGCCTGCCAAAACTGAGTGGCAGTTGATGAGTTCTCACTGAACGCAGATTTGCCACAGATATGGCTCATTTGTCTTCAACCTCAAAAACCTGCCTGAGATGGGAGAATCAGGTTTACAATCACTACTTTCATACAAATTCAGTCAGTGCCTTTCCAGTCAATTTGCAGTCAAACAGCTGTACGTAATAACCTACTGGTACTGGAAAAAGTCAAGCATAAAACAAACAAAATGAAGAACCCAAAAGCATGTGAAAGCAACAGGACAGATACTCTGAGAAAAAGAGTAGAGACTAAATTCTTCTCACACAGGTTCTAATTGGACTGTGAGAAGCAGATGGAAACAATCAAGACAATTACAATGACCGAAACAGGAAAACTCAGCAAGTGTAACAATAAAAAGGGTTACAAATAAATCCAATACTTTATAAGTCAGCGCTTTTTCTTTCATATTCTTCTGAGCCCTATGAATACTTACTTTTGACAAAAGCCGCATGCCAATGTGGAGAATAGAGGGAGCTTTTAAGCGTAATTATTTACACATATATTGAAGAAAATTAAAATAAACTGGAAAATCCGGCACCACTGGATCTATATAAGTATTGATATTATATAAAATGGGATCAAATTAATAGCCTGAGCTTAATGGAGTCAATAAAAAGAGACTCATTTAAAAATCAAGCACTTCAAACCGATCTTTCAGGAGGAAGCAAAATTGTGACTATCACTGCTGCTGACTGTCCTCAGCCCGACAAGACAGTTGGCACTCATTAACTTAAGCATATATTAAAGCAGGTTATAGTTTATTGACTGCTCTGCAGGTTTTCATCTCTTGGTTCCTCTCCTAATATGCATTCAACATTCATTTCCGTTGCCTTTTTCTTTTACACTGCTGGGTTTTGGATGCACCACTGACTGTTGTGTCTGTGGCTTTGGGACGTTTTGGCAGCACACACACTTACGGGAGCAATATATTCCTCGGAGGAAACAATTAAAACCCGGGCTGTGTTGGAATGAATACATGTTCCTCTTTTATATAAGAGCATTTGTTTTTTATGTGAATATGTTTGCAGGAATGCGGTTAAAAATGTCATAAGCACTCTGCCCTTTGACACCTTCAGGGCATCCAGGTTCCAGCTTCTATTGAACAGGACTTAGTGCCTTCTGCATCAACAAGTCTTTGCTTTATAAAAGACTAATTAGATTATGTGACATGACTTGCTTTAGATTTTTTATTAAAGCATCCTATTCCACTTAACCTCACTTACAAAAGCCTTTGAACAGTGATCTGGTTGGACCACTGACAGACAGTCTCACGTCCTTTGCTCGTTATATATACATATGTATATTTTCTTCTTGTCTTTCCAATTTATCCATGTAAAGCCTTTTTAAACTGTAAAGCTGTCTCCGTTCCTACGCGTATGAATTTAAAGTCCGTCTGTTGTGGTTCCTTTATCACTTCCATCCGAATTTGAAACGAGAACAGTTTACTCAATAATTTACCAGCTTGTTTTGAAACATTATTCTACAATCAAGTTCAAAATAGAATCCAAGTATATTTTCATAACTGACACCCATGTTCCTTTTGCTCGTCTTTCCACTCACTCGCCTAGCCTTTTCACCCCCTCACTCCTGACGAAGATGAGGGTGATGATGGTGATGAAATAAGATGCAATACTTTCTCTGGATGTGTTTTTCTTGGGGAGGAGGCTAGCTCCTGGCTTGTTCGTGACTAATAAAACGAAACTCACATTTCAAAAACATTTATCTCATTACTAAGCAGATTTGACTTATGGAAGGGGGAAAGCAAAAAAAGTGTGGGACACATTTCAAAAGATTGCCGTTAATTGTCGGTGGTCGTTGCTTCTCCGCCGGGTGCTCCAATCTGCATGCAGGGGACCAAAAGACCACTGTTTTTCTATGTGAACCAAACTGGGGTTCACATAGAACAGATTTAATATGAAGAATTGGAGATGTTTTTGTCTCTTAAATGCCTGTAGACTCACCCCAAACAACAAAAAAACATCAGCTCAGTAATCGCATCCAGTGAGTTTTGCCCTTTGGTTTCACTGAAACTTCCTCAGTGTGAAGTGACTGTGAAAGCGCATCCTCTGGGTAGATAACGACTGAGAGTGGACAAAAGGTTTGACCTGCTTTAAGGAGATTTTTGAATAGGAAGATCAAATGTGATAGTCAAAAGTAGAGTTTCCTTTTAAGTTTTACAGAAATTCTGATCCTCGCCAGCAGCCAAAAGGCTACAAAAGAAAAAAAATGCAGACAATCCAGAAAGTACAACTGAGGAAAACAAGTCAGATTAATAGGATGGTAAAGACTCCAGGCATTGCTTGAAATAGACTTGCACTTTTAATTAACTTTTACTCTTATACAGTTCAACTCATACCTATTCATAGATTTATGTTGCTGGGAAAGACTTCATCCTCTTCCCTCCATCTTTAGTAAAGTTATTGTGCTATTTACTTTTTCATAACTTGATAAGAAATCAACAAATAAAAGAAAGGATACATATGTGATGTACATGTACTATTCACTTTTTTACAAAAAAATCAATTTACTCATTTTTGATAACAAACAAAGCTGTTTAAAACATCCAGAACTTGATCACAAAATTATAGGAAATTACATAACATGAATCTCAAAGTAAAAGTTTTCTCTATAAAGTAGTAAGAGCAAATAAAATAGCATATAGATCTAACACAAATTAAGAAAAACATGAACAAACAAAAAGTCAAACAAACATAAAATGATAAAGGTTTTTGGAAGTGCCATGGGGGAAAAAACTATAATGTTGGTTTGGGGGTCTTACGCTAAGTCTCTAGGAAAATTCTGTATTGTATTTATTTGTGTGTCAATCTTATAATAAGTTATACTAAAAATATTACCTGGTCCATCATCCATCTGAGCTTTTACGCGGGCTGACACTGTACTATTTCGATGCTCTTTTCACCATGTCGAGGGCATGCAGAAATGAGAGTTGTATTTTTTTTTTTGGAAACTGTTTACATCTTTTAGCAAAAGGCCATTTATTTCAGGAACACAATTAAATGATTTGCAATTTGAAACTAAATATCAAACAAATTCGTCAGGTAAACTGAGTCACAGTGTGAGGCCAGTGTTAGTATTGTCATTGTTATTATCATTATTCTAATCATCATTATTATTATTATTATTATTATGTAGCCCTCATCACTGTCTGATTCCCTCTGGCTAGTGCTCATGCTGGCAGAGGTCTTGCATCACAAGATGTAATGTAATGTATCTTAATATATTTATTTTCTTTTTCTCCTCAGACAAGCACGAGACCAAGCTGAAAGGGCTCATTTACTTTCAAGCAATTGAGGAGGTTTATTATGATCACCTGCGCAGCGCCACCAAGGTAAGCTCTTCTTTTTCATTCCTTCCAATTCAGAATGACCATTTTAAATATTTTCATGGAATAATAACATGTATAAATTCACCAAATAATGATGAGACTAAAGGGAGCAAAGGCAATTCCAGAATGCTCTTTGTTCATATTGGTTTTAATGAAATAGTCAAACCAATTAAACAATACATAAAAAATAGTAGATATATTATATTATTCAAATTATTCAAATTATCTCCAAATTCATCCTCATTTGATTCACACTTTCTTCTGTTTTCTTTAAAATATAGTCAGAAAGTTGTTAGAATTTGTATGTAAATAAATCTAGATTAGAAGAAGTAATTTTGCTATTTGGTAAATCCATTTTTTTTTTTTTAACTGCTTGAAAACTACAGAAAGCTGTTAAAAATTGTTGAAACAAATTGAAGTGAAAAAAGATGCAACAGGTACAGCTTTCTTTTTTCCTTTTTAAAAAAAAACTAATTACAAGTCATTCTTTTTTCATGTGATCCTCCAGAGTCCTAATCCATCCTTGACCTTCTGTGTGAAGACTCATGACCGCCTTTACTACATGGTGGCCCCTTCTCCAGAGGCCATGAGGATCTGGATGGATGTCATAGTAACGGGCGCAGAGGGATACACGCAGTTCATGAGCTGATAGACCTCAGTGGTGTCACATTTGGAGGAGACACCTGCGGGGCAACCTGAGCTGCTCCCTGCTGGGGCAGAAATCCACGGCGCGCAGCCTGACGGTGTTTAACGGACAGACCCCACGCCCCAAGAGAAGCCTGACACCTGCCAGTGAATGAGGGCTCACGCGTGACAGTGGTGCATTTAAATAAAATTATAAGGTGTATTTATTGATTTGCTATCAGTTTTAAAGTAAAAGAAAAAAAAGGTTTTGGCTTGTCAATCATGTTATATTGCCAAAAAAATTGATTTATTAATAGTTAAGAGTTTGATTTAGAAGATTTCAGGAGGAACACTTTTGAGTTTTCTTACTCTGTGTGAGCTCGAACCGTTTACACTTCTGAAGGTGATCTACGCACACGGTTTTATGATGCTAAACCTTTTGATACAGCTCTGCGTTAACTCCATGACAATTTTTTTTCAGATGGGAAAATCTGTTAATATATAAATACACACATCTACACATAAACACAGGAATATGTGGAATTATTTTAAAAGATTTGAGAGTATAATGTAAGTTACATATTGAATTAAACATTCTTTGGTGCCAAATGCTTATAACACTGACAGATTTTACAATATTATTATTAACATCAATCAGTATAACGCTCCAAGAGCTTTTTCTTCAGGTAAATGACACAATAATAATGTTTTTACTTTACATAAATATGTTTTAAAAATGTGTAAGCATTTAAATAAATATGATCATTATAGTGCTATTACGATATGCTAAAACCACTATGTACATTCAATAAATAAAAATATAAGATGCACATGTTTGTTGGATTTTTCTGATAAACCATTTTGATGTCGACAAATTGGTTAAATTGAAAACATTCTATTACAGCCCTTTTCTTGCTTCCTTAAATTTTTCAAGGAGACCTACTTGTTTCTGGGAAAACAGAAAATAGGTAATAAACACCTTTCTTTCAGGAATCTCGGTCGCCCTAAAGAGCTGCTCGCTTTGACAAAGGTGTTTTTCCCACCAACACAACCTGCCTCCTTACATAAGATCAGTCAGGTAGTTTCATATGTTAATTGGCTCGTTAAACTGAATTATCAACAGAGGTTGGGGCAAAGTCCTGAAATCCTGCTACCTTTTGTATTTTTGGGTCATTAATTATATGGTTTGCCTGCACTAGGTGGCCCACAGAAATAAAAAAAAAAACATGAAATTACATGCATGATTCAACATCGAGAAATTTGATACCACATGCACTACCCATGAAATAGTTCTTATCTCTTTACAAAGTGTGTCTCCCTCATGTCTCGTGATTCAAACGGCGGTGATGAAGAACAGCTTCATTATGCTGTGGAACTGGGCTGTTTGGTGAGCTCACCTGCTGTGATCAGGGGAATATTTAGGAGTTTTGTGTACTATCAAGGAAATACACCTTGCCCCTGACAGAAACCAATTAGACGCAGTCTCTGAGCTGAAATCTGCTCAGTTGTAATTAAACTTACCGTAAATCCTATCTCGGCTCAGTACAGGTGACGCTCCCTTCTGTCTGACTATCTGCGGCCTCACAGTCACCGACCTTGGGATAGATTTTCACACATATTGCCATTCAGTATCTTTGAGTCTCAAGTGGGACCTGCCACGTCATTACCGTGGCGACGGACACAAGCGACACCCAGACCTATCATGGATGAAATAATAATGAGCTATGGGTAACCTCCCCTTGCTTTAACTCGCCCGGGCCAGCCTTTTCCCCGGGCCTTTATCTCAAATAAGCCGGCCGGGCTGTGAATTAGTGAAGACCTCACACAAGTTAGTAAGCAGTAATGGGAGACATTAGCCCTGTCGGAAAGCAACCAGAAAAATTATGATGAAATGCAGACTTCTCTAGGCTCAGATGGCACGTCTTTAACATGGGCTGTCAAAAGCCCGGCACTTCAGAGCAGGCGTTTGTAATTTATAAGTTTTCATTTCCACATGTGAGCTCAGATTAATTTGTGAGATTAAAGAGAAAAATCTCCTGCCCTTCCCCGAACATGGTCCCCCTCCACGCAAACATGCAGATGAAAGCATCTTTCACTAAGTGCCTGTGATGCTGCGGCGAAACCTCCTCTCCTAATGTTTACCACTTTGAGCAAATCAGCCTCACTTTCTCTGATGAAAATGTACAGTGGCAGTCATTAATTCTGAACAAGGCACACAATCTACAAATTCACTAAATTACAATGTTTTTGGATCTTGGGGTAGGCCCAACAGTCTGTGAAAAACATCCTGAAGGATGAAGATGCAGCACTGACCCAACAGAAGCATCCAGTGTGCTGTGGGACATCTTTAGATAGTTCAAGTTATGATACTTTGCTATAGATATGGATCTATCTATCAAACTATGCAATTTCTTTGTAGTTTATTCCTTTCTAAATACTAAAAAGTCCTAAAGTATAAGAGACAATTATAATGCCTCACTACGTCTGTCATCAACACATTGTCAAGTTATTAAAAGAATAGAGAAAAGAAAACAGAAACAGGAGAGGAAACTTAATTAAATTTCTGCGAGAGAAAAAATGGAAGGTATGTTTTTAATTCTATTGAACATGAGAGTCAACAGATTAATCAAAACAAGACATCTTAGATTTTAAAAAGTAGTTTTAAGTAGTTAAGTAGTGGTTTCAAAGTGCTTCAGTTATGTTGAAAGGAGGATTCTTCTCTCTATCAGACCTGGTGCCACTGACTTTCAGTCCAGTTCTTGAAGCACGTGGATTGGATGAATATCGACCGAGTACAGCTAGAGGTGATAGACACTGAGCCTCCGGGGTTTTAAAGGTTCTGCAGAGCTGCGTCCCATGATCCGAGAGCTGTAAATAACACAGTGCAACCATCTGGGACTTGTATGCGAAAAAAGTTGGGATTCTTCCGACCACAAGTGATGCACGAACATCTGGTCTGTTAACTGTAATCCCAGATATTCGTTACTACTTTTCTTCAATTCACCTGTAATTTTCAACCACATCCTCCAAAAGGACTTTTAATGAACACTGTACGGGATGAGCAATCATCTGATGTTTATGTCAGGTTATTGTTTCTTAGGTTCACTCGGATGTCGTATCAGATTGATGTATGTTGGGCTTTGTTTGCCAAGCTTGCTTCATTCAAAGTATATTTGTCAGTTGGTGTTACTTGTGCAAATATCTACTATAATCCCACAATACTACTCTACTTTGAGCTCCCAAAGGAAGAAAAATAAAGGAGTAGCTGTAGTCCTTTACTTCAAACACCTCTAATTTACCACATAGTCCTTGGGGAACAGTGAATAAACATAACCCTGAGACTGACTGCTCCCAATCTGTTACGGCTGTATGCACATCAACTTAGCCTAGTCCAAACATTTGTAAATTAAAGTGATATCATGCTTGTTACCTTCTCGAAACTTGCCTACGTATATTCACGCCAAACAGACAAACATGTACGCAATCAGCAAGCTGAACACAAACAGAAACATCCACAAATCCCCTCTGAGGGGCTTCCATTCACAAGTGGTAACCGAACTTCATGTTTTCTTCGTATGTTCAAAGACGGGCATAAGTTGAGGACAATAAATTCTGAGAGAGATGATGATGAAATGATGGTGTAACCCTTACTAATGTGCCATACATGCACATGGCATGCAGCATCGACTTTCCTAGCTGCTCAGCTCATGCACAACATTCAATTAATCTGGGAGTCAGTTGATAGACGGCTTTGTTTTCCTGTGGAAGAAAAACACTAGTATCTCCTGTTTCACCGTTTACATCGTCTAAACTCGTATTTGGTGATGTTTGAACAACAGAAAATTCAGCCTGCTGGAATAACTAATGGACGCAGCGGACCTAGACGTTCTTTTCTAAGTAAATCAAAACATAATCCTAAGTAATGACAAAAGGAAACTGTGCTTAATGGTGCAGACAACACGGAAAGGTAGTGGAGCTGTCATGAACAGCACCTTGGATTTTTCTCATGACGCACAAATAGGAAGCCCTCAGTGGGCCAATTAATACAGACAGTGAGAGCAGTCAGCGATTTCCTGTGAGACTTGCCAACTTCACCAGCTACTACCATCTCAATCTGGTCTCCATTACGACCACATTTGTGTAGATTGCATCAGTCTGCCTCTCTACAAGTCTCTCAGAGCACCTCTCGGATTGTAGCTACCACAAAGTGGGCTTTTTGCTGAATGGCCTCTCCACAACAGGTCGGCCCCTTTAAATGGTTCAGATGGAACAGGTGGACAATGTTGGAATATACTCACATTCAAGAGTCTTTTTCCTGATTGTGCTAAGACCTTCCAAACAGACATTATTTGTGCAAACAGCTCCTCTGTCGGGCTAACGTCATTATGTGTATCGGCTCACGTTTGATGCTCTGACACTTGCACTAAATACCAAAACTTTGTTTCTTTGTGGACAAGTGTAATACTTGCCAATCAATGTGAACAATCCATTAGAACTGTAAATAAATCTGTTGGTTATGGCATACTGGTAATGTCACAGAGATGCAACTCAGCAAATGAGCCGGAGGAGTCGTTGGACAGGATGGGGTGGTGTTACAGTGGTGAGCTGAAAGGAAAACACTAGGTAAAGAGAGTAGAGAGATAGATGCAAATCCCATGGCAACAGCAACCAGAAAACAAGTCTAAAATAGGGGGCAGTGTCCGCTATTGCTATAGCAACAGGAGAACAGCACACTTGCTCAGCTTTCAGATTTGCTGAAAGGAGCAAAACAAAGCTTTACATTATTACTATCAATGCCAGTAACTGTGTTTTTTCCTCGGGACAAGCTGCCTGTCATTTGCCTTGCCACAAAAAAAAGGGATCTCAAAATATTTCAGACACTCGACAACTTCTGGTGAAGGATTTTCTACTCATTTAAGACTTCCCCTGCAAAAAAAAACACATTTAAGTTTTCAATGGGAAGAAACTGGATAAATATGATCATTAAAGTAAAGGTGAAACCAATGATTATCACAACAGACCAATGCCAAAAGTGTCACGTACAGCATATTACAATGACAAATACAAAAAGTATGAATCCTTTTAAATGTGTCATTCATTGTCTGAAACGTTTCCTGTGATCGGACTTTTTTCCTCACAAAAACTTATCCACAAGCCATTATGTTATCACTATGTGAAAGTGGGCTGGTGTAACTGTAACATCGGATCTAAAAGCGTCTCTCAGGGTGCAAAGCTGCCCCACAGTTCTCCACACCCGGTTTGTTTACATCTAACATGTGCGCAGTCTGCACCGAGAGGAAAAAAACAAAAATACAGCAATGCCTGGCATCGCCTATCACCAACCAATCATATTTCACATGCGGCCAATGCCAACCAATGACAGAGCCACAGTCTGAGCTTGAGCAGCCAATCGCACTGCGCATGGACCACTGATGCAACGAAGATGCAACAGTCTCTTACCAAACAACAGCGTGTTGTGAGTCGAATAGTACCCAAACAATGTCGTGCGTAGGGTTAAAGTACAGTCTCTACACTTAATATTGGCGAGCCGTGTGTAAGTATGTAAAGCTGCCAAGTAGCAGTTTTTGGACATTGTCGAATGCACCGAGCTAACTACGCCCTGTTGAGCTCAGAATGGAAGGACTTTAGAAAAACACTGTCAAGTAAAACTAGCGTAATGACTTCTCGTTTTGCTGTTCTGGTACAATTACCACCAGCCAAATCAGAAATTAACCTTCTGTGGGCTTCAGATGTACTTACTAACTCATACATTGACACGTTGTTGTCCTTTAACCCACGAGTGGTTTGGATACCCATTACAAAATAGAGACCAACTTTTAAAAGCGTAACTCTCTTTTGTTTAGCTTTTCTTTTAGTTTTTTTTTCTATATAATCTTTATCCACACTCGTAGTTCTTGTCAGTTATATTTCTGTCTCAAAAAACAAGTTTCCCGGTGTTGTTATGACGGCAGTATCGAGCGTGAGTGTGGGACGTCCTTCCCCCGGCCGCGGAGGGAGGGGCGGAGGGATCCACGCCGAGCAGCGCGGCGCTTTTTCCCGATGACGCAGTTGGTTGCTAGGTGTGAATGGACTGATGCTTTGTCTCAATTACGCTGCTCCTCAGTTTACAGGTCGACCACAACAAAGCAGCATCTCATTCTCCAGCGTTGTCCCGGCCATTCGGAGCTGAATTATGGCTCTTTAATTCCGCCAAGTTGTTGGACCCGAAAAGAAATCGTGCTTTGCTTTAGCAACGCACCCCCAAGTGCTCTTCAGTTTTTCTGCAAGAATGGAGTAAGTCAAACTCTTGTCTATACTCAGCATCCTTAACAGCTATGTTGTTGATACAGTTTACACGTTACTGTACTATGTGTGTCACGAATTGCTCCACGGTTTATAGTGCCTTCCTCTCTCTGGGTTATGTTTATTGAGTTAATTGTATTTTTCATATCAAATCAACTGTAGGTCTTGAGACTATTGTTTATCTTTAGCTCCAGGCTTTACAGTGTTTGTTATGATAGCAGTGCATGCCAGAGTTATTATGATGAATTCTTTTTATTTGCATATTTTCTGTAAATACATAGCCACTCAACTTCTTTCCTGCAAATTTGAGTTGTTTCAATATTTATCAGTTTAAATGTGTATATACATACATCATGATATATACATCATTCCAACATTTTGAATTATTCGCTCAATATTGTGAACGTTGTAAAATAAATAAATACTGTTACTCATTATATGAAGGCAGTAGACATCTGCTGGTACAATCTGAGGTGTTGTTGTTATCCAAACAGCTTATGTGATAAAACAGAGGTGATTAATTTAAAAGGAGCATGGATTAGAGGCAGCTGATCTGCTTTAAGCTGACACAACCATCAGAGCGCCTCTCACTTGAGAGAGTTACTGTGGAGCTTCTTGTCAACAGTTGGGCCCTTGACAGCTCAGAGGAGGTCCCACGTGTTTTGAGGATGTGAAGTGCTCTCTGCTTTGAGGCAGTCAAAAGCTCAAAGGACACGGCTTCCACCGTCTCTACAGACTGTCCAAACCTGAGGCTTGGATTTTGGAATAGCTTGTTTAATTTTCTTCTCATTAGTTGTTGGCTTATGTTGTGCCACTGCTTGTGTGTAAAAAATAAATAGTGGATTGTAAATATCCACACGACTTTCGTAAAAACTCGGAGGTCACTTGCTGTCACCAAAACACAGAATCGTACGGAGTAGAGTCGCGGAGGGCAACACAGACTGAAATGTGTTTATGTTGTCGGCTCGACGAAGAAAAAAAAAAAAAGCGTCTTTTGCTGCGCAAGTTTTACTCATCTGTGATCCCTGCCTCTGTTTCCCCTCTAGGTTTCATTATGCTCACCCTGCCCTGCTCTCTGTGGCCCATCTGTCAGACCCCGCTCGCTCTCAGCATATGCTTGGACTTGGACTGAATCAAAGCACCAACAGACAAAATGATGGCAACATCAGCTCATGTTTGGAAGAGTCTTCGTGTCTGCCCGGCAGACCCCCTCGCTCTCTCTCACCCACAGGCTAACCACAGCCAATCACAGGGGTGCAGGGGGGAGGTGTCAGAGGAGAGTCAGCACTTAATTGGTGAGTTGCATCGGGTACGTTTTTTTATATTTTTCCTCATTTCAGGTGGGCTCGGCACTGCAGCACATTCGTCCTTCTTGAACAGTAAGTAAAAAACTAGCTACGTCTGTTTCGTGGACACGAGTCAACTTCATTCCAAAAAACGGTTTGCATTTATTTCATTTGATCGGATTGTGGTTTTAAAAAAATGCCTACACTGCCGATAACGTTTTTTTTAAATACCTGCATGAATGTTATTTTTTAGGCTTAATATTACTTTCCTCCGTCCAACAGCTCGTAACGAACTCAGGGTTTTTTCTCCTCGACAGGTGATGGTCTTACCGACTGGATGACGGAAGAAGTGGATTTCTCCTCGTACCTCCCAAACCCTCCTTCCCCTCCCTCCTCCACCAATCCCTCCCTTCCACCATCACCCCTTCAGAATGATATTCAGGTGCCCTCCGACTTGGAGGTCATGACCTCTCTGCTGCAGGAGGAACTTGCCCAACTAGAGGACTACTTCCTGTCCGAACCACTGCCGGAGAAAGGGCCGAGACTGGGAAAATGCGACAGGGGTCCGCTGCCGGCGGGTCCTCAGCCATTCAGTCAGCTGCCATACGCATCATACTCTACATCCAACCAATCGGAATCCAACCAGCTGCTTGTTACCCTGGCAACCGGGGAGCTGGACCTGCTGAGCATCTGTGGCGGGCCCATTGGGCGATCCAAAATTCCGAGACACACCCCATACAGCTGCAGTCGCCCCAGTGGGTGTGGTAGGAAAAGAGTTCTAGACGGTGGGAGGTTTAGCGAAGGCTATGACAACAGTTTGTCGAGTTCCAAAGGAAGTAACTCAGGTAACTCGGCCGTGACCCTAGCAGGTAACTACGGCTGTGCGCAGGACGACCAGCTGGTAGGGAAAAGCTACTGTCTGGGAAGTGCCATCGAGGTTAGGCGATGTGCCAGTTTACCCAAAGACGAGAAAAATTGCTGCTTCACTCAAGATGTGATAAGTGGTGTGAAGGTTGTTGGTGGTGGGTTCGGCTTTGGTGGATCACTGGATTCCGCTCAAAGGAAAGAAGATTTGCTAATGTATAGCATGAGGGAGGTCAGCGAAGGCTCCGGTAGCAGCGAGGTGCTGAGCAGCATCAAAGCCAATGTGGAGGTGACGAAAGCCAGTGTTTGGAAAAGTCAGAGCAGCGAAGGTTGTTACGTCCCAACAACATCCCAGAGCGAGGCCTACCATAGCTACTTAGGGACCATCAATGAGCAGGTGAAAACAGAGGGTCTACAAGTAGTTCAGCCTGATTTACACTGTAGTTACCTTGAGGATCAGGCCCCAGAATGTTTCTTAATGGCGAGGGAGGGTCTGAACCTGGAGTCTTCAGGGCACAGACAAGCATGCAGGCTGAAAGAAGACAACAATTACGAAGTGGAGATCGTCCCGCACGAAGGCGGGGAGCGCAAACAAAAGAAAAGAGATCAGAACAAAACTGCTGCTCATAGGTACATTGTCATTTCCACCCGAGGAAAATAAGCTTTGACGTGATTTCCAAAAAGCAGATGTCCTCACAGAGTGTTTGCTTTGCCTAATGCAGGTATCGCCAGCGAAAAAGGGCGGAGCTAGATTCTTTGGAGGAACAACTGCACTGCCTTGAGGGGAGGAACCGAGAGCTCCGAGACAAAGCAGAGTCAGTAGAACGTGAAATCCAGTATGTTAAAGACCTGCTGATTGAAGTTTACAAGGCCCGCAGCCAGAGGCTGAAGCAGGACACAACAGCGTAACGTCACGCTCCTGCAAGCAGCCCGGAGTAACTCGGAAAATGGGGAGTTTTTTCTTTCTTCATGTTTCTTAACAGTAGAATTTTCCCTTTTTTCTCATGGCGAGGAGACAAATGCATGCTTTGTTAATGTGAGTTACTTTCTACATTTTGAATCGACACTATACAATGCTTCCATCACTTGTAGCACTAATCACTTGAGCCTTCACTGTGGCATTGCAATGCTTTAACCGACAATCATTTCTAATAGATCTTCCACCTCGTGAACCCACTGATCAAAGCAGGGTTACTTCTGAGGGGGTCGTGTAATTCATGAAGCAGGTTATATATTTTTATTAGCCTTACATTGAAATTGATGTCAGCAATAGAACCTAATATTTTTTCCACTTTAAAGTTTTGTATTTAATTTGATATTGCTGTAAGTCACTTGTCAGTAGCTGGACTCATCGAATGTGTTGTTGGTGTCAGCCTTTAATTTCAAGTTGTCTGTTCGGTTGTTATTTCAAGCATTTCTTGATCAGAACATTTTTAGATCTTCATGAATTTTTTTATTTAAATCTTAGAATTTCTGTTGAAAACGTGCTCGCTCTAACAACCACAAAAACAATCACTGATAAGATTAAACACAACAAGAAAAGCTATTATCAAAAATCATTAGAATGATTTCACAATTGTTCCAAAAACTTTTAGTTTTTCACTAAATGCTTTTAATCAACTGAAGATTCAACAGGACAAAAGAAATGTGGAAATTTGTTTTTCACCCTGCTTTGTACAAAGCTATTGCTTCCCCCCCCAGGATGATTATATTCCTGTTGTTTTCAAAAACTGCAATATTTTTTAGTGGTTTTCACAAGTAATGTCCAGCATATCCTGACCAAAAGAGAAATTTACCCTTTATACTGTTTTGAAGTAAACTAACATTTTGTTGTATAGTTTTCTTCTCTTGTATATTGCAGTTTATACAATCTGTTTAGCAGCTCAGGCTTACGGTTGATCCTCCCGTTCTGCAAACATCATCAGACAACAGGGGAGATAACAGACTTGAAGCTCCTCGGTCCTTGTCTTACATGTCAGTTTTCACAAGTTTTCCTGCTGTAAAGAGATAGGTTTTCCATGCGTGCAAATATTGTAACCGGTGATGTTTTAGTGTCCTCTGCATGCCTTTTTCATAAATGTTTTTGCGCTCTCTGAAATAGAAAATCTAGGGATTCAGAATCGAGTGAGGATTGTTTCTCTGAACTGCTTATTCTGGCAATAAGTTTTATAGGCCTCTGGCTGATCTGCACTAATTCATAACTTTTTATATCTTCAGGGAGTGGAGTGTATTCGCCTGTTCTTTATAAAAAAAAAGAAAAACAGAAACGAATCTGAAAAGATCTTTTATTTATATTTAATTAATTTTATATTTCATTTGTCTCTAATTTGAGAAAGTACCAACTGTTATACATATCTTATGAAAAGTTGCTGACCGCATTTCTTGAAAAAAGTGGCCGATAGTCTGGTAGATTTGAGGCTATGAATCCACGCAAACTTAACGTCCCCTGCGGAGAACTATCAATTACTATCTCTTAAAATGAAAAAAAAAGAAGTGAACCGATTTCCAACGCTTTGTAATTTCAAGGTAATTAGTTCACAAGTACATACATATTTTGTGTGATGTAAACTTGTTTCCATTTACAATAAAGTACGTCATCAACCTGGCCGCGTGCTTCTCAGAGGTTTTCTTTCAGATTTTGCGAAATTGTGTAGGACCTTTTTTTTCTTCCATTTTCTACAACTAGAGAATTAACACCGCACGTCACATGATGGAAAATCACTCATTAAGTAGCTCAGAGGCGCGAGCCTCCGGGGTCTCGCGGACGCGGCTCCTTCTCTCCGTAGTCCCGCGGAGGCGAACGCGTCCTACGCTCCTCATTATGTACGTCTTCAAATGTAAAATACAATTCGAAATGGAACCAAACAAGAGGCTGAGTTTTGTTAAAATAATCCAAAAATACCGCTCACACCTCCGCATGATGAGGCGGTTGAATAAATCCCGTCAATTTCCTTGTTAGGTCCTGCACGCGCTCATTTTAACGGCTTTGACAGAGACAGGCTGTCTAAACGCTTCCACTCTTAAACATAGAGAAAGAAAAACCGCAAAAACACTACAGCAAAACACAGTAAAAACTCAGACTTTATAACACAAAACTCCCTTTTATTTTTTCAATGGTTCCTACAAAAAATTATTCTTTATTTACATTGCAGGTAAGAATGTTTGATTTCAGTTATTTAAAAGAACAGCCCTGTTAGATTGAACTAAATTTCAACTATTAATTATCAATTCATTCCACTGCAAAAGTGAGTGGCCGGATATGCCACAGAAAGCATGTTTTTCAAATTAATTGTCTAATAAACAGGAGATACTATAATGTACTTTCGGACCAGAGGATCTAATGATAAAGAAAATTACTTCTATGTTCTATAACTTCTGTTCAACTGGAGTCAAGTTTAGAGCTGTCCAAGAAGCCGTTTCTCAGTGACTTTGAGGATGAGCATGTTGTGAAGCCTGGCAAAGTTTCTGGGTGGCATCAAGGGAAATCAGGGCCTTCGGAGAGATTTAAGAAAAAATTACTTGATTAAAAAATATTAACTCAAGTCAAGATTAATCTCAGAGCTAAACGGGTCAAAAAGGAGCCTCATCATGTTAAAAATCTGTTCTCACATAAGCGGCTCATTCATTACCTTATGCATGTCCTCCTGCTGGCTGTACAGGCTCAGAGTTGCTATGGCAGCTTGTCTCACAGCATTATGAGAATCGGTGCATGCGGCTCTCAAAAGTAAGCTGGACACATTTTCCTCCAACAGCAGAGGCACAGCACCGTCCACTTTCACCAGGTTTCCCAGTGCTACACAGCTGTGACGACGTATGAGGGCATCAGGGTCAGCGAGCAGACATGCCAGCGTGGCCACTGACCGCAGGGCCTCCTCTGTCCACCTCCTCTGCTCCTCCTCATCAACGCTCTGCTCTCTTATCGTTGCAAAATAACCTCCCGCCTCAAAATTTGGACTCGAGTGTTTACTCTGTTTATTCTCTTTGCTCCGTCCTGTGGCGTCGGTGCCGTTCCCGACAGATTTAATCACTGTACGCTCTGCGCGTGCTGCAATGTAGCCAAGCCAGTTCCCAACTGCCCTGCAAGCCATCCGCCGGACAGGCACACAGGAGTCACCAAGACAGTCTATCATGTCTTTGAAAAACTCCGGCTGTTGTGTATCTTTTAGCAGGAATGGACTTAAATTTCCCAGAAGTCTGCATGTGGCAGCCCTGATCTGGTCATACGGGTGAGTCAGAGCCTGATGCAGCACTGAGACCTCCACATGGGGCTGAGTCCAGCAACGAGCTACTTGGTACAACACAGTCAGCAGCTCCACAGCAGAGTCCCACAGCCCGTCCTGCTGGAGCAAGTCTAGGAGGAGAGAGCTGGCCGTTCTGGTCACGGCAGTGGGATGGTTTGTGGCAGAGGGCTGGCAGGGCTGAGGTGATGACAAAAAGCCTGCATCGGCTCCCGTGATGTGGGAAACGAAGCGCTCCGGATCGCACAACAACAAACGGCTCAGCAGGGAGAGGGGCAGCTCTAGGAGTGGAGGAGCAGCAGTTTGAATCACCTGCCAAAGTGTGAAAAACAAAAATAATCACACTACGGACTTTTCACTTCATCAAACAGAAAAAAACAACAGCAAAAAGGAACAAAGTACAGACATTAATGTGTACAGCACTGCATGCCAGAGATGAGCACAGGCCAAGGTATCCTGTGTTGCATCAGGGAATTATGTTTATGAGCATGAGAAGGCCCTCACCTGCAGGAGGCCTGAAACAACATCACAGCTGTCATATAGCTGCAGCACTGAGGACTTGGACTGTGAGGGCAGGTCCAAAGCAAATGGAAAACATAATAGGAGGCAGCTCAAAGAGGAAAGACTGTCATGACCCAGCTCCGCCTCTTCTATCTTTGTGTCTTTGGCGAGCAAATCAAGACTGTAAGGCATGAAAAATGATGATGTTAGCTCATGGTGTCACAGATGTGCCGCTTGGGGATTACAAAGAAAAATGACACAATATAAAGACAGTTGCAGACAAACCAGTCAGTGCCAAGAAGCCAGCCGAGCGTGTATACGCATTCTGATCCGCTCTCAGAAAACAAAGGAATGCATGAGTATGGATCTTTGGTGAAGACAAACAGCACAATGGACAGAAGAGAGTAAAACCCTGAAACAGAAGCGGGTAAAACAAAAAGAAGGCACTTTTTTATTTCAAAAAGTGCTTGAAGAAAACAAAACAGAGTGGGGTTCACAGGATATGTAGCTTTACCATTTGCTGAGCAAAGATCCAAGTTTGGAGTTGCACTTGCAAGTGAAATACCAATCCTTTTCCACAGATCCACAAGCATGAGATAACTTAAACAAAGAGATACCGGGGCGTTTTCATGCTGTTGAAAGAGAACAGGCATTAGGGTCTGCCACTGTAACACTCAGTTAAATATTTAAATCACATTCACGCTACTGTTGAACCTCAGAGAGTGCGTGCTGGAGCAAAGAAAGAAGGCCGTCACAGAGTCCCCAACCAGCCGGAGGTGAAATCAGGGGCTGAAACAGGGCGAGAAAAACAGTATGGAAAACTGCAAACAGTTTTACATTTTATAATTAAAACCTAAATATTATCTTTTTTATTATATTATTTATAACTGATACTTTTGTTTATAAAAAACAAACAAACTCCTGAACGTACCTTACATGAGGCCAACAGAAGAGTTTCCAGCAAGGAAGTTACACTTTCCACATCAACTAAAACATCAACATGTTGTGTGAAGAGCGACAAAACAGATGCAGCAAGAGGCTAGAAAACATGTCCCAAATAAATAAAATGAATACACGCACACACACACACACACACACACACACATATATATACATATATGCTCATTGCATAGAAGAAGGCCAAACTACAGACATGAATAACATGTTACATTATATTTTAAGATTAAAGGTTACTTTAAGTATGGCTAGCTGTTACTTACTGCCAGAGCAATGAGATTTGGCTGTCTCAGAATTGTGCTGAAGGGTTTGGTTAACTCTTCCAATCTACAGGATGAGAGCAGATGATGTATTGTTCACATGCCGTATTCAACAAACGAACAATACCTGCTTCAGCAAAGCTAAGAGAAGAAAGAAGAAACAAACCTAGGCTCTCCCTCTACCCAGTCACAGTGCTTCTCCCAGTAGATTAAGAGGGCTGTCAGCATGTCTCCAAGGACTGCAGCACTGAATGGTTGCTGAGCAGGAGAGAAAGAATAAATAAATAAAAATACATAAAGGTCAGTGACACTGTTGCAGAAGTAATGCACGGTTGGGTATTGTTCCATTACAGAGGCAATAACCTTGATAAAATCAGAATTTTCAACAGAATCTCGAATCAGGTCAAAGAGGACCCCTGGTAGTTCAAGTTGATGGCTGATTTGATGAGACTTCTCCAGGTCAGGAGTGAGCAGCAGGTTAAGCAGGACCTTCAGCGGGTGGTGAACCTGCTGCGCTGCAGCTCCAACGCTACATGTCAACTGAATGAGCGAAAAAGAACAGTCGTTTTAATCAAGAATCCTTTCTTCCCAACAGTAACACATTTTTCTTATTACCTGAGTTTGAAATGCCACTATCTTGGATTTAATCTGGGATATTATATGGTGGTAGTTTAGCTGCTCTCTCTGCTGTCTGCTTGGATCTGATCTTTGAACCAGAGTCCTCCAAAAGTCTTCGTCATCGACATCCTGACGGGACAGGAAATTACTTACTTTCTGGTACATACTGTTACAGATCCACTATCACCAAAACAGTTTTTTTCTGAAATAAAATAGGTAGTAAGATCTACTCTATCTCTTTTTATCGACATAAGAGCCAGCAGTCACTGACCTGCCTGTGCGACGTCTCCAGGCTGTCCTCACTGCATCTCCGCACCAGCTGCGGCCCAACCTCTACAGAGGGAAACTCTTGCTCGTAGTCTATGCTGATCTGACCCCTACAGAGATAAAGGCCTTTAAACACAACCAGCTTTATCTGTATGTTTTGGCAGTGTATAACGAATACTTATACCAAGCTTTAAAAAAACAAACACCTTTGTTTGGATCTTGTGCAAGCTTGAATTCTCCCGTTGATGGTTGGACTGGCAGCTTCTTTTGCTAAAATACCTGAAGGATCGCTCAAAGGAGGCGATGCTGATGAGGCAGCAGAGTTTCCGCTATTATTTCCATCCCGTTTTTTCTGTAAATACGCATTGATCAGGTTAGAACTTCCCCCTCGTGAGTTTAAACGAAGGAATTCAGGCAAAAACAGACTCACTGCTGTGTTCTCATTGGCGGCTGCTTTCCTTTTGTTCTCACTCTGCTCCCTGACCTTTCGCAGCAGTCGGCTCTCCCCAGATGATGGTACAGACTTTTCTGCCACTTGCTGAAGCTTCAGTGCCATCACATCTGGGCTGGGTGTGACTGTCAAAGGGCTGAAGAGGTTCGTGTCTGACAGCACTGTAAACACCCACAGGACAGGAATAAAATGTGTCAATCAGACATTAGAATATTATCTAAAGGGACTAAATCAAGTTACCACCATAGTTAAAAGTTCAATGAATCACCTAAAACGCTGTCAGCAACAAAGGGGTGGTGCAGGAGGTCAGGCCACGATAGCCGTTTCTGAGGGTCTTTGGTCAACAGACCTTTCAGGAAACTCTGAGAAGAAAATATTATAAGATAATATTATATTTGTTACAATTATTACAAAGCAATTGTACATAGAAACACGTAATGCCTTGTTTCCATTAACTCATTAGGCCAGTAGAAATCACAAGTTGTAGTTATCTTACAGAAGAGGAGGAAGCCTTGTTTAACCACATCTCAAATTATAATTGTAACATTGACTCATTCACAACCGAAAACAAATGGACTTAAAGTGTACTGTACCATGCAGGTGTTGCTCATAGTGTCTGGCCATTTGACCTGATCCCTCACAATGAGCTGCACCAGGTGGAAAATTGAGTTAGTGTAGAATGGTGGCACCCCCGTGTGGAGCTCATAAAGGATGCAGCCCAGAGACCAGAGATCAGCAGTGTGATCATAGGGCTTCTCCTCTACCAGCTCAGGGGACATGTACAGTGGTGTTCCCTTAATAGAAGTAAGGACCAAGGTGGAGACACTCATAGCTCTGGCAAACCTACAAGAAATGTTCACTTAATTTGAGTTTTAATTAAGTTATGAAGACTGACACCTTTTCATTTGAAGAAATAAACATAAACCTACCCAAAGTCACACAGCTTCACAACACCACTTTTTCCTAAAAGAATATTTTGTGGTTTCATGTCACGATGAAGAATGCGATGGGAGTGTAGATAATACAGAGCAGAAACCAGTTGGCATGCAATCTCACGGACCTTGGATGAGGGGAGGAATCAAGTGGTTATCAGATATCTGAAGTAATTTAACATCTCACATTTGTCAAAGCTGTAAACTGATCATTGCTACCTGACTTTCTGGCAAGTTCCCATCATCTTCCAGAATCTGGAATAACTGGCCTTCTGCATACTCTGTTACAACTACAACCTAAAACAAAAACAAAAGGTTGAGGGTCAGTGGTTTAAGAAAACAGACACAGAAATAATTTGTTTAAAATAATAAATGCCAGAAATTAAAACTGATTTGTGGGATAGATTCTGACGTAAACCAACCTCAGTTTCTGTTTCAAAGCTGTCAAAGAGCTGAACAATATTGGGATGTTGAAGATCTCTCATGATCTCTATTTCCCTCTTCAGACTTCGGAGCTCTTTCTCAGACCGACCCACTTTTGGCATGAATTTTAGAGCCACCACCTAATTACACAAATTGACAGTCGGTGGGAAGGCGTTGATGAATAAACGGAAGAAACAAACTAGGCTCCCAGCAAAACTTACTTGGCCAGTGTATTTTTTCCTTCCTTTATAAACTCGGCCAAACGAACCCTCGCCCGCAAGCTCCAAAACATGATACGAATTCATCCCGAAGCTAACGATGGAACCGACTAACTGGACTTCGAAGGTGTTAGCATCGGTAAGTTAGAGACATCAACTGCGTCCAAAATAGACCTTCAGTTTTGTTAAATAAACAAGCCACAAGTCATTGATAAAATAATTAGACGAGGTTTTAGCTACTTCTAATTAGCCCAAAAGTTCACCGTTTCCACTTTGTGTTTGGCTCTTTTTTTCGGTTAAGTAAAAATATGGTCAAGCTAACATTTCTAACTGCCAATTCACAAAAGTTACAGTATATATTTTCAAAATGGATTAAGGATACATTATTGTGTAATATATATAATAGATGATATATCTGAGTGAATTATATGAACACGTAGGCTTGTTCAATAGTTATTTTAAACTATACAGTCTTGGTCAAAGCTGGCTTTTTCATGGACAACACAGAAGCAGGGGTCCTAGACTTAGCAACGGCCGTTGCGTTCCTGGCAACAGGCTCATTAATGGAACACAAAGCAGGCGGGACATGCTTGGAGGAAGGAGACGCCTTTGAGTCTCAGAGTGAGTTTAGTTATCTTTATAATTTATATTAAAATCTATCTAAATGTTTTTGTATTCTTTGTACCAAACTGTTCATTTGTTAGGAACAGTTTTTTTGTATGACATAACTATTTGTTTAACTTTAATCTCTCATAAAAAATAACAACATTTGTCCAACTTTGTTTTGCAAATGCTTTCTCACTGACTACTTCCTGTGACATTTGACCTTTTCCTGTCAAAGATGTGTAGTCCCATGAACATACCTGGTAAACCCTGAAAATATCAAATGTATTTCTTGAAAACATAGACGGCCTGATTATTTTTCATAGTTGCACGGAGATTTAGTTGTTGGACATTATCCAAATTCAAACACATTTTGAAAGATAACGTTAAGTTTAGGTTTAAATCGATGGCTTTCCTCCATGCATGCCTTTACAAATTTTAAATCTACGCCTCCAAATGCTATAAGAAATACAATTCCTTCAATTTTTCACCATCATTATTATGATTATTGTTACGATACAAGTCGATTGAGTGCTTAATGGGACTATTACAGCAACTGATGTCAGAGGGGACTTTAAAAGACGAGTAGCCTATAGTTCCAAAGTTGAGTACCAATGCCTCATGCAGATTGATTTCTGTCAGGAAATGTTGCTTTCTGATATAGTTATATACTTTTTGCCACGTCCTTGCTTGCGTGTCGCTGCTTTATTCGGGATCTATCATTTGTAACGTGGCTCCAAAAACATTTAATTTTATTAATGTCCACCAGATGTCGTATGTGATTCACACAAACGAAGACACCAGGAGATAGAAACGGAATATGTCACTGTGTATTCCTGAGAAAAGTTACACCATATATTGAAGTTATTTGAGCCACTTTAAACTTTATATATTCACAAGTTAAGACTGAATATTTCAAAGTTCCTCGAACAAGAACGAAGATATATGTCTGCTTAAGTAATGGGCTGCCTTTTATGTGAATTTAAGAAATATATTTTTTCTTCTAATGACAGCCTGGTAGGCAGCCTAGATTGAGCTTTATAATGTTAATGCAAAGCAGAGGACCTTTTCTAAACCTGCTGTTTCTTGGGTTTTGAGAAGCGGCAGAAGGATCCCTCAGCTGTAATGTGCATCCAAAGAACTCCTCCAGAGACTCCCCCCACAAAAGAGAGATCATGTCTCTTTATCTCTACACATGACGGAAATGCATATAGTGCAGAGAAGGCAGCAGTGGACTCAGCACTCACAGGTGGAGGATGGAAATGGGTCATGACCGGGAGGAGTTTTCTCTGAGTGGACTTGTACGACCCGCTTTGTTTTAGATCCTTGCTCTTTGGATTATTCTCTTCATCCTGATCTGTGACTCCCACCGCTTCCACTGAGTTTGCAGTTTCAACATTATTCTGTTAACACTGCTAGTCGTGGCATTTTTTTTTGTTGAATTAAAGCATCGTCATGTTTATTAGAACAACTCTTCTCCTCTGCTTTGTGGTTCCATTCTTAAAGCCTGTCCATTGCACGGAAAGTGAAATTTGCTTTCCGATCACATTGGATGACGATGACTGGAGGGATTCTGACAACGACGTGGATACTCTTCGTGGAAAACGTGTCATAAAGATACGAGCGTTCCAGCAGGAATTTGTGATAGATTTACTCCACGATTCTGACTTCATCGCTCCCTCCTTTTCTAACCAAGACGCGTTTTGGTCCCCGAACACTGATGCCAGCACTGACCTCAGCTGGTGTTTCTACTCCGGATATGTGAACGCTGACCCATACTCATATGCTGCTTTAAGCATCTGCAAAGGTTTACGAGGTGCATTTGGTTTCCAAGGTTGGGAATATTTTATCAGCCCGGTGCAAAATGACACCAGAAGCGCGGAGAGTGCGCACGATATTCGGCGCAGAAAGAGCAACAACCTCAAGCACAGCTCAGCCTCCCGGTGCGCCGTGGACAGCCATTTAAGCCTCCAGGAGGCTCAGTCACTCGAGAAGTACAAGCACCTGACAGACTACGACAACGTAACCGAGACTATGCTGAAGAGGATGGGGAGAGCCAAAAGATTCGCCTCTGTCCCCAGATACGTGGAGACGCTCGTGGTGGCGGACGAATCCATGGCTCACTTCCATGGAGATGACTTAAAACACTACCTCTTGACATTAATGTCAGTAGCAGCGAGGCTGTACAAGCACCCCAGCATCCTCAACTTCATCAGCATCACAGTTGTCAAGATTGTTATTATTACAGAGGCGGACAAAGGACCTAAGGTATCCGGGAATGCAGCCATGACGCTCCGAAACTTCTGCACTTGGCAGAAAAAGATGAATAAAAACAACGATAAACATCCAGACTACTGGGACACGGCTATTCTTTTCACAAGAGAGGTAAAAAAAAATCGAGCGTCAGATTCAAATGTACAGCATAAAGGAAAATGTGTGTTTCTGGAACAATATTTTTGTCACCTAGAAGTTGCTGTGGAAAACCTGACCTCAAAGTGCTCCAGGTCACTTAACTAATTTGTTCTGAAACACACTCTTCCTCATCTGAACTCAGTTATAGCTTTGAAACTGATGTATTACCACAAAGAATTACTTGAGCTGGGCAGCACTATAGCCTTGATGACTCTTTGTGGATCCCTAGGAGGGTAGTTTTTATGGACTTGGAACCCACCTCTGACTTCTCTCACTCCCAAATATTTGGTGGGGGAGGACACAGGGTCAAAGATGAAGTCATAGCTCACATTCATTTGTCAGTGAGATGTAGACTTAAAATTAGGTTGACAAATCAACCCCTGGGTACATATTTAGTTAGTGAGAGTGATGCTGTACAGGTATCGTTTCCTCTGCAGTCACAGAGTGCTGTCTCTAAGCATCTGCCACCAGAATTAAAGGGAGACTTTTATCATAATGAGGAGCTGGATTGCATTTAGCCAACATCACCAAACATGACATAAACTCTTGGCTTGTTATACCTCCAACTTTACCTAATGTAATGAACACTAATGCCCTCAGGGATGACTTGACGGAAGTGTCTTGTTTCTCTCAGCCGTTCTTTTTCTCCTCCAGCAGTGGGCTTTCCAGCCCTACCCACAACCCTGCCTGCTCCTCATTAAGCAGGCCCCTCAAGGAGGGGTTTTAAAGTTTGAGGACGATGGTGGGGGGTGGCCTTATATGTATGTCAGAGTAAAATCCCTCCATGATTCTTGCCCAGGATGGTGGGGTTTTTTTTGGTGCTCCAGAACAGCTGCAGCATGCCTGCACCGTTGCACGGTTACAACATATTAGTCACTCTGACATATGCATCCTCTGGCATTCATTCTTTTTGCTCTATTGGTTCAACATGTTTGTATTCATACATCATGCTTTTCCTGTTTAGAGCCCAACACCTCAAAGGCAGTCTTCTCCGTGAAAGTGTTTTTAAAAAACAAGAGCGTTCCCAGGTTTTTAGCTGCATGTGCGCAGCTGATGTCATAAACTGTGCAGCCAGCTCAGATGACCCTATTACACTGTACGGGACCTGCCTGTAATGAGTCATGTGGATGTGATTTGCTATATAAAGCAGAAAGGAAAGCATCAAGGGACGCCGTCACTGTGTCAGTTAACATATGAGCGAATGACCTCATCTGTTTTAATCAGAAGCCCTAACACGCACAAAAAACATTGGATGTACGATTAAAGGTCAAACAAAGAAAATTTCTTGCCAATGGCGCTGACTGTTTGGTCTGGAAAATCTGATTCCTTCTGAAGAGGTTCAATAAGGAACTGTGCAGCAAAGTCATTGACTGTCACAGTATAAAGGCACAGAGCTGCATTATACAAAACACATATCTCCATCTTTAAGTGTGCTCTGTTGTATTTGAATCCATAACATTGCAACGCCCCTCGAGCAATTTTCATGTCAACAGTCATCCCAGTGAATCTTTCACAGAGATGGATGAAGGTATGCAAACCGGCCGAGTCTTGCAAAAAATTGTATATCTTCTTTCAGAAATTCTTTTACAATTTTGGCCTTAATTTTACTCTCCACGTCTAACATTTTAGCTTTTGAACTTCAAATGCACACACAGTAAGACAACAGCCCACCTTTTGTAGATTCTTGGAATCGGGGCTCAAAATTAGTCCGTTTACCTATTTTCTATTTCTTTTATTGCCTGCCATAACTTTTAATCAGCATTTAAGTCTAATACACTGTACACTGTTTACCAGCTCGCACTATAATTTTCTAGGTTTTATGAAGACCAACTTGATGTTGTCCTGAGGCAACTGTGGTTCTGTTTAAATTCTACAAAGAGCCTAACTGCCTTGAAAGAATGCTACGAGATTACTCAGTTCATTAAGTTACACCGACTGATTACAGCACAAGAGCAGCCAAAAGATTGAGACCAACTTTAAACTTGTTCTTTCCCCTGGGAGAAAGGTGATGACTGTATTTCATCTCACAACTTGTTTATCTTTGCCTTGTTAGTAGATAGCAGGCTGAGAATGAAATGGAGTGTACCCTTGTCTGGATGACATCAACTTTGTCTATGATACTATTGATGTTAGAGAGAACAAAACTAACTTTTTCTTTTATCACTTCTTTTTAATCGTACCAAAAGTGCACCAGAAAATACATTCATCAAGAGTTAAAAGAAAAGAAATTTTCCTTTGTTGAGGGATTTCTTGTTTTTGAATAGCAGAAATAGAAAAAAAGGAGAGATAGATGACAGATGTGGGAAGTAGGTCATAGCAGAGAACCAACTCCCTCACATGGTTGATTCTTCTTCCCTGTTCATCTCAAAGTTTTTTTTTTTTTCTTTTCTCAAATGGCCAAAGTGTTCACATGTCAGTTCAGATGAGCACATCTGGCCTAAATTTGCACCGGTCAACAATAGTGGTTTTGCGGTTTATTCTTGGAATGATTTCTTAAAGCAGTCAAGGTCTTCTCTTGGCAAAGCTTTTATGGCTGGATTCAGTTTGAAGCGGCTGCGTTAGATTGAGCCAGTCTTGTGCTAACCGCTAGGGTGCCATGTCTTTTTGTGACTGTAGAGTGTTCAAGCGCAATTTCAGGATGAGGCAGACGGACAGCTCCATGTGGCATTCACTGCTAAACTTGCCCAGTGATGACGGGGTTGGGCTCCAAGTGTATACTCGCTAAAATAGAGTTTTAAATGCTGTGGAAGAGAAATAGGTCATCTGGAAACTCTGCACTGGCATGGAAATGTTACAGTTTAGGATAGTTATATTACCTCATAGAAGAAGGTGTGCTCTAAACACTGTAAGCCACTAAAACGATTTAAAGACTGGGCAGGGGAAGGCAGTGCTCAACACTGCTGGATGTTTTCCCAGTCTCCACAAAACAAATTTGACCACAGTGACAACAAGAAGCCTGAGGGACGATTTAACAATCTAACTTTTATAAATTGGAATTTGTTCTTCCTGGTGTAACTACATCATGCTCTGATGAGTTAATAGCTAATGTCTTTCAACATGCAGCATCACAACACAAAAAGACAGACATGGTGAGAGGCCTTTGCAATGGGGAGGAGAAAACTCATCCAAGTGATAACATCATGCCTAATGCACTGTAAGAGCATGTGGTTTTCTTGCTCCAGTGGAACATTTGTGATTGAAACATTACACACCTCCCACATTGTACCCGTTCACGGCAGATTGAGCAAAAGTTTTAAATCCCCAGTATTGTGCCAGTATGGCACTTGACACTTTTTATTAACCACTGTTCCACAAAATTTGTATGACCCCGCCCTTCTTAAGAGGTTTACATTTGTGGCAAGTCTCTTATTACACTTATTAGACTTTTATGAGACCGCTTTCAAAACAAGGCTGGGTGGATGGATTAAAAGGCTCCACCCTTTGGTCAGTGGAAAAATGTTTTTGGCCTGATATTTCCCTATTGTTTTATATTGTTTTAAAAATGTTTTGTTTTGTAATGCATTATAACAAATGCAAAGACAGTTTGCTCAAATCCCATCTTTGTGTACTTGAATGGTCCTTAAAGTGAGTATTTTTGTTACAGAAAATTAAACTTTTCACATTTGTCAGATTTTAAGATATTTAGACTCCTGGTGCCAGGAGTTTTCTCATTCCTGAATCCAATTGCCTTTTTTGTCCTTTCTCTAAAGTTAATGCTGACATTTCTAAGGGAGCTTATGAACATAATTTCCCATTATTGGGCTGTCATGTTTTCCAGCTTTCTTCAAATTAAACAACACCATAAAAAAGTATAATAATAACACGGTATCCATTTCTAATGGCAGTGCTCCATAACTCCTGGTTGTGTTACTGTGAACTGAAACTATTTGCTATAAACTCAGAGTAAAAGATGATAAATCAGTTTTGTTTATTACTAGTTTCCTCCTCCTTTAAGTGGACAAAGAATTTGCTTTAGTACGTGTTGTTCTCAGCTGGCTTTTATTTCTATCCTGCGACGCTTTAATGAACGGCTGTAAATATTTTTCACCCAGGACCTCTGTGGAGCCTCCACCTGTGACACTCTTGGCATGGCAGATGTTGGCACCATGTGTGACCCAAAAAGGAGCTGCTCTGTGATAGAGGACGACGGCCTGCCCTCAGCCTTCACCACTGCTCATGAACTTGGTATGACAAGTGGTGATGTGTTTTCATTCATGGATGAAAGAGATGATGTAGCTGTAAAAGATACCTGACATCTTACATTTTGACAGGACATGTGTTCAACATGCCACATGATAACGTGAAGGCCTGTGAAGATGTGTTTGGAAAACTTCAGGACAATCACATGATGTCCCCGACACTTATTCAGATCAATCGCACCAGCCCCTGGTCCCCCTGCAGTGCTGCAATCATCACTGAATTTCTAGATGGCGGACATGGTGAGTTTCCATCAGTTCTGCATCTTGATGCCCTCTGTGAGGCAGGTCATCCTCTTTGGTTTCCATAATTTTGCCACTGAAGATTGTCTTTTTGTTTGTTTGTTTTTCAAAACATGTCTCTTGTTTAACACTATCCTCCTTATCTGGTAGTAACCTAACCTATTGTTTCCCCACGCACTCAAGAAAGACCAGCAATAACCTAGAAGAACTTTATCCATTTGGATTCAGAATGTTTGCCAAACAGGACAGACCACAAGACTTGGCCTTGAAGCAATGCTAAACTTTTATTTTAAATCTGCTCCCACATCTGTCCCAAATTAGAGGGCTTGTTCTTGGGAACGTTGCCACAGCGGTTTGGACGAGAGGTGTATCTGCCCAGTGTTTCCCATGCAGGTTTATTCCAACTAAGAAGACAGTTTTTACTTTCTCAGTGTCTAAGAAAGGCAAAACTCTGCATTTCTGGTTGTATTTAGATATACAAAACATGAGATAGAGAAAGAGAAGGACACATAAAGAACATTTCTGACTTGACAGCGAGTGATTTCTGTGTTACAGAGCACTGCTGTAACCTGGTTTCACCGGCCATGTATCATAAATCTAGACTTCAAAAAGCAGTGCGAAGAAAAAACAGGAGACATGTTTCAACCAGTTTGAGACTATTTTCTCAATTTTCTGAAGGCGCTGTTTCCAGAACCATTTTGTACCTGCTCATCTGTCCACACAAACACACATGACGAGCTATTGTTTTCCAATAATTGCCCTTTGGAGAGGGAATAGGAAGGAAGAGGTGAGGTTGAGTTTACTCGGTGTGGAGTGACTTGTATATTTAACAGTGTGCTATCAGTTAATCAGAGTGTTTCTTCTGCCAAATTTGTGGTGAAATGGGAGGAAACAAATTTGCCACCAGCTGGTAGTCATTCTTACACAGTTTTATTATCTGTTGAGAATTCACAGCAGCATAAATGGCATGATAAATAGTTCACAGTCAGATATCCCAGTTTCCCCAGAGAATGTGATTCCTTTTTGGATGTGAAGATTTCTCATAATGGGAGATGTGGTGTGCTTCTCTGAGAAATATAAATCTGCCCTCAAAGATTTTTTAGTTAATCTGTCATCTTTCTAGTGTGCAGCTGTGGTTATCCTATTTCTTTAAAGCTTGCTGTGTGTCACTTTTGTTAAATGGAGAATTAACCTTTGACCTTTGAATTACTATGTAGTGTTCATTTCAAGCTTTGATCCCAACACTAAACAGTGAAGGGATGGGATGTCCCTGCCTGTCATGCAATGAGGGTGGGCTTGAGGGATCTGTTTTGGGTGGGCTTGGGGGAATTTGGGGATGAGTGGGTGTGGTTCTGCGTTGGATGCTCATTCATGGTTTTGTGTATCTGTGTGTATTTTGTGGCTTAAACCTTATGCACAGTATCAAGCTGGGCTTCTACTTCAAAGAAACCAAATAACAAGGGAAATGGCTGATTGCTGTAACCAACACACAATACCACCCACATACATTTATAATGACAAGGATACAATATGTTTAAATGTATGAATAGAAATTACACTGTTTTTTGGTGTATTTATACATTTAGTTGTTTTCTAAAAAGTTTGTTTAGCTCCACTGTATTTTTTTTTCTTGATCACACTAGAATATGAACTCTTGGTACACTATGAATATGAAGCATGGTACAGTACAAGCATTAGGTCACCGTCCTGTTGCATAAGAACCTCTAATGATGAACTGGAGATTAATGATGAACTGCTGTTCTTAAATTTCCCAGACATTTGACCTCAATTTAAGTCCAAAGACAGTCCAATTTAAGACAAACGTGATCTAGTCACAGAATCATGCAAACAGGTCATAATGTAATTTAGCAGCTTGGCTCCTACAGATTTTTAGGTGTGTTTTTGTATTGTTTCAGTCTTCTTTCCATTGAGGATTTGAAAAAGAAAATCAAATGTACAAAACAAAAGCCAGATGTTTCATCCTGTTTGGTGTGTTACTCACTGATTCTTTCTCCTCCAGGGGAATGTCTGCTGGACCAGCCTCAGAAACCTCTGGTCCTCCCTGACGTGCTGCCTGGAACGTCCTACAGCCTCAGCCGTCAGTGTGAGCTCGCCTTTGGCGAAGCCTCCGAGCCTTGTCCCCTCATGCAGCCACCTTGCGGCCGTTTGTGGTGCACGGGGAAATCCAGCGGCCACTTGGTGTGTATGACCCGGCACTTCCCCTGGGCAGATGGCACCCACTGTGGCAATGGGAAGGTCTGTGACCGAGGGCTCTGCTCCGACAAGCAGGCCCAGAACCTGAAGGTGAGACTCACACACTTAACTGGTTGTTAAAAAGCAGCACACACGTGGACCTCATTAATGTTCTCTAATTATTCATGTTTTCCTTTCATTATTATTATATCGTCTGCATGCTCATGCTCCTAGGAGTGAATGAAAGTGGGTGTGGTTCTTTGTCTCTGTGTGGCCATGCGATTGACCGTCAATCTGTCCAGGGTGTACCCTGCCTCTCACCTGTTTTCAGCTGGGATAGCTTCAGCCCCACCCCCACGACCCCGCTGGATATCTGCGGTATTGAAAATAAATGAATGGACATTATCATATTTGTATTTTCCAGGTGGATGGCCGTTGGGGTAAGTGGGGTCTGTTCGGTTCCTGTTCGCGCACATGTGGAGGTGGAGTACAGCTGTCAAAGAGGGAGTGTAACAACCCAGTTCCATCAAATGGTGGTAAATACTGCCAAGGAATCCGGGTCAAATATCGCTCCTGCAACTTAAATGGCTGCCATGATACAGGTAGACACAATAGACCAACAATAAAATTCAGACTTACATCAATTCCAGCTCTTACCTGCTGTCCATCTTCTTTTCTTTTTGTAGGTAAAACCTTTCGTGAGGAACAATGTGAGAACACAGGCCACAGTTTCAGCAGTAACCACATCCCCCATCCTGTGGTGTGGGTACCCAAGTACTCTGGAATTTCTCCTGATGACAGGTGTAAACTCATCTGCAGGGCCAATGGCACCGGCTACTTCTATGTGCTGTCACCAAAGGTAAAGACAAACAGAGCTTTTTGTTTTTTAAAATGATTTCCATCACAGTGAATTGTACAGTGCCATTTAAATAGGAATACATCTTAATGGGTTAAAATTACTTTTTTTTGTAAGGTAATCATCGTGAAAATCTTACAGAAAAAAATTTATATAAAGATGTCTCAGCCAGCTGCTTCTTAATACAGAAACTTAAGAAAGGAATGAAGGAAAGGAGAATAGTTTATCGCTTACTGATAGCAGGGTGTGGGGTGAGCTTTAGCAGCAGTGAGGCAGACTTCACACTTCAGCCCATTATAATGCTTGAGGAGGAGTACATAAGAACTCCCAGGGGACACAGAGTATTGAATTGCAGCACAGTTGGATATTTTCACCACTGAGTCACAAAAACTTTAAAACATGGTACTCTAGGATTTGATCATCCTTCTTCCTTTGCTCTGTGTTGGTTCTTTGTAAATGCACTGCTACATTTGGTGGTTATATTTAAAGATTTCCTTTTGTTACAGTGTGCGTCGAGTGTTATTTTTGCTTCTGACAACTTGAGATTCCTGATAGTGGAAGTACATTTAATTTGGTGGCTTAACGTCAACGTGTTTGTGTATTCCAGGTTGTTGATGGGACTCCATGCTCTCCAGATTCCACAGGAGTGTGTGTCCAAGGAAAGTGCATTAAGGCTGGATGTGATGGCAAAATTGGCTCCACCAAGAAGTTTGATAAGTGTGGAATCTGTGGAGGTGATAATAAAGGCTGCAAGAAAGTGTCAGGACTCTTCACAAAGCCTGCGTGAGTAAAGCCATTATCGTCAGACAGCCTGAAGACAATACTACTTGTGTCATCCTTTTTTTTCCTTTTCTTTCTTGATCTAATCATAAAAAGCTCTTTTTGACTGTAAATGTTTTTTAATTCATGCAGGCACGGCTATAACTTTGTTGTCATGTTGCCAGTTGGGGCAGCCAACATAGACATACGTCAGCGAGGCTACAAAGGAATGAGGAGTGATGACAACTTCTTGGCAGTGAAGAACAGCCAAGGCAATTATCTCCTGAATGGGAATTATGTAGTTTCAGCTGGTGAACGAGATATCATTGTAAAGAATAGCCTGCTGCGCTACAGTGGCACATCTGGCCTCTCAGAGACATTGATGGCTGTGAAGCCACTAGGAGAAGGCTTGACTGTGGAGGTGCTGTGTGCAGGCAAGATGACACCTCCTCGCATCCGTTACTCCTTCTACCTCCCCCGTCAGATCAAAGAGGACAAAACTCTGAGGAAGGGATGGCGTACAAGCTCCCACAACAGTGTCCTTGATGAGGACAGTAGCAAAGAGAAAGAAGGAGACATGCTCAAGAGCTCCTACAGTAAGGAGGAGTCTGCTTCTGCTAAATGGATAGCCACAGCCTGGGACAAGTGCTCCGTGTCCTGTGGTCAAGGTTTCCAGAGGAGGATGGTGCAGTGTCTAAAACCGGACGGGATGCCAGGGTTTGACTGCGATTCTTCTCAAAGACCCTCAGCCACTAGGGTTTGTGAAGAGCCGTGTGCTGACTGGCATATTGGGCAGTGGTCGCCCTGCTCCAGAACCTGTGGAAAAGGCTTCAAGAGACGACCACTGTACTGCAAAAGCCAGACAGGAAGTCTTCTCACAAGGGATCACTGCACTGGCTTACGTAAACCACAGGAGCTGGACTTCTGTAACCTAATTCCTTGTTAGTGATTTAACCCTATAAGCAACATATGTTTCCTTATGATGTTAATGGACTGAATTGAATTCCACCCTCACCTATAATGCGATGTCTATCAGATGCAGATGTTTACACCTGCATCATAGAACAGTTGAGAGATATTTGTTGTAATAAAATCAAAAGTATTGGAAGGAAGGTGACAGCTGGAGGATAGTTGCTGGAAAATAGCTTTCACTGTCATCATTTTTTTACATTTGAAATGATCTAGATATGATTCTGATGGGAAGATGGCATGTTTAAAAAAAACAGTAAGATCAAAATTACTTGTGCAAGGAATCATCCTATAGTGCCATGAGTGTGCAACCCATTTAAGCCGTAATATTTTAATTTCATAGTTGGGTCCTACGAAAAATCTGGAAATGCCAGATGCTACTCCAAAAGATGACCAAAAAAATATTTCAAATAGCAGATAAACCAAGAATGTCAAATAAAAATGTCCTGACAGATTAGAATCCCCCCTACCCCCCCTCCCTCACAATATCTTTCATTTTGAAAGGAAACATGATTTGAAATGTTTTTCCTTGTAGTGATACATTACCAGTACGTTTGGAAAAGCTAGCTGCTTTAGTAAATCAGGGCATCAAATTCATGCTCAGAGCCTTTATGACCGATCGGACTAACAGAAGGGAGCAGGACACAATCTCTCTCAGCTTAAAGCTAAAGATAAGGTTTAATTTGAGGTCACACACGACAGTTTGATACTCATTTCTGCTTTACTTCCTGCCTGTTTTGTTATGTTTGTTTCATCGCAGCCTTTTTTGACCCCAACCATTTGTCTTCTCATGTCAGCATCCTCAGCAGGTCGTAAAGCCTGTCTGGTAGATTTACTATTGAAAATTTATCATCAGTAAAACAATAAAGCACAGAGGGAGCATGGTGTTCTGGATCGTCTTGTTCGTGTCTCTGCAACCTGAACCAGCCTCATCTGCAGTCTGTATGAAATTCCATAATCCATTTAATCTATTGTGTACTTCTTGTTTTAAGAGCCCATTTTCACCAATCCATCACCAAGTGTCAGGATAGTTCCTGTATTAGTTGAATTGTTGTTATTATTTTATTTTAGTTTGTTTTTCTCATTTTCTAATCACCTTTTGCACTTTGTACAGCAAAAGAAACCCACGACCTACATGAGCTGTGCTGTATACTATGTATACATTTATTCAGCTCTGTGCAAAAAAATGTAAATACTTTTTTTACACAGGCATTTGTCATTGTCTTTGACTTTTGCATATTTATTCTAAAATAAAGCAATTACCGAACAATGATATTCTTGTATTTTAATGCCCAGTGAAATATAAATTCTGACTCTTTTGAAACATGCCTTTTGCATCTTTATCACACTCACACATTCAAAACCTGCAGTAACATTAATTGACAACTTGATTGGCTGCAGTCTTACAAAAATAATGTTGGTGTTGCAGCTGCAAAAAAGCAGCAAGCAGAAAGTTAAAGAGAGAGAAATATGGGAGATTCAATCAAAGCTGAGTAAACAGGTGCTGGATGACGCATCTGTCCACTATTTATCACAAGTATTTCAACCAGTCAGCTGGGTGACTTAATGCAAATTCCTTCAGCATTCTTACCTGACTGTAATCACACATAAAACTTTCTCCTGGGTCTAATAAAGCTAACCGATCCAAACATCTGGGCATGAACCACATCCACATGTCTTGATGCATGGATTGTGTATTGGTTACAATTATGTTAATCTTTGAGTTTTTGAATTTTTAGAAATAGTGGGACATCCACACAATATAAGCAATAAATTCTACAAATCTCTTCTTAAATCACAAGAGTGACAACATTCCTTATATGCTTAGATTCTTTCTTAAGTTGAATTGAGGTTGTAATGCTTTTAAGTGCCTGAATGACGACAACAAAATGATAAATCTCAGAGTAACGCTTTTTGGATTTTGTGAGTTTATGTGATTTATGTGAACTAAATATTTTAATTTCGAAATGAAAGTATCTTAGTTATAATGTTACAGTGTGCCCATTTTTTGTCCAAGAACTGATGATGTTCTTTTAGAGTACTTCCAAGGATTGCTGATAGCACCGCATATTTTTCCTCACCTTAATACAGACATTAATGTCTGACAGAAGGTGGAAAGGAATCTAATTAAGTCTTGCACATTACAGCAGTGCATTTGGAAAAGTTTTCTTCTCTCTCCACTTGAATTGTCCTCATTAATTATCAGCTTTCACATCTGTAGCTACAGTAAACGTACATGTGAAGCATGGGTGGCCAACATGCCTCGTAGCAACTCACTGTAGCCTAGAAACTCACTTTGCCATGTATTTGTTTCACGCTCGCCATTTCAGACATGCAGCTACAAATATTTTCCACTGGTTATGCAGTGATGTGAACTCATTCTCCCTGTCTCTGTCTGCGAGTGGTCCAAGAATGCAGCTGTGTGCTGAGGTGGAAATTTTGAATTGTGAGATTTTGACACGACGACTTACGCATGTCTGACTGTCTGACGAGGAGAAATGGGTCTGTGAGAGTGTGGGCGGTCTTGTTTCAGACATTTTTTCTAAATTAATGAGAAAAAAGCTATATTAGAAAGACAAGCACAGCAGAGGAATCTGACCTACATAAGCACAGATAGAAGAAAAACTGGAGGAAGGCCAATGGAAATATTTATTTGTTCCACGAGTTGCCTTTTTCCTGAGGTTTAAAGTCATATCTGGTTCCAGGTCGATGGGTCTAATTGAGCCAGACGCCTTATCAAAAGAATGTTTGATTGTCAAAGCTGCTCACAAATCAAAACTGTTGCAAAAGTTCTTCTTATTATAACAGGGGCTTCTGATTTATCTAAGCTAAAGTCCAATAATGAATTATTTCAGACGTTACCGATAATATTTTGCTCATTTCCATTGTAGAGATCTTATTTTTATTGATGATAGCACATTTTTCTACATGATTTACATGATGAACAGTAAGCTCTTACTTTAATATATACATGTGAAGTGGGTAGACCCTGTTTTTCTCTCTGCAGCTGCAGGTCCTCGCCACTGACACACAAACCTCATTGTATTTCCTGTTTAAACAAATAACCCATCACAACACATTCTTTTGAAGCATCTTGTAATTCCGTAATTACCAATGAAACGTTAACCCATAATCAGTGAAACCATTAAAACTTACTGAGGAACCGATGCTGTCTCTGAGTACTTGGGGCGAGGAGCCCTGTGACAAATTTTCTATGTGGCGTCTTCTGTCTGATCAGCAACATATTTCTCATTTGGGCAGCTATTGCGGAGTCAGATGGGCTGTACACCACAACTTTTTTTTAAATAGTCTCAAAGAAGTGCTTTGTACATTGTCCATGTCTTTATGAATTGGGACTTGGAAAGGCCAATCGGGCCTTTTTGTAGCAGATCTTTGAGCAGGTCAGCTGACTGCAGCAGAAACCTGATCAGTGTGCCCGCAGTGTTAATGACAGGCGTACAGCCGAGCTCTGCTAATGGAACAATGTTGTTTTAATTACGCTGACGTGTAACTGTGTCAAATCCTGTGACACTTTTGTGGCTCTTCTGGGTTTATCATGCATGAGTGGCTTCGTTTCCCGCAAAGCATTCAAAGCATTGTGAAAGTCATTGTCTGAACTCATATTTCAGTTCTTTGGTGCCCTGTTAAACTAAATATTCAACAAAGAATAAACTCTTTTTGGGAGATGCTTTCCCGAGTGACTGAGCAAGTCTTTCTGATGTGTCAGAGGGTATTGTGAGTTTTCATGGTTCACATCAGCCAAGTGACATATCTGAGTCATCACTATTTGCTGATTACATGATACTTTCAGGAACCAGGACATTTCTGTGTGGAGTTTGCATGTTCTCCCTGTGTCTGCATGGGTTCTCTCCGGGTTCTCCGGCTTCCTCCCACCGTCCAAAAACCTGCATGTTATGTTGATTGGACATTCCAAACTGCCCTTAGGAGTGAGTGAGAATGTGCATGGTTTTTTGTCCTTGTGTGTCTCTGTGTGGCCCTGCGATGGACTGGCGGACCGTCCAGGGTGTACCCCGCCTCTCGCACAGTGACTACTGGGATAGGCTCCAGTTCCCCCTGTGACCCCATTAGGAAAACGATAATGGATGGATTTCATGTTGTAAACGCAAGCATCTGCTGAAGTGCAGTTTGGCAGCTAGAATGAGAGTAAACATCTCCAAATCTAAAGCCAAACAGCTCTCATGAAAATGACAGTTTTCCACAGTTTCAGTGGCTGTAAAGATATTTGTTATAGTGAGAATAGTGAGAATATAGTTTAAGAAAAAGGATGTGTTTGAATTTTTTTTTCTTTGTTGAAAAATATTAACATAGTGGATGTTGTTTTCTGTTTTACTGGAAACAATCAACACTTCCGGTGAGAATTCCATAGTTTGGTGTTTGTTTTAAAGATTAAGGTGGGGTGGTCCATAATTCTGGCTCTGCAGCTCAGCTTCTAGTTGAACGAAGATGGTTTTTCACCCTGTGTTGTTCCTTCACCTCTGATCTTGCTTGAGGGAAAATATGTAGGAGGGTAAATGGACAAGAAAAAGCAGCACATCCCAATGTCTAGTTCTTTCGTCAAAGTCTGCATTGAGTTATGGTACAAAAAAAAACATATTTTGGCATAATGTGTGTCTGATTCATAATAGCTTTTTGATTAAAGAATTTATATGAATAAAAGAGGACAAAGGCCGCTGCAGGGATAATTTCTTAGATCTGAAAGGAGATAAACGCCTGACTTTATTGTGAGCTTGTTTGTACGGTATGTCTGTGCTAGATAGGTTCACTGAGGGCATGCCTTTGGTCAGAGCTTAATATTTACTACATCTCAAAGCATTTAAGAAGAGTAATGGGCTCTCTCTTTACTTGGTATTTAGAGTTAGATTGCAAAACTTTGCCAGAAAGGTTCAAAGCGCAGACATTATCAACATTAACATTCATGAAAATCTGAGACATACCATAAACTTATAATCTTTTATGTTCTGTTGTGTAAATGTATTTCTTACTTAAGTTAAGCTTGGCATTATAAGGGCCTAACTGGTATATGTCACAATCTGCTCTGTTGTCCTTTATTTTTTTATAGCAATGACCTCTAGTTTAGGTTTGTGTGGGTTTGTGCATTGGAGTTTAGCTATAACCACAAGCATGTTTAATGTAAGTTAAACAAGGATGGAGTAGATTTATTAATCATTGTTTAAATTAGTGTGTTTCAGCCTAATCAATATTAGATAATTGATAATTAATAATTGATATACATAGGATACACAAAGACCAAAGCACTGCACAGCCAGCATGGTAAAATACAACATAAAACTTTTAACTCTGTCTAGAATCTCTAATATATTGCAGAACCAGGGAAAAGTCATATTTAGCTTCTAAAAATGAAAGAAGTTTGAATTCTGCCTGTAAAAATTACAATGCATCAGCCTTTAATTTCTGTTGTTCGGCTGCAAGTAAGTTGTTTAGCTGACAAGAGAAATTTAGTCACTGAATCTAGGCATTTAAAAAAGTTGATATTTTATTGAATCCGTGGGGAATTTTGTTGAAAGATTTTTAAAGAGATGATCACATGTTCAAACAGAGGACAAAAAGTCCTGTTATAGAACCAGCTGAGCTGCTTCAATATAACTGGAGGAGAAATACTTCAATGTTACTTTTGAGTTGTTCATCAAATGGCCAAAATTGGGAGTTTTATTTTCTTCTAACTCTAATCATGTGAGCTTTTTAAGGTCCAAGAATAAAGGGAGAGATTGAATAGAACCATGTGTGTTTTTATAAAAGGGGAAGTACGAGAGGCCGGGTGGGGGTTTTTGACATTTATTCTTCACACTATAATTTGGATCACAAAGGAAAACCGGGGGGAATGAAAATATGGCATCAATCAAGAAAACTGTTCACAACACAGCAGAAAGGTGCACTGCAGGACGAAACCTGGCTCCGTGGGCTCCAGAATCTGAATATGGTGGGTGGTCTGGCTGCTTTGGCTTCTTTGTTTAACCCAAATCAAAGCAGAGTTTGTTTAGCCTGAAATGTGTCTGGACATAGATGAGAGGTAGCTGAGAAAATGACAAAAGCTTATCTTTTTGCAAATAAATTCAATTTCCATTTGATCTGTTTCAACAAGAAACTTACAGCAAGCCTCTGGCAAGCTGTGCTCTCTGTTTTCTGCTGGGAACGCTGCTTGCTATAGCAACTTCCTTTTTTGGGAACTAAGCAATGAGATTTTCCTACAACATGATGGCTTTCTGGCAAAGATTATCAATCTGCCACATTTCAGAGTATCGAGTTAAACCTTTAACCTGTTCTTTCACTGACA